ACCCTTTGTTCATCTTTCTTCAGTCTTTTTTTTTCGGATTTCATCAACATGCCCGAGGTTCCTCCCACCTTAGACAACTGCAGGTGGCGCCAGCCGCTGCAGCAGTGCTTTTGAAGCATCCTGTCACTTGAACCTGCGGCCATTGCCACACTCACCCCAAACATACTTAACTTTAGGAAACTGCTGTGGAACAAGTCCCTTGCTTCCAGCAACTTCCAGCCACACGTCAACCGTCTTGAGCACAACTGTGCTTGCTCACGCACGGCTACAGTAATTCTGCTTGAGCTGAGCCCTCCGGGTGCGTGTGTCCATCGCTGAAGCTCTCTATCAGACCCGAAGTTGCCTCAATCCCCGAAGTCCACCGCAATCCTGTAAGTACCAGGCAAGGAGCCCTGTCTTGTAGAGAAAGGGAACGCAGAGGGCTTCGGCTTAGATTCACAAAGGGAAAGCTAAAATGTTTGAATGTTTGGCTTGCGCTGGGTATCTCTTCCCTTCTGGCTGTTGCCACGTCTTGGGACTGTTTGGATCTCTGCAAGCTCAAGTAGGTCCCTTGTCAAAGCTAGACGGCACGGATAGGCGCTCCTGAACATGCCAAAAGCTGCCCAGTTGGCCGAGCTCATGTGCGCAGAGCATGCAAGCTGACACCTTACCTTCTAGACCACCAGAAGAGTACACTTTGTTTCTAGCCTGTGCCAAACACAGCCGGGTGCAGTCAAGCTCAAGACTGTTGCGACGTTTGAGCGCATCTGTTTAGTGCTGCGCTTGCTCCGGTTGTCAGTTTTGTCAATTTGCAGCAGGCCATTTTGCAAGGAGCCTGCACAGGCCTGGCTCCGTGATGCACGCTGCAGCAGTCCTGTCAATGTGAGGACCACTTGACCAGTTGCAGCGGTCAGACAGAGCCGAGGGCTTGCAGAAGGGATGCGGGGTGCCACAGAATCCGTAGCGGTGCGCACCTGCAACTTGGGTGAAGACTACCTGAAGCTGACTGCTTGTCGAAGGCTACCTCCAACAGTGAGGAAATGCGAGCACAGAGCAAAACGGTTTTGACTGGTGTACCCACCAGGAAACGAACTCCGCGACACCTCGGGGCCGAACTCAGGTGCCAGGCCTTCTAGTGCGCTAGGTGAAAGCTCAACAAGGCGAGGCTGGCTCGGTTCACCGTTCAGCTCACGCACCAAAATTCCGAACAGCTTCTGCGGCATCCGACCCAAGACCCACGGATGGACACTTCGGCGCGTCAGCAACCTACTGCCTGCCGGCCGAAGGCTGAGGAATTGTCCAGAGGTGGAAACCAACTTGCTTTGGGGGGGGGGGGAGGTGCAGTGGCACGCAGTGAAGTGAAGCATGCATGCCCCTGTGCATCTTTCCCAACCACCCGGAGATAGCATCTTCGTTGCCATAGCAGAGAATAGTAGAGTATCCCTCATAGCGTCCTGGAAGAGCTTCCCAAAGAGCCTCGGCAACTCTGCATCCCTCACCGCAAGGTTTTGAAGGTGGAAGGCCAGGAGGCACAAAGTGTTTCACAACGATCCCTCATGGCTGAGGATGGCGGTTGCGTGTGGTGGCACCATGCGGCGGGCTCTCTGCCAGCACATTTTGCGGGGTGTCCCAAGGCCATGTTCGCTCAATGAGGCCATCTTGAAGCGCCGGCGTGGCGCCATTCCAGCCTTGACCTCGACCCACGCGTTGTGACTCTCCTGACGCCGCTGTCACTGTTTAGTGTGTCAGCCCTTATTCTGCGTCCATGGCTGAGCCCCCCAAAAAATTAGTCACGGAGCCTGAAGGGTCCGAGTCTAACCAGGTGCAAAACTGAAGCCCAGATGCTCCCTGCGAATGCTTCACTCACGGCGCAAGGCACTCCACTTTGCTTCTCGGGTGTCTTCTCTAAGCTGCGAGTGTGATGCCGCATTTTCAGCTGGCCACCTACGCTGTCTACGCTGTGATCGAGCGCATCTGGGGAAACGACCTGGGATGTCGTGTTTCCCACACCTCATGAGCTTCGTGCTGGCCATACGCCGGCCATGTGCCGGTTCAGGTTGCAGCCTCGCATCGGAAACGAAGCTCTCGCGGCAGCTGAAGCAGAGCTGGGATGCAGCCCCGACATGCTTGTAGAGCTCACCATGCTTGAATCGAAGCTGAAAATCAGGGTAGTTTTCCACGGGTGTGAATGTGTGTGTGAAGGTGTGAATATGTAGAAAGACGCACCCTCACCTGATGGTATTCAAATCAGGAGATGATGAACAACATTCCCGCGGTGCCCCACAAGCATTCCGACAAGATCATCCATTGAATCACTGACCGGTTTGCAACCAACCGTCTTGCCTTCGAGCTGCCAAGTTCATACTGCGTACAGTGTGTTACAGAGGTGCTGGTGTCTATGTTCCTTTTTGTTGTGTGTGTGTGTGTGTGTGTGTCTGTGTTCGGTGGGTGGCCGGGGGGGGGGGGTGGCGGGGGTGTACTTCTTTTGACTGATCAGGTTTTGTCTGTTCAAGTGTTGTTCAATCCCCGCAGCCGGCTTCAGAGTATCGTGTCATCATGCCGGCCGTTCGGTCAATGAGCTTTGTGTTTTTTGTGCAACTGTACTTTCACTTCAAATATATCTGACAGTCATGGGGGCTGCCGCCTGCAATGCGGCGTTGTATCTTGTTCTCATTCTCGGCAATGTCCCCATGTGACGAGACATGGTCTTGAACATGGCCGCTGCGACTTTGCAGGCCAAGGTTGAGGTGTGCTGCTTCAAGATGACCGCAATAATGTTGTCAGATCCCGGACGAACTACAAAAGACATGGCGGCTTGAACCCAGGCAAAGGTTGCAGTTCACAAGTCCAAGTGGCACTGACTGGCCGACTCACATGTCAGCATGTCTGCAAGTAGCACTGAGCAGGAGCTTGGGGCACAATCTTGTGAATGCCACGAAGCTGCATCGGAGCTAGACTGAAAGTAGACGCTTCTGTAGAAGGCTGCGTGATCTGATGATGGAAGGTGCACTTGGCAGGAAGAATGTGCCGAGGCGTTGCTGCATGCCCAGTACTCGTGACCATTTGCCCATGGCTCTGACTTGCAGATGCGCTTCTGACCGATATGTATCATCATGTCAGGCATATCATGTTGCCAGACGCAATCCTCAATCCGTACGCTCGTGACTTGGCCCACTTCGGTGCTTAGTGGCCGACGCCTCAGATAACAGTTTAAGCATCACTTACCTTTGCACGCCCCATCTATAGACCATGGATGTTGCTGCAATCATTCGTACATCGGGAGGCGCGTTCGCTCCTACAGTATTGTGGTTGAGGCTTGGTGTTGAGCAGCGGGCTGAATGGGTTGCGGATCTTTGGGGAAATGCTCGATGTTTGTTGACATAGGCGGGCGCGCTCACGGAGGTGTTCGAGTTTGATTGCGAAAGCCGCTCAGGCCTCTTGTAGGTTTGCATGGGAGCACCTTTTGTTTCTGGTGGGATGTCCTGTGCAGGACGCTGCAAACATAGAGGCCGCTTGTTCAGAACAGCGCAGATGCTTTCTCTCTCTTTTTTTAACCTTTGAAGCTGTTCAACGGCGACCGAGGCCGAGCTGTCCAGCATGACGGTCAAGGAGCTCAAAGCACTCTGCAAGCAAAGGAGTGTCACTCAGAACTCAGTGACTCATGCAGTCCATCTAGATGTGTTCTCGTCTTGCAAGTTCATGTGATCGGCGGGAAGAGTTGTCGCATGTATGGAGATGATGCCGTGAAGATGCAGAGGTCTTTGAAGGTTTCTGGCAAGAAAGAAGCCCTGGTGCATCGACTTGTCCAGGTGGCCATGGGGCTTGCAATGTGCCTGAGTCATCCTTAATGAGCTAGTCAGATTGCAATCATATAGTGCTGTTGCCCACAGGTCTCGGCTGGTGCGCCTCGTCCATCGGCTTGCCACTTACATGTCTCGGCAGCGCCCAAGTGCATATCCATCTTTGTGGAGCCGATGATTTACAAAGCATGAGTGAGGCTGACAAGGCCGCAGATGTTGCAGCAGTGGAAGAGGAAGAGGCTCCACAGGTTTCGGACGGTCTCACCCAGGCCAGGCTTTCTTGTGCCTTCGCATTCCTGTGCTGTTGGTCTTGTGCTGTGTGACACACTGCTTGGCATGCTTTGCCAGACTTCTGGGAGGCCCACCGTGAACTGAGCCAGTTCTCAACAGAGGACTTGCGCGGTCTGTGTGAAGAGAGGTGCAAGCCTCAGGAGAGAGCGGTGTGAAGAGCGGTACTGTTGGAAGCAAATCGAAAGCCGGGGGCGTTAAATCGCAAATGGATGAGATGAGTCGGACTTGAGTTTTCAGTTTGCTCTAAGGGGTCTCAGCACAACCGGGACCAAGGCAGCGCCACTGTCACAGCAGCTATGGATTTAAGCACAGCGCTGCTAGTATATGTTAGTACTGCAGAATCACCACTTGTTGTTTGCTATTGTTTCTTCGGCGGGTGTTTCAGACGTTTGTGTGGTGCTGTTTGAGGCAGATCTGGTGCGCCGGCTGGCGGTCCTACAGGATGCATATTGTGTCATGCAGCATGTTCCACGGAGTTTGATTGCCCAGATTGGCCCAGATGCTCATTCAGGGGTACTTGTGGTGCCTGAAAGTATATCACGCCAGAAGTGATGTGTGTCGTTTGTCGAGCCCTAGGCTAGTGACGGACTTGTGCTTGATCGTTCTTCTCACATCAGTGCCTTGTGTCAGGCGCAGGAGACTGGCCGTGAGGATGCGAGAAAGACTCAAATGGATCCTGTGGTAAGCGGGCGGTTCGCATCTTATACTCTGTTGCAGGGGATCTATCTGCGAGGCTGTGTTTTACATTGTGTTTCACAGGATACTATGTCAGGGGTCGTAGCTCTACCTCAGGGTGCTGAAGTCTCCTGAAGACAAGTTCTTACAGGCCAGAATGGGATGCAGAATCCCGCAGAAACCCTGAAGTCGCAACAGTATCCCACTAGCTCTGAGTGCTTATAGGGTTCAGAAGGGACACACTTTGTGGAGGCCATGCGTGCGGATGAGCTTGATATACACACGCTCGAGGACCACCCTGTACTGTCCTTTGCCCTCCTTAACAGTGGGGCTCGAGATGCTCCGAAGCACACGGGATCTGCTCTGACAGGAAATTTTCCAGGCAGAGATGCCGAAGCCGGGCGAAATCGTCACGGTGCGGATCTGTTGGGAGGTGTGTTCCTGGTCTGCATCTGGCATGTTCAGTGCTTCCAAGGGCATCGTCACCTCACTTGTGGAGTGGGGAGCTTTCGTTGAGCTGGAACGGAGTGGCTGGTGCCGCGCGCCACCAATTGAGAGACTCAGAGACAAGTTGCAGGGTTTACATGTTGGAGACTCTTGGAGTGGCAGGTCGGGCCTGATCCACATCTCTGAGGCAGATGTGCTGAGTATGGTAGAGCATGGTGACGCCCCCTTAAATGTGCAAAGCAGTCGGCAGCTTCCTGGCCAGCTCAGCGATGTTTTCGTCGACAACATCGAGGATTACATCCAGCCGGGCCAGCGTGTGGAGGCAAGTACTCAAAGGGGATATAGGATACTCGTGAGCGTTGCAATCTCAAGGCCCTACTAATGCCCAAAATGCGATCAGTGTCGCTGTGATGCTTTTCACATGTTGTCACTCCAGGCCCTCGTCATCCAGCGACCCGGAGACCGACTGGACAGGCAAGACCAGCAAGACGGCAAGACAGCAAAGCAGCACAGCCGGTTCTGGTGTTCTGTGGGCAAGTAGAAGTTGAAAGGGGAATCTTGTCTGAGCAGCATCGCAAGGTGTGCCGCGTGAGTCTCGCAATTGAGAGGCTGAGCTTGTCGGTCCGGAGGCTCAAGGACTTGAAGAAGTGCACTTCCCCGTAGGTTGCTCATGCTTGCATGGTGTGCGCACATGTACACTTCGTGTGCAGTCTCAGGATTAGGCTTTGGACTGAAGCGCTGTGTCCCCTAGTTCCTGAGCACAGGTACGATCCCGATGCTTTGGCTGCGGTGGGCCCGCTGGCACCGATGGCAAGGCAGTTCCGTCGGGTTGCGCTGGCACTGCTACTGTTAAGTTCCAGTTCTTGTAAATCGAGTCATCCCCAAGTATTTGTATAAACCGAGTGGCTTCAAAGATGACAGTAAAGCGAGTCGTGAGAATAGGAGTAGGAGTAGGAGTAGTAGGAGCAGGAGCAGCAGTATTCTCCAGTAGTTGTGGTGGTGGTGGGGTGGTGGTGGGGTGGTGATGGTCGTGGTGATGGTCGTGGTGATGGTCGTGGTGATGGTCGTGGTGATGGGCGTGGTAGTTGCAGCAAGTAGCTCGGTGGCGATGGCAGTAGCCAAAAGCATCCCATAGGAGTAAATAGAGAGTAATCGCGCTGTTATTGCAGTTCTGGCATTTTGCGGGTGTTTTATTGCAATTGCTGCTAAGAGTTCCCATTTGGTGCATTGTGTCCAGGCCTAGTGTGGTGCGAGAGGAAGAGTTCAGCCAGCTACAGGAGCCAAGGGTTTAAGCAGAAAAGGGCTGGGTTTACCAGGGTTGGGCAACCTGGTTGGTTTTTGAACGCTGTCGCCGAGTTTCACTGTACGCGTATGTCTAAACCATGTGCAGTTTGTGCTGTGCAGGATCGGGTAGCCGCACTTGAAGCCATCATCGTGCAGATGGGGCACGGTCAGGCAATCTTGCCACCTAACTGAATCGGAGTCCTGAGATTGGAGATCGCGCGCTGCTTTTGAAGGCGCTGCGGAATGAGCGCTACACTTCTAGCAAATCGAGTCGAAAGTGCCGGGCTTTGGGTCTGTGAGTGACAAGCCTGGCTAGAGCTCAGAAATTGCTTCAGATCCAGTGGACACAAGGCACAAGATAAGTACAGGATGCGTTCTCTCAAGGCTCCTGGAGCCCAGGTCAGTAGTGGCTCCTTTGGACGACATGCTCGAAGAGGTCGAGGAGGTGCAGCCGGGCTCCCACTTCTGCCGCGCCAGAAAAGATCGATCGAGTTATGACAGCTATGATTACCGTTAGAATCGATGGATGCCCGTGGCAATGTTGCCAAGGCCACAGGCTGTTGTGCAGGAGAAAGTCTGGACACTTGGTGGTTCGCTGCACCTTGATCCTTGCCATACTGCCGGTGATAGGATCAGGGACAATCGGGGATCGAAGAAAAGGAACGAGCAGTTGCTGTGGTGCCAAGGCCACGATCGACGAAATTCTCAATTCCATTCTTGCTGGCAGCAAAGCTCCTATCCAGATTCGGCAAGCAAAGGGGGGGGGGCCTTTTTTTTTTTTCCTCGCCCCTTATTTTGGTCTTAAGGCAATGACTTGGAAGAGGACGAGGCGCCCGACTCGGGGACCTGGGAAAAGCCTTGGGCTCCCTTGGACCCTGTCTGTCTAGGTCAAAAAAACCGGATATCCTTCAGCGTGCATGTGGGGAGTCAGAATGTTGGGGGCTTTTTGGCCTTTTTGTGCAGGACCTGCCCTCCGAGATGGTTGATAACAATGCGGCGAAAAAAATCCTGCATGGTTGTCGTGCCGCAGATTCTTGATGTTCACCCTCCTGCGCATGAAGCACGGCCCCTCTGGCGTCCCCTCCGGCTTATAAGTTCGCATTGAGTGGCTGGAAGGCCCAGCGCATGGCTTGGGCATAGCTTCCCCAGTTAGCCTGACACGTTGTTGCTTGTGTTCGAGTACCACCTTATATACACTTCTTGCAAAGCCTAACCGTGCACATTTTCGGGGTGGCAATGGCAGACTTTCTGACGGGCCCTGAAGAACCCCGAGACTGAAACGGAGACATGGGCCCGACAACTCCCGAAGGGGGACAAGCCCTCAATGTCCTCAAGCCTAAAGATGTTCTGGGCGGAGTAGCAAAGCCAAAGCTGACATGGTGCTAGGAAGCAGGTGTGAGAAATCCAAGACTTTCGGCGAGCAAGAGGAAGTTTGGCAAAACCAAATTTAGCGGGCTCCTGCACCGGAAAGGTTTGAGGTATGTAACAGAAAAATGTGGCTGCTAAACACACTGATATATCTGAGCATTTTGCAAAAGTGCTACGATTAATGTTTTGATTTCTCTTCTGTTTGCTGATTCTTCCTTACGGTTCTTTGCTCGCTGCTGTTAGGGTTTTGGTTTTTGCTTGACGTTCCCTGTTTTACTTGCGCTTATTGCTTTCTGCTCTGTGGCATCTTGCTCTCGCGGGTGGTCGGCGTCCCAACCGCTTGCAATGTTTAGCAATCCTTCCACCGTCTTCCCTTCAGCACCCAGCCAAATAAAGCCACTCGGACTCGGGTTCATCGAGTGATTAGACTGTTTACAACTGGGGGGGAGTGAACAAGCAATGCTGTGATTTGCAGTGTTTGGCTGTAATCTATGGCTTTTGAAGCTGCCTAATGCTGCAACTACCGTGATTCACAGCGCTTGAGAGTTCGGAGCCTCTAAAGGAGGTACTTGCGGTTTGAAACTGTTCAATGTTAGGCAATGTGTCAAAGAGAACTATGGGTGCCCAAGTTTAGTTTTAAACAGGGATGCCGCTGTAAAGAAAGCAAGACAAGTCATAGTGGTAAGTTTGCGAGAGAGCTGGAGTTGCAAAAGAAATTCGGAAATGCTGCACCTGGGGTCGCATGTAGGTACGATAGACAGTCACGTTTTGGGATGCTTTCCCGATGGTCCCCATATGGTCCCTATGGTCGCCGAGCGGCGTTCGCTGGCCGGCTGCCTCGCTGACATCTTCCGTGGGCTGCTTATGAGATGTTTGGGGTCTCAGGGCGTTGCTTGTTGGTTTACTTGAATGTTTGGGCAGGTGTTTCTAGCATGTTCTATAGGTTTCTGAGGTCTGCTTAGGTGTAGGAGAGGTCCTGAATTCAGAAATCGCAGGTGGTGAGGTGCACCTCATTTCCTTTGACAATGTGGTGCCCTGGCATTCATTGGCAATGTGACGATGGGTGTTAGCTTGCACTTCTACAGCGTATGCAAGACAAGGTGTCATCACTTCCGCTGGAGCCGGATGCTGTTGCAGTTGCCATCCGCCCACTCCTCCATCACATGCAGGAGGCTCTCGTGCGATTGATGCAGTAAGCACATCAGATGTAATTTCTTGCCATTGCTTTGGCAAGGAAGGCAATACAAGTCAACCCTGTAGTTGGGATAGGCGCCTCGTTGCGGGGAACCTATTGGGTGTCCCTTGAAGTGCATGTGGGGTCAAGGTTGAGATGTTTTGCAGAAGGTACTGTCCCTGAAGCGTCCAAGGCTTCTCTTTTCTTGCTGCCCATATCTTGTACTACAAGTGCTAGGGATTTTGCCTGACCTCAACAGTGTAGGAGGCGAATCAGATCTCTGTGGCAGTAGTGGTGGCGTATGGCGGCTTGTAAAGGCCCAGGCTCCACGAGGGATCTTGGCTCTTTGTGTTTTGTGTTTTTGTTCTCACGCCATGAAGTAGGCGTGGCAGTGTTCTGTTTGTCTTGGTGCTTCTTGTGCCGCAAGCAGTTGGTGCCAGCGTCAATTCCACAATCGTTCCCGTCCTCATGTGCCTTGCCAGACTCTTTCTCGCACCTCCTCAACCTTCAACATCGAATCTGTTTAATGGAAGGTGGCTCGTTCACATTTGTACGTCTTGCCGGTATGTCTTACTTGAGTTGAAGGGCCTGCTTGCAAAGCAGTGTAGGTCCTCAGGTTGCATCAGTGTTGCATCTCAATCTGGCAGGCGGGATCGGCTGAGCTTCCAGATGCCTGGGCGGCTTTTAATGCCGCGACCGAGATATTGACCAGCCTCACTGCCTGGGAAGACTGGGGTGGCGAGGCCTTGGCTGAGACGCTGCACGCTGCTGCAGCACAAGTCCTGTCGGCTCGTTCGGATGTCTTGGCAGACGTGTTGGACATGCACCTCTCTCGACTTGCACGATTTCGCACCGACCCAGATGCCTGTCCCTTTGACCAACAGCTCATGACCTGGCAGATGCTTGCGCAAGCGCCACCAGCCAGCCTGACCCTTTTCAGAAGCTTTCAGGACGACTCCCTCCAAGCGCATCAGCGAAGCTGTGTCGAAACGTTGGAGGGCTTGGCCCATGGAGCGCCGGCTGAGGTCTGGGCATACAGGCTTGCACATTGCGTGGATGTCGAGGCAGCCATTGACCGGTGCTCCCCAAATGGCTCGGCCCTTGCAGCCTCATGTGCTGCTACGTGGCTCAGTCGCAGTCTTCCGCTACTCCCGTGGATCCTTGCATATCTGATCTCACCGACCAAAGAGTTGGATCTGGCGGCTTTGCGTCGTCTCCGCAAAGCCCTCGAGGTCTGCGAAGACAGCCAGGCCTTGGTACAGATGCGAGACGCCCTGGTTAATGCCTGCACGCTCTTGTGCCGCACCGCTCTGCTCCAAAAGGAGCCAGTGTCTTGGCTAACGTCCCTTTTGCTGGTCATGCATGAGGCATGCCAGGTGCTGCTGCCTGACATCACACCCGGCGCTTTGGCTGCGTCATTGGCAGTAGCGCTCGCCCCAGCGCTCAACGACCCGGGCGCGCAACCTGAGCTCGCTCCCTGGGAGGCGGTGCTTGGAACGCCATCCGAAGCCCTGAACCTGCAGCTCCTGCACACTCCGAGCACTGACGCCGCTGCACCTCTACGCCCTGAGCAGCTCGCCGAGTCTATTGCCAGGGCTCTGCACGGCGAGGCGGAGGTGCCCTTGGCCCCAGGCGCATGAAGACTTTGGACCGCCTTGTTTCGGAAGCACCAAAGTTTCAAAGAGTTGTTCGAGACACTGCCTCTGAACCGAAGCGCTCATAGTGAACCACCTCTCAAAAAGTCTTCCTTCATCCTTCTCGTACTTCCTCTTACTTCCTCTTTCTTCCTCTTACTTCCTCTTTCTTCCTCTTTCTTCTCTTCGTATCGAGTCTGCCCCCTTCACTTGCTAGGTCCAGGTTGGCCTGGCCGGATCGGGCCTCTGCTGCTGCTCTTCCGGCTTCTGCCCGACGCAGGCTGGTTGGGCATCAAGGGCCTCCCTTCAGTAACCGGCCTCTCTGCCCACTCGAGCTCGCGCAGCCCATCACACTCCCCCCCCTCCTCTTGCGAGTTTTCATGGACGGCAACGACAGCTGCTGTATAGTGGGCTTGTCTTCCAACGGCTTACTGTATGCCCCTGCCGCCCCTCCAAAGCCTGAAGCCTCCCAAGCAAAACTTGGCACTTGGTGAATTGGTGCAATGTGGTGCAACGTAGTGCAAAAGGCCCCCTGTGAGTGTCCTGCAGAAGCACGGGGGCTCCAATGAAAAATCCAAGATCCTTCAACAAGCGCGACATCTGAGAACTTTCGAGAAAGTCGCATGCGTCACTGCAGGGGGTTTCATGACGCTACAATGTTGCGTTTAGGGTAGGGCAGAGTGGGCCATGATTTGATCAAGTTTGGTGCGGACCGGGTGAAGCTCAGCTGCATCTTGTTTCCTGGCAGGTGGTTGCCCATTGCTCTGGCAAGCACGCCTCATTTCACTTCGCGCCATCAGGGGCTTCTGCCAGCACGATTCGGAGGCTGGGTGAGTGTTCCGAACGCGCAGGGTCAGTTTGTGTAACTCCATTGCCGTGGTATCGAGTTTCGAGGGTTCTCTGGCTGCGCAGGAGCGGCTCTCACATCGCCTCCTGGACTTCTTCCGCAACGAGTGCGGCCATGGGCACCTTTGGCTTCGCCACGCCGCAGAGTTCCTCTCGCCGTCGAACGACGCAAACGGAGGACACGACGGAGGGCAACTCGGGCTTCTCCTTTTAAGTTGTTCGAAGTGAGATTCCCGAAAGGAAAGAGAGAGCTTGAAGTGAGCAAAGGACAAGACAGGAGTTACGTAGAGTGGTCGACAGTGCTGGGGACTCTCTGGGACGAGCATCTGGTTCAGGAATGTCAGGTTGCCAATTGCCAGTCGGAAGTTAAGCTGGCCAAACAGAATTGTGTTCACGAGTTTGGAGCTTTGCGGCTATCAAGGGCTGTCGGGTCTGAGTGGCGAAGGCTCTGTGCAGTCCTTCATAGGTTTATTAACCGATCACCTCGGGGCCAGCAGTTTGATCACCTGAGTCGGTTGGCTGTTTCGATTTCTTGGCGCTGATGCCCGGTCTGAGTCAGCTCTAAGCTCTCTAAGGAAGACCGGGGCATCGGTGGCTGAGATCCTGCAAAGCGGTTCAAGCGGGAACAGCATCGAACAGTTCAAAGCAACTGCAGTGAGCACAGCGGCTGCCTCGAGCCTGGGCTTCAACTCGATCTCCGAGCTCTCCGAGCTGTCGCTTTCGTCAGTGCCAGAGTTCTTCTCCGCATCCATTCCTGTGTCGGCCTTGCAAAGTCGCTGGGCCGAAGCCTATTTGACGAGATATCCTCACAGGAAGCTTTCCTGGCGCCTCTGGGGTGCAGCACAGGTCTTATGGAGGCATTCGCTTGGGCACACCCTGCTCAAAACAACCGAGTTGCAAGCACACATTTTGCTGGCAAGTAGTCGCGATGGCTTCGATGCCTTCTCCCGGAAGGACTTTGAGCAGGCAGCGCTCACTTGGTCAGGAGTCGCAGCCGACAAACGTCTCAGCCAGGATTCGATGCCACAACCTTCGCCACTAGAGGCCTGGTGCGAGGCACTGGCACAGCTCACGGAGCCAAATGGGCCTTTGGAGGAGACGGAGACGGGCTCTGTGCGAGTGCGGCCAAGTTGCGACCGCTCCGAGATGGACCTCACAGACGTGCCAACCTTTCGCACCGAGGGCCCGCAGGACCTTGCAGCACGCATAGATAATAGATAGCTACGTAGCCCACAGAGCGCGTGTCGCAGCGGCAAATCCCAGCTCCGGACCAGAAGCCGCGTAGAAATGGTAAACGGATTTCGAGCCGAGGAGTCCCCGAGCCCGTCTCGGGATGCCAGAGCACCGATCATTGATGCAGCGTTGGTTCGAATATTGAAGTGCCGCAGCTTCAAGAGAACATGCCGGGAAGTGTTTTCCGGAGAGTTTTTTTTGGCGCATGGTCCTTGGGGCTGCCTTCTCCAGCAGGCGTTTCCACGTCCTCTCCACCGATGAAGTTCTTTCGAAGCTCGCGACATATCCCGAGAGCCTTGCTTTGCCACCGCCTGAGACGGTTACTTGTAGGACTGTACCGTACGACTTGGACAGGCCGACACTTCGTGCGCCAAGGCTGGACAAGCCAAGCGTGCCCAGCACAGCCTTCTCGACAGCCAGGCTGGCAGCCCAGGCGCAAAGTTTCCTCTTCGAGTGTTGGGAGCAATTGGGAGCATTTGCACAGTTTGCACAAACGAGTTCCTGCACTGCTTCTGGAAACGCAGGACACCGCTGAGATCTTTGGGCGCCTCTCCTCACTTTGCGCGGCTTGACGAAACGAAAGCATCACACAGGAAGTCTCGTGTGATTTCACGATTTCACGATTTCACGATTTCACGATTTCACGATTTCACGATTTCACGGGCTTGTGCGGGAAACATGCGAGAGAGGTTTCGGTTCCATGTTGATCGTACGTTCGCGATGCAGAGAAGTTCCATCCGAGGATCGCGGCATCCTCCGGATGGAGCGCAGCTCTCTCAGACACTTTGTTGAGCAGCTTGTGTGCAGCCTTTCCAACGGGTGCCTTAAGCTAGCTTCCAGGTGCCGACGGTGCGGCAGCAGGTGACTGATGCATATGCTGTTCTTGCGTTTTGCCTAACGACAAAGATTTCTAGTAAAGCCTTGTGACTTCACCCAGGGCGAAGGACAAGTTTGGCCATACATGGCATTTCTCTGTGAAGCATGCTCCGAAGATCTCCGAAGCACCTGCTGTCGGTGCCTTGCAGGGCAGATCGACAAGACGACGCGCGTGTTCTTCGAAGATTGACGTCGAGCAAGGGTGTCGACAGGGACATCCTTGCAGCGTGGTCTTCATTGCCGGAAGGCCCAAGAAATGGGGCAACATGCTTCTCCCCCCCCATATATCTTTGTCTTCCTGCCGCTTAAGGCTTAAGGTTCAAGCTGGGAAGAGGTGCTGCAGTGCTGGGAATGTAGGGGAATATCTCTGCTGCATCAGGTTGCAACAGCTCCAAGGCCTGCCCTTCCTTGTGCGTTGACCTTGGGGGCTTATACCAATTATGTTCATACGTTGGTATGCTCAAGTACCTTCACTTCGTGGTTATACGACTTCAGGGTTATGTGGCTATTTCATTGTATGACGATATGGTCATGTGACATGAGCAGATGACTGTATGACTATACGAGTAGATGATTGTGTAACTACTCCACATGGTTTCATCATTGCACGGTTGTAATTTCGTAATAGTACATTCTGCCACTATCATTCGATCATATTGTTGTGTTATTGCATGAACGTTTGAAATGGGTTCGTTGTATTGCTCCATGTCATGTATTTGGCCCAAGCATCTGCGTTCTACCCTTACTGAGATCGAACCTGTGGTAGTTGTTTGCAACTCGGCTGCAAATGGTGCCGGTGCTTGTTTCTGTGTGGCAGCGTAATCTCTGCCACCCAGGGTCCCTATGCGCGCCCGCCTCCTTCTGGCGCTGCTCGCCCTAGCAGGCGCTTCTGACTGAAGCCCTTCTGACCGAAGTCCCGCTGACCGAAGCCCTTCTGCCAAGAGCCTATGACTAGGAGTTTGCTTTTGCGAACGGCGACACGTTGATGTGGCAACGCTGTTTAGTCAGACAGCTGAAGACAGCTTTGCTCTTTGTGGTCAAGGCCTGTATGCTGTTATGTTTCGGGTGCCCGATTTTTGGCCTCAGACCTGGCGGTTGGCAGGGGAGGGATAGGAAAGGGCAAGGCGAGTGCCAATCGCAGGCCTTTATGCACCCTCAGCTCCCCAGCTAAGTGAACTACGTGGAGCGTCAGAGGCCATGTCCAAGGCACAAATAGAAATTATCAGTAGTTTTTACTTTCGCCCTTCGTGCTGCTTCGCTTTCGCTTTTTGCTTTTTGATGCTTGGCTCGCCGGGCAATCCGGGCTGGACACCCGAGGACAGCGCCTACGCTGTAGCGAAGCTTCGTCTTTGCTTACCCTCTTGGGCCTAAAAAACCCAAACCCCAAACCCTAAACCCCAAACCCTAAACCCTAGACCCTAAACCCTAGACCCTAAACCCGAGACCCTAAACCCTAAACCCTCAACCCTCAACCCTCAACCCTCAACCCTCAACCCTCAACCCTCAACCCTCAACCCTCAACCCTCAACCCTCAACCCTCAACCCTCAACCCTAAACCCTAAACAGCAGATCTGCAAGGCCAGGCTGCCGGCCTGCTTCGTGGCTCCGCGCAGGCGTGCTTCACAGCATTCGTAGTGATCATCACGCAAATGCAAATGCCGTGTTCCTCCTCTTCCTCCTGCATCCTCTTCTCCCTCTTCCTCCTACTCCTCCAACTCCGCCTACTCCAACAACCGCTGCTGCTGCTGCTGCTACTGATACGACTTCTCTTTCTACTGCCGGTGCTTGTGCTGCTACAGCTGCGACGGCGATGGCGACGGCGAGGGCGACGACGACGACGACGACGACGACGACCACGACTGCAACTACTGCTACTTACGTGCCAACCCCTCCGTTTGTCCACACCCATGCTTCCATTTCAAGGGTTTAGGGTTTAGGGTCAGGGTTTAGGGTTTAAGGTTTTGGGTTTGGGGTTTAGGGTTTAGGCCCCGAAGGAAGCCCGAAAAGCGGTTTGGGGTTTAGGGTTTAGGCCCCGAAGGAAGCTCGAAAAGCTGCACAGGGAGGTGTTTTCAGGGCCGAAAAGCTGCACAGGGTGGCGTTTTCAGGGAAGCGTGGCATGGGTTTTTCTCGACGCTACCGGGATTTCCGCATGCAGCCAAACCCGCAGACGGTGGTTGTTTTGGAAAAAGCACCGAAAAAGAGCCGTGCTTACGGACAACGCAGAAACACCGCGCTTGCGCATATTTGGCGTGTTTTCGGATGAATTGCGTGGGCAACAGAGCGGTTGCGTCGTACTGCTACTACTACTGCTACTACTGCTCCTACTGCTACTGCTGCTACTATTGCTACTGCTGCTACTGCTGCTATTGCTACTACTACTACTACTACTACCACTACTACTACTACTACTACTACTACCACTACTACTACTACCACTACTACTACTACTACTACTACTACTACTACTACTACTACTACTACTACTACTCTACTGCTACTGCTACTACTACTACTACTGCTACTACTACTGCTACTGCTACTGCTACTGCTACTACTGCTACGACGTCTAGCAATGGAAAAGGTACAACAGCAACACGAATACAATGAGAATACCGTATGCTGTATTTGTCAAAATTCTGTCTGTCAGGTTTTCATATTGTTATGGTATGTCGTACTTCGTAGATATAGTAGCTATTTTTGTTAAGATGGAACATGAGTAAAGCTAGTTTCAGGGTTTTCGGGTCGAGGGAAGAGGGTGATACGATTATCCAGGAGGGTTACGAAAGCAGAGTCGCTTCAGGAAGCAAGTCCCGTTTACAACAGGAGAACTTGCTGTGACCTGATTAGCCGTAGAGGCCGATGCGCACTCGGTGCAGGCGACAAAGGCTTGGCTGCCATATGCAAGCGAGCAGAAGGGTGTGGCCCACTTTGGTACAGGTTGCTTTGTAGTGTCTCCAGTTCTCAGGCAATCGCCGCGCAGTCCACACGGCATACACCCAGGCGCATGGCCGGTGCCTCCACAGCACCTCGTAAAGTCAATGTAAGCTTTCAATGTAAGCACGCTCATTTTCAAAGAAGTGTACAGTTCATGCAGACTTGCAGGCGGCCAGAGTCCCTCGCTTCGAAAATGGTGACTTTTCCCGAGAAGCAGAAGGCCAGCGACCCCTACCAAGGCGATGGCTACCGGTTGCATGACAAGCCCATCATAGCAAGGCAAACAAACTCAGAGCTACTTGATGCCTCTCATGGGCAGTTGGCAACATCACCTTCTCCAAGGACCTAGGGCCTCAGTTGGAGGCCCAGAATTCCGAGGATTTTTTTCTTCTCTTCAGATGATATTTGGCAGCAAAGCACCGAGGACACCAGAGCCGGATGCGGGAGCTGCGGCCCCGGATTGAACTTTGTGTGCTATAGTCAGAGAGGGATGTTGATCTTATCTGCCCTGGGAGGGGTGTGGAGCGCGTTTGTGCATTCAAGGTGTTGAAAGCTTCTCTTCAGTCTTGACACATTCAGCAGCTGCTCACGAAACGGGAGACATTGGCGCGGGCTAGTCGAGGCGTGCTCGAAACCAGAGCTGCATAGAGAGGGCGCACGGAACTTCAGCAGCTCGCCCTGCGACTGAGGCTCTAAACTCGCGGTCGATGAAGCAGTTTTTCCTTGAGGGTGCAATGGGCTCTAGAAATGCAGCTGTGCTGGGACGGCGCGCTTCTCTAACAAGGTGTCGGGGTCTAAAGCGGTGTGCCGCACTTTTCCGTTGGGACGTAGTGATGCGCCGTCATGATCCTGCATGTTCGTGCTGGAGGGGAGCAGGCAGCAGGGAAATGAGGGGACACGTGTCGTGAACGACAAGGCTGTGGTGCGGCAGAAATTGGAAGCAGAGGGGTGGGAAGGTCACAATGCAAATATGCTTTCAGCTCTGGATGAAGGCAGCGAGGTGCTGTGGAGGGGAGTTTGTGCGCTTTACGAGGAACGGAAACAGCGGGAGAGAGATGCAGAAGAAGGGATGAAGACGAACCGATGAAGAAGAAGAAGAAAAAGAATAAGAATAATAATAAGAAGAAGAAGAATAAGACGATAAATACACAGGATAGTTATGACGAGAAAGAGGAGGAGAGACCAAACCCCCAAAACAAGCTGGAGAAACGGAGAAAGAGAGCAATGGAGAAGAAGCTGAAGAGGGGGGGAATGATTGGGGGAGAGAGAGGAACAGAGCGAGACAGAGACAGTTTCTCTGGGAGGCAGCTGTCTCTAAACCTTCAACCGAGGGAAGAGGAAGACCAAGAAAGACTGCGGAACCAGCTTGCGCTATGTTGAGCAGAGGTGGGGTTGAAGCCTCTATTTATCATCTTTGTGGCGGCGATCTTCTTTGCCCTTTTGGTGGGAGTGCCCCGGCTACATGGTCTTGATGGTTGGCAGTGGCAGTGGCGCTCTTTCTGCACCCTGATCTGGTGTGTGCTGCAGGTCTGTGTCATCCTGCCGCCAGCTGAGCCTTCGCATGTTACCTCTCGAGGGGTTCAGCAAACTGGTTACACTCGATCGAGCAAACCATGTGATTCCATTTTCCCTTCAATTCAGGAAGCTGCGATACGTTAACACCCCATTCAAGCAACTTGCCCCAATCCGCGGGTTCCAGTTTTCCCGAATCCACGATTTCCAGTTTCCCGAATCTGCGGGTTCCCAAATCTGCGGCTCTGGTTTCCAGAATCTGCCGTTTTGGGTCATGAAGCCGCAGTTCTTAGTGTTCCGAATCACGTTCTTCTGAATGCGTATGTTCAGTTTCCGAATCATGCCCGGGGTCAAAGCTTCCTTTAGTCCGAAGCGAAGCCACAGCTAGAAGGTGCAAAAGCAAAGCATGGGGAGTCAAAGCCAAGCCACAGGCCGAAAAGCGCGGGGGAAACTGGAAGCCGCAAGACTCCAAGCTTCGAAGCTTCGAGATCGCTTGCTAATACCAACAAGGGGTGTTCCGCATTCTGCACGACAAACATTCTACAGCAAGTACACAAGGGCTTGGATGCATTGCTCATGCTTCCTTTGGGTTTGTCTGGAGTTTGCCCTAAACCCCAACCCCGCAACTGCGAACCCTCGCACTATCATTGCGGTCGCAGTCGGCAATGGCAGCCGACCAGGCCCTGATGCGAGGGATGTCTGGAGTTTCCGGGTGTTTGGGGGGAGGGACAATAACTAGCAAGGAAGAACAGACAACATCATGGGTCCAAATGCCTTCGACCGAGACAACTGCAGCAGCTGCAACATCTGTCGTTCCTTCTTTACACTTTCGTCTTTATCATGGTGGTAGTAACTTTAGCAGTTTTCGACCCTTGCGAAAGCATGCGCAAGCAGGAGTCTCTTGACAAGTGGAAGTTCCCAAGCGTGAAAGCAACGATTCGCACGATTGGCAGTCGCAAAGATGTAGTGCTCAAAGCTGCAAATTTGCTTAGGAGGCTGCATGTTCTGCCTTTCTTTGAAGATGTAGAGGCATTCCATTCCTACTGTCCAAGGCCTCGTTTGCAGGGCGTGACGCTGGGCATCGCCGGTACCCTGGAAGACAGGCGACGCCCCTGGTGTCTCTGCCTTCTTGAAGTTCTCGTGTTGGCGCTTCCCTTTCTCAGGTGGTCCCGCCCAGACCTCACGAAGTCCATCGATTAGACCGCAGCAGATTCCAGCGCCACGATGTGGCTTCCGCAAAGGCCTGCCTCCAGGTACCGAGGCCGGCTGCAAGAGTCTACGGGTGCACATGTCTGCTGAGCTTTGTGGAAAGCTCAAGGTAGACGGGGCCTGTCTACGTGCTGGATCGGTGATAGACATGCTGAGGGAGACTTGGGTTTCACTGTTCATACGTCGAGAGCAGCTGCCTTACTTGGTTGCGAGAGATGGAAAAAATGTGCAAGCACTTAGTCACTTCGACTTTGCCCTTTGCAGGCGCTGCAGTCTCTGTGAACCGCACATCGTCGCGCGCCATTGTGCCTCAGATCTTCAGATTAGGTATCTTTTGAAAGTCGTCTGCTTGGCCATGAGTTCGAGCACCGCAGACTCTTCAGCGGACTTCTTCCCAAACTTGCTGGAAGCCCGAGAGCGAGGAAAGCGACGCGAGGTCGCCCAAGCCACCCAGAGCCGGAAGGAACGAAGCTCGCCATTGCGAGGGCTACAGGCTGAGAAGGAGCCCTTGGAAGGTGTTGTGGATGTTCTTGTGGCCCTCCGGTGCTTCTTACCACTGCACTAAGTCGCAGCCTCCCAGTGATGTTCTGGGTACATGCGGCGACTGTTTTAAGCGAGTGTCGCCAGTAAGAAGCTCATTGAGAGCATGAGAGGACCACGCCAAGGGTTAAGCTTTGCCAAAGGCAGTTTGTCACAAAGTTGTACAGGAATCTTGAGAAGGTTGCAGATACCGTCTTCGCATAGACCTCGCACCATCCGGCCTTTTCACTTCTTTAACCTAAGCGGCGAGACAGCGATGATGTAGACACTGCAACTGTCAGCGTAGGGAGAGAAGGTTCGCCTGCTTCCGTATGGATCCAGCAATGGCGGTACCCTGCTTTTTGAATCTGTGGGATGCACGCTTGTACAGATCTTGGATTCGGCTGTGGCCTTTGAAGAAGCAGCTGGTGGCCATTTCTATGAAAGTGAACGAGTCGGACCCTGTCCGACGGAAATCGATGAGAAAATCTGTCAACACGGTACATGTTACCTTTAGACAAGCATGTTTGTTCTAGCTCGTAGCTGGTCCCTTTCGCTCATTAAACTTCACAAGCGGTTTAAGCTGGAATGCAAATCTGCTTGCAGTCTGTCCGACTGGATGTGTCTAGGTAAAGCGCTGCCTTACCACCTTACATCGTAAAGCGCTGTGTGTAAAGTGAGAGGCAGAGGAGACGCAGGATGCAGGCACTCTTGACCATGGCGAAGCACAGGCAGCTGGACCCGTGTGATCTTGCATGGGCGCCTGTCCTAAAACTTCACGTTGTTATGAAGGTACGAGAAGCTGCTCACGAAGGCAGCTCCACCGATGACGCGGTGAGATGTGAGACCTGCACGATGATTATAGGTCATGCGCTGGCAGCCACCAGCAGCAATGCGAACAATTTCAAAGCATGCGAACAATTTCAGATCAGGTCCAGACGAGCTGCGCAAAAAGCTACTTCCATGCACAAGGGATGGCCATATTCATTGCTTCTTGGCGCTTGAGGATTGTGTGGCCAGACCGCTGCAGGTTGCATTTGAGCCGGCTTCTGTTAGTTCAGCTTCAATGGACAGGAGTGCGCATTGAGACCTTTGTAGAGACCACTCTATAATGGTTCAAAGCACTCTTCAAGTTGCCCGAAAGAGTAGTGGTTCCAGATTCAGCTACGCAAACGTGAGATGTGAGCCGCGACATGACTCTAACTGGCCCGCGCCCTCCAGGACCTCCAGTGCGAATCCCGTTAACCAAGAGGACTTAAAAGGACATAAAAAGACTCACCGAGCCTGCAGGACCTGTTCAAGCTCTGCCATGGCGCTTGGGGTCACAGGCCTGCTGCTGTCTTATCTGCACATCTTAAGTGACGACGGTTCCCAGATTCTTCTCAGAAGTTGTGAGAATGCCAAATGCCAAGTGCAATGCGTGTCAGGTGCGTGGGGTCCATGCATATGTCCCTGTGGTCATGCAGACATGTGCCGGACCTCGTCGCATAGAGCCAGTGGTGGTGGTGCAGCGACAATTTTCTGCACCTTGCCTGGTACACAAGTCCTCGCTGACGGCTCCGGCCACTCCCGTTCCAGGACAGGGCATGAGAGGGGTGGGATAAGGAGGGAATGACCGTTCCAAGCTGTGTGCAATGTTGGTGCAAAGTGTCAACTGCCGTGCAGGCGACCCAGCGCTCGCCAAAGCGCGGGCCCCAGAGCGGGCCCCAGAGCGGGCCCCAGCGCGGGGCCCAGCGCTCGTCCCAACGCCAGCCCCAGCGCAAGCCGCAGCGCGAGTCTCGGTGCGACCAGCCGCTTGCACCCTGCGAGCAGCTGCAACTGGCACAGAGGCTGCTGCGGCTTCTCTGTTACTTCCCGCGGAGCCACTGCCCACCTGGGCCGCCCCGGCGACCCCCCCTCAGAGCTCTCAACGTGCCCCCCTCCAAGAGAAACTGGTAGAGGGCCACAAGATGGGCACTGACAGCGAGACAGCCCCTGCCGACACGGGTAGTGAGAGGGAGCTCTTTCACTCCAATGGCGTCGCCTCTGAATCTGACGAGTGTGTGTCGGGCATTTCCGTCAAGATGGAGGAGGATTCCAGCCAGATGCGCGCAAAACTCGAAGCAACCCGGAATGAGCTGGTGGAGAAAATGTCTGAGCTCATGAAGCTAGAGGCCAACCTCTCCGTGGTGCTGGGCGAAAAGCCAACTGCTTGGAGTTGTGGTCCTGATGGATCCAAGTTGTTGGACCCCACCACCCACTTGACATCCTTGAGTGCTCAGTCGTCTGTCGACATGCAGGACCGTTCCATTGGAGTGGTGGCCGAGGAGTATGAAGGTGAGAGCCCTGAAAGCGTTGAAGCGCCCATGCGGGCGCAGAGCCGCCAAACCAGAGCAGTCGCAACCACAACTGACGACCTCGGAGCGTCCGATGAGAATGTAAAGGACTTGAGCATAAGCCAGCTGTCGAGTTCCCCAGACACCAAGAAGGACCGAAGCGACAAGAGTGACACGGCCAGGAGCGTGCCGAGCCGCGCTGGTTCCGGCGGTTCGGGTTCCGGCCGGGTCTCTGCGTTGCTCAATGCGCCGCCTGTGTCGGCCCGCCTGTCGCAGCGCAGGAAGGAATCCAAGGAGCGAAGTGCAGAATGCAGAGAAAGCACAGAAAGCACAGAAAGCACAGAGAGCACAGCAACCAGAAATGCTTCTGGCATGCCCCCGCGCTCTGCGCGGTCCGGGCGCTCCGCGCGCTCTGCCTCCGCTTCGATGGCCTCCAAGCTGCGAAGGAGCTCGTCGGCTCGGGAGCTCACAGGCGCGCGCATCCTACACAGATCTCGGTCCTTCCTGAACGCTGCACATGCCTGTGAAGATGCTCATTTGCACGCCCCTCTGCACGCCCCTCGGTCTCGGTCCTGTCTCAACTCTCCAGGAGGTGGCAGCGGACTGTTGGCAGCAGATGTTGCGAGGTGTGCCCCATTTCATTCGTGATGAGAGTCATGAGAGTGATGAGAGTGATGAGAGTGATGAGAGTGATGAGAGTGATGAGAGTGATGAGAGTGATGAGAGTGATGAGAGTGATGAGAGTGATGAGAGTGATGAGAGTGATGAGAGTGATGAGAGTGATGAGAGTGATGAGAGTGATCAGAGAGTGCTGCAGCTGATATTTTGGAATGGAAGGCTCAGAGCCAAGCTTTGGGATGCTTTGCGCTTCGGATATGCCCTACTAGAGTTGATATTTGGGGTGTGTGTGTGTGGGGGCGCGCGCGCACGCGCATATGCGCCCTTTTTCCTCTGCTCTCCCTTTGCTCCTCTTTGCTCTTGTACGTCTTGCTTGACCTTGATTCTGCCTCGGATCCCTTAAGCCTTTCTGTTGGCGCCTTGTAGCATGTTGAAAGAGCACCTTGCCAGGTTGGTGGCTTCGCCAGAGATTGGTGCAGCCAGGGTTTGCTGTGGTTGTCGGTCGGATTCAAGAGCTGCCGCAAACATACCAGCTATGCCGGTATACACCCCAAAACGGCATGATGCATCATGGTGCCCAATCACGCAGGTACTTTGAATGACTTCTTGCCACACCCAATCCCAGAGCCTGAGGCCGTCGGAGACAGCGTGGAGCATCGTGGAACATCGAATGTTGAAGCTCTGCATTCCGTAGCTTCCGACAGGTTCTGCGAGAGAAGCACGCAGAGGCGACCTTTACTTGTATGTGCCATGCCATTGGTCCCTACTGACGAGTTGCGCAGATTTTCACAGCGTTGCAGAGGTGGTGTGTGCTAGCTGCGGCTTCGAGCATTCTGGCGGCCAAAGCACAACACAACTTTCTTCAGCTAGTAATTGAGAAGAAGACTTTTGGATTGGCCTAAGCTGTTGCACGTGCTTCTTCTGGCTCTGAGGTATTTGGCAAGTGCAAGCTTTTGCCACAACTGTGGTCACAAGCGTGCGAAGGCAAACGATGCTGCGCCTCAGCAGGTTGGGCCTTCAACGAAGATCCGTGTTTCGGCCTTGTCGGCTTTTCGGCCACCGAATCTTCACCGAATCTTCTTGTCGCAGGTCGAGAAGGAACGCTTGCGACGTGCATCCAGCGAAGCCAAGTTGCGAGGCGTTACAGGGAGTTGGAACGGAACACATCGACGGGTTTGGAAGATTGTCAAGTTAGCTTGTGAGTTACGTTGCAGGTGTACGCCGTCAAGATGCACCTCGTGAAAGCTTTCATCGGAGAGCTGAGCCCACCCGTGAGCCCGGCACCAAGATGCTCTTCCTGAAGCGTTGTTTCATCATGCAAAAGTTAGTGGCTGGGGCATAGTCAGCGACCGCAGGTTGAGGAAAAAGAAACCGGACAGCAGCCCCCCGAAACTTTGAGCCAGCAGTGTAAAACTGTAAAATGACCTTGAAGGACACAGGCTGGAGGGCCTCTGAAATCTGAAACCTTTGCCCTTGATTAGCAGTAAAGGCTGGCAATCTGAGCAGGTTGTGTGCAGAACCTTCGGCGCACTTGTTGAAGTTTGGAAGTGTGATCAAACCACCTGCCCAATTTGGTATTTCACGCGCTGCTGTTGACCCTGGATGGGCACGTGACAAGTCTGTGACAAGTCCTGGGTTACGAAGGAGCCAGCGCGCAATAGTCTGTGTCCAGCGCACACTCGCAGCTCCGGCTACTCAACTGCTCGGCCTCCGCTGCTTGCACCCAGAAAAAAAGGGATACCAGTCAACATCGGAAAGTGACACGCGCAGCTCTATCCTGCGGGTCCAGCACATGCAACTCCAGGCTGCAGGGTCCAATCCGACTTTGAAGCTAGGTGAGAGCATAAGCTGAATATGGGCAACAAATACGTCATATGCACGACTAAGCCTCTGAAAGTTGTCGCAGGATTTCTTAAATTCCGTTTGTATTCGGCTGAAATGGTTGTACCTCAGCCGCGTCATGTCTGAGAGCAGGGGAGCGTCTCAATAACTATGTCGGTTGATGGCATTGCTTTCTAGTCGATAACTTTTCCAGAGCAGGAGAAGACTTTCATGCAACGCAGTCCCTCAGCTCAGCACGGAGGGTCTGCATCGCCCCCCGGATGCGGATCTTGGCGCCCTCCGCGCACTTCCGTGCAGCCAAGCTCACCAAGGTGCTGAAGCTGGCCACACCGGGACGCGGCGGTGAGGATGGCAGTAGTTGCAGGCATCGCCCACCTCGCACTGCCGCCCGGACGCGACGTGCACGCATGGGCGCTGGCAGAGCTCCGGATGACCGAGGCGCCCAGCACTGACCGGCACCGAGATTTGCGGCCTTCCAGGTTCCTCCTCTGCTTCGTCCACTGATGGCACTGCCGGCAACACCGCTGCCGGTGCTTGCGCTGCAGGCACCGCCTGGCAAAGAAGGGGAGGGGCGCTGCGAGCGCGGCCGGTGCGAAGGTCCTTGCCCCGCTCTTCGTCCTCCAAGAGCACGTCAAGGAAAGTAAAACGACACTCCACCTGCGCCATCGCACCTGCATGGACCTACACAAGCTCCGAGCCTGCGCTGCGTCCTCGCAAAGGGCCATGTTCTCCAAACCGCCGAAGACAGCTCTAATCTCTGCAACCCTTCTGCCCCTGAAACCTGGCTGAAGGGGCTGGGTGGTGCGACAGGCGTTGTTGGAGTTTGCGAGCGCCGCATAACCCCCAAGTAAACCCTAAACCCTAAACTCTAAACCCTAAGCCCCAAACCCTAAACGCTGGCTTGGCTGCGCTATCAAGTTGTCCGTGGCAGCCGGAGTCGTCAAGCCGTACGCGGAGCGCACGGCGAGCGGGACCAAGGCGGCGAAATCGATGAAGTTGTATGGGTTCTTGCAGAAGGCCTTGGATTCAGGGTGTAGGGTTTAGGGGTTAAGGTTTGGGGTTTAGGGTTTAGGGTTTAGGGTTTAGGTTTTAGGGTTTAGGGCTTAGGGTTTAGGGTTCAGGGCTCTAGGGTTTGGGGTAGGATGGTCAGGCTTTCTGGGAGCTGTGTCTTGCATTGCCAGGTCACATGAGCCATGTGTTGGGCGTCCAACGGATGCCAGGGGCAACGGGCAGCTTTGTTAGACGGCAGCAATCAAAGTGGGGTTTGCGAGTGAAATCTGGGAGGGGAGTGTCTGGTCGAGGACTTGGACCATTGGAGAAAATCGAAAAGCCTCTTTTGATCTCTTTTGTATGTCCGTCTCCTATGCAAGCGGGAATTTGGTTCTCGAGCCCTCTCATTTGCTCACCCTGTTGCTCCACAAGTGGGCTGGACTTGTCTGGATTGTCTCGTTCAAGTCTGAAGCCAAGTGTGTTGTTGCTACATTGAATGTAAGCAATGAACCACCCTGTGTGCACACTCGTTATCAGAAATACTTAACACTCAAGAACCCTGCAATCCATGGATCGAGGCTGCAAGCCTTCTCCAACCTCTCCAGCGACAGGAGGCTCAAAAAAGCCCAGAGCGCAAACGAAGCCAGCACAAGCAAGCCGGAGCAACCGGGCAGGAGCACTGGCAGCCGCATGCTCTACCCTCAGTACATCTCGGTACCCTGAACGGGAATGCGACTCTGCTTGGCTGTTCCTTTCTCATTTTTCGTCTTCGATTGATACAAGAATGTTACATGACGCGAGGCTTTCAAGCCAGCAGTTGACATGCAACGAACAGCCGCGACAGTCACCCAGCCCGCAACGTTTGAGGCGAGGTCGACTTGTTCCCTTTGTTTGCCTGTACAGCCGATTCTCGGTGTTGAGTGCCTTTGCCAATTTGTGTGCGTGCAAATCGCAACAGCTTCTTTGGCCCTTGACTCCTTTGCCAGGCCTACAACGCCTCAGCGAGGGGCTGTGGGGGCTGTGGCACGGTCTGCCGGCTCTGCAGGCCATGGCACGTGGCACAGCCCAGGTTCGCTGGAGGTGCGTGGCTTTGCATGTCAGGTCCATCAGGTTCAGCTTCAGCCGCCAGTGAAAGTCAGTCGCCTGCCTGACCTGAGCAATCTATGGAGTGACAGAGTGCGCAGAGTGCACACTGCAGTGTGGATTGTATGTCGCATCATACCTTTCAGATTGTTTAATTGTGTGTGAGCAGTTTGCAAGTTTTGTTGGTCATGGCTCATGAGGCAGCAGTGCGTCAGTGCATCAGACTTCATGTTCAGACCCATGCAGACGTAGTGCGGACATGGTGCAGCTTTGCAGAACATTGCAGAACAGTGTCGATGGACCTAAGGCCACGGAGCATTCCAGGGCGAGAGCGGCGAGAGGCCAGAGAGAGTGCAGGATCGTTTTCGTGTCGTCTCCGGGTCGTTGCTTGTTTTGTATTGCTCACATCCTTTGCACCGTTGCGCACATCACAACAAAGACTCTCATGCCGACGCAACGTGCCGCGTTCTGGCTAGAAGATTCGCGCAGCACGGCATGGTACCGGCAGCAACCGGGTTAGACTAGAGTGACTAGAGTCTAGAGACTTATCAGAACATCACCTCCACGTTCACAGGCTCCAGGGTCCAGGATCAATGTCAGCCTCTCCTATCAACTCATTGAACGCAGTGGATGCATTCAGTCCACGGGGCTGAGTGAAGCCTTGGCTCGTAGCCATGAGTCGGCGCCTCGACATGCCTCGGCAAATCGCGGCATGCCTCTGCTGCCTCTGCATGTCTCGGAACATCTGTCTCTGGCAGCCACAGTTCCTCCCAATTCCCGAGGCAACGAGGCTGCCGAGGCTGTGGACGGCCTGGATGTCTTCCGAAAGCTGGAGAGCAACGACTTCCAGGAGGGCTTCCCGAAAGCTGACGGATGGCTACGGTTGCAATTGTAAGTGGCAGCGACGAAAGGTGGAGGTTCGGCCCGCACCGGGCCAGAAGCGGCCGAGAGACAGCGACGAGGTGGAGATCATTGAGGCCTTCGCTGAGAGTGGTAGACAAACTTTTCGCGACGCGTACGGAGCAACACAGGCCCCAGCGAGGTTCGACAGAGGCTCCACAAAGTCTTCGAAGGCCCCACAGAGGCTCCATTCCTGTTCCGTTCGTCTTTGTGCCAAGGCCAGGGCTGCGCCACAGGATCTGAACTTCGAAGCGCCTGATGTCTCGGACGAGGACCGGTATGCCAAGCATTTTGCGAAGCAGGGCTATGGCTTCCTCTTGGATGCGTAGGCACTAGCCAATAGACCACGGGGAAGCTCAGGCAGTTAGTGTGTTGGAGTGGAAGCCAATGCGACGACACTTTTGTCGGTAGTGTTCTGCAACCATCTTTATGCCCGCAGCTGCTCAGATGGTGATCTCAACAATAATAGCCAGACTCCCTCAGAATGGCTTGGTAGGCTCATTGTCCATGGCAAGTCTGCCGAATTCGCTTGCGGTGAAGCTGAATCGACCACTTGCAAAGGAGGATAACGTGAGGCTAGTCCTTTGTGACGCAGGGTCTCCGCCTCAGGCTGAACAACAACAAAGATTACTGCGGACACACATGCCATGCGTTGAGTCTGCACTTGCACTTTGCATCAAGGCCGCGTAGCGGGGGCATGGCGTACTATCTGGGCCGGTTGGCTTCTCAGCTGTGCTACATGCCCGGCCCTGTTTCACTGAGTAAGCACTTCTGTTCAGAAGTCAGTCGTCAGCACGTCTGGTGCCTGTTCAGTGAATCGGGTGCTGCTTGCTAGTGGCATGGGTAGGTTGCCCTTGAAAAGCCACACGTAATTGATTCGCACAAAGACTCTTTTCCACAGAAAAAACATTGATGCGGACATCAGGCAGTGGGAGCGCGGAGCGGTCCACGGTGAGGGCACCATCGACGGATCGCTGAACCCATTCTGCGATGCTGTGAGAGCTAGTTGCTGCGTGTGCTACGATTAAGATGGCAAGTCCTCCTTCCGTCGGGTGACGTGTGTTGTCGAGTTGCGATTGAGTGAGGAGATCCCGATGCAGCGCAGAGCGCAGCGCTGGCTTTAGCCGGACGCTTGAGAGCCGGTGCACAACATCACATGGCAAGATTCGTCGTCAGTTTCTGGCGCATGCTGACATGCCCTGTTCTGTAGGAAGCTGCTGGCAATTTCGTTAGATTGGTATGGGCTCAAATCACTCGTTCGAGGTTGAGGGGGGATGGGGCATCTCATCTTCAACCGATCACATGGTGGGAGTGGGGAAGTTTGCTTCCATTCCTTCCATGCCTGGAATTAAACCTTGTAGCGTGACGTGGATTTGAGGGGGACTACCATGTGTGATCCCCGTTCGCCAGCCCCTCCTGCTCCCTGCTTTGTCCCTGCTCCCCTTCCCCCACTGCTCCCCTTCCCCCCCTCTCCCGACCGCCCCCGCCCGCTGCCCTTCCCCTGCTCCCCTCCCCTCCCTCCCTCCCCCCCAACAAAGACCCAAACCCTCATCCAAATGCTAACCCTACGATTGCCTACCCTGCCCAAAATCCCTGGACCCTAAACCCCTGAAACAAAACCCCTTTTTGCAGAAAAGCCCAAAACGACTTTGGAACACGAAGCCCTAAGACCTGAAAACCCCCAACAAACCCTAGTGCTTCGATCCAAACCCTGAGCCCTTAAACCCGAACCGACCCTCACAATGTTCAGTGCAACGAAAAAGTTAAACACACGCTTACGCTAGACATGTTGAACTTCTCAGGTGGCTCCGGATAACCAGGCCGAGCTGGTCGAACAAGATGAGGACCCCACACGATTTGAACGCTCTGCCAGAGAGGACAGGTACACATAGTTTTCTCCTGTGCCCGATGTTGAATAGGACCTGGAGTCCACGGTGGCCAAGATCTCTTTCCAGATGGACGAGGCCTGCTGATTTCACCATGCTCCTTGTTTCATGACTGGTGAAATGCCCAAGGCCGAGCTGGCCGACACACCGTGGCGCCGAGCTGGCACCAATCTGTCCGACTTCTTCAACTTCGGCATGAGCGAAGATGAGTTCAAGGACCGTCTTGCTTGCTGTGTCCGAAATGCATGCCTCACTCCTTCGCCCCCCATTTCTTTGAGGAGTATGTGATGCGCCGTGGGGTCCGGGTGCGGCTGGAGGCTCCAAGCACCTGCGACCACGGATCATTGATAGAACGTGTGTCGCAGTTCATATTCTGTGGAAAGGCAAAGGGCCGGCGGAAGATTGAGCGTCTGGAAGGAGGGCGCCGGCGGGACTGACCCTGCCTTTGACGTCAGAAAAAAGCGGGCTCCACTCTTTGAGGCTGCAATTTGGGCTGTAAGAAGCTGCAAGAAGAACGTCTCATGTTCGGAAGCCCAGCCCTACTCCAAACTACAGGCCAGGCCGCGTCAAATGCACGAGGATGTGGCCAGGAGCCTTCCGGGGGGAACTGTGTTTGGATTTTCGAGGATGTTCTTAATAATAAGGTGAGATTTGGAGGAGTCTTGGAGCATTTTCTCTTTTTGACCCGAAGGAAGATGCCTCCTGCGGCTACAAAGAGGCCCTTCTTCTCGGTTCAAAGCATCTCTTGTGCCCGATCTGGCGAATAGCCTTTGCTATCTCATGCCGAAGAGCAAGACAAAGCGAAGCAAGCACACTCAAACACACCAAGCCTCAAAGCCAGAACACAAAATCCCCAAAAAGCAACAAATCCAAAGGCAGGGAGCTCTCCGAGGCCCAGAGGCCAGGCAGCTCTGGGTCAACTTGCAGCTCTCTGCTCTGCGTTTGTTCCAGGGCCCCTTTCCGACCCGATGCAAGTATGCCATGTTGCAGCAGATTGCCAGCACATCATGGGTCTCCTTGCCATGCTGCACCGAAGCAGCTGCGAGCCTGAGATTCAGGCCGATGTCCGATCGCGCTTGTTGGATAGCAGCTTGGGCCCCGGTGGCACCTAAGCGCCAGTGTACTGCTGGAGACGGGCTTTGCAGACTTGGAAAGGCCCTACGTTCATGGGGTAGTGGAGGGGGCTGGAACGGAGATTGAGTGTATCCTAAGTTCGGAACGAGAAGCAAGGCACACACACACACACACACACGCACACAGTGTCCTTACCCCCAGCTGACCTGACACCGCACTATGCAAGACAAAGAAGAGAAGAACGAGACTCCTTACAAGAGAGGCGCTTGGGCCTGTCTCGCTTGATTTGCCGAGGCAGCGTCCAGCGGAGGCCGTGGTCGATGGTCGGTCCATGTCGCACGAACTGGTCTCGGGACAAGCCAATCTTCTCTGCCGTTTCTAGTAAAGTCTCCTTTTCAACAAGCTCAGAATTCCATCCGGCCAGAGAATAATGCCACGCCTGCCTACATCTTGGGGAGCCAGCATGTGCTTGACCTGAAAAGGTACGGCCGATCGAAATCACCGGACTCCGCCGCCAGGCACCTTGGGGTCAGCTTGTTCAAGCTGAATGCTGCGGCCGGTGCTCAAGGTCTTTTGTGGGGGGTTGGGAACGGTTGGGCGGGTGGGGGGGGCTTTGCTTGGGTTTCTGCCAGGTACCGGCCGAAGCCAGGCATGAAGCCTTAGCCGTCTGCAATCTCTGCTTCGCCCACTGTACATACTGTTTGAACTGCATGAATGCAGCCACTTCAGCTTGTAGATTTAGGAAAATTTGCTGCCGGGCCTGCAGCATGCAGGAGACCCCTCCTGTCTCAGGGATGTCTTTTGGCGCTTCCCAGCGAGCTTTTGTTAAAAGCCCTGCTTGAGAACTGGTCGTTTGTAAGAGAGGATGCATGGACTGCTGCCTCCATGAAGCAGGTTGTGGTTCTTTGAACAAATGAAAGGCACACCAGGAGATTCACCGCGAACGGGCCGATCCACTCCACCCCATTCGGGGCAGTGTCTGTACTCGAGAAGGCAGGTGAACGACCACAGGCTGTCCTCCAACGCCCTGGGCATCGCTACGTTTAGTCACAAAGTGCGCGCGAGCTGCGCTGCCAAGATGAAAGGGGGTGACACATGGTGCCCAGCAGCCACCCTTGGTGCTCTCGGAGTGTGATCTGTAAGCTGTAAGACCATGGCTAATGTGGATGCTGCAACATTTGCTCCCAGCTTCTACTTGAACCACAAGGTACCCACGAGCATCCCAAAGTCGAAGCCGAAAGCCTCGCCGCTCCAAGAGCCCTCCAAGTCCCTCCACCCTTCATCTCCCCAAACCCCTAAACTCCTCGCATCTTGGGACCTTCCGAGCCTTGCTCCCCGTTTCGTGGCCGGGGGCTCGGTTGTCGAGCCAAGTTGCTGAGCTTGCCGTGGTTTATGGTCAACCGTTTCTGGACGATAGACCAGGGGACCATACCAGAAGCATCAGCAGCATCAGCATCACCGTCACCATCACCATCACGTGCAATAGTTCTATCATGTGGCGGCAGGGGCATGGTACGACTCAGCCGTAGATGGATTCTATTAGCACTTAGGGGTCGAAGTAGAGATTTCGGAGGTCTGGTGTCCAGAGTGATGGTTTCACCGGAAATCTGCTGTTGGTTTTTGTTGGGAAGGTGTGTAGGGGGGGTTGGAAGGCGTTGGTGGTGGAGGTGGGGGCTGTTCTTGTTGTGGTGGTGGTGGTGGTGGTGGTGGTGGTGGTGGTTGGGATTGCTGTGCAGACACGCGTGCCTTGTACTTTCAGCCAAGCACTTCAATAACAGGTTGAGGGTCGTGTCTTGTGCGGTGTAGCAAGGGGTCCGTCGAAGCGTTATGCTGGGGAGAGGTTTGGTGCTCGCTGTGGATGGGGTGTACTGTGTTCTTTTCTAAAGGAGTCTTAGCTTGAAGGAAGCCGCACAGTGCCCAGAGCTTTTCATTGGCCTCGCCTTGCCCGGCATGTCTGGCAACCGTCAACGTCATATATGACCATGTCAGTACAAGAAGGGCTCAGAACGACCAGAAGACTCGCATTCCGTGCAGAAGCCGCTGCAACTCCTCAGCGGTTTAGTCTCTCACGCGTTTCGGCGAGGCAAACATGCTGGGATATGCAAGCTACGACTCGGACGAGGAGCCATCAGGCGCAGTACGTGGCGAGTTTACAAGTGTTCACAGGTACTAATTTTAACGCTACGCGACCCGCCTCGGCCCGGCCCAGCGCATCCGCGTGAGCATGGTGATTCCGCAGCGCCCGAGTCGCTGGACCCCAAGAAATAAGGGTTGGGTTTAGGGTTTAGGGTTCCGGGTTTATGGTTTATGGTTTGGGGTTTAGGGTTGAGGGTTTAGGGCTCAAGGTTCACGCTTTGGGGTTTAGGGTTTTTTTGGGTTTAGGGTTCAAAAGACGGTTCGGCTTGGATTGATCAGAGGGGCGTAGGGGGAGAGAAAAGGGGGTAGGGGGGAAGGGCGGGGGGTAGGGGGGAACGGGGGGGGAGGGGGGAGGTTTGTTGAAGGTTTGAGTGCTTCGGGCCAGGTTTAGGGTTTAGGTTCAAGCTTAGACTCTTCAACTCATTACTGCCGCTAATCCTGGGGAATCGTCTGCTTGCGGACCCCGGTTTCCTAGGGGGGGTACCCATTTGAGGCAAACAAAGGGGTCCGAAAAATGGTTTTGGGTGTGGGGGGAGGATTTGGAGGGGGGTGCCTGTTCTGACAACCTATACACCTCTGGCCCGAGGCCTCGGCGGACTAGTCAGTTGTGAGATGATGCAAGATGATGTTGTGCTCATGAGTGTTTAGGGCATTCGCGGTTCTCCATGTTGCAGCTTGCTTCTGTGCAGCCCCTGCTGCCGGAGCCGCGACAGCAGCGCCTGCCGAACCGCCAACAGCGGCTGCCGAACCGCCAACAAAGTGGCCTCGCTTGGAAGACTTTAAGCTAGCTCAACGTTGTGTCGCGTGAATGGGCAAGCAAGGAAGCTGAATCCAAGCATCTGCACTCATCACCGTCGGGCTGAACAGACTCGTGTAGTATGCGCCTCAAGGCGGCAGCGCACGGAAGAGGCCGCCGTCGGTCGAAGCTCAGACGTGTCAGACGTGTCAGACGAGTCAGACAAGCAGCAGTTGCCGGGCGGGCTGCGGCCGGGAGCATCCGCAGGCGCTCGAGCCAAAAACGCTGGCGCGGCTGGGCTCTCATGCTGACATATTTGCAAGCACAGATATAGATATAGATCCGCCCACCATTCCCGCCCCTCTCTTTTCTCTGCTTTCTGTAAGTGCAACCATACTTGCATACACGTCTAGTCTCAGTCCAGAAAGGACCATTATGAATTTAAATTGTACACAGGTGTGCATCTGAAGACATGTCCTTTTCTATGAACATGTCGAGACTGAAGACATATGTCAAGGCCGGAGTTTCCAGCACGTGTGCGAGAGCAGAAGCTGCGCGAGATCAAGCGCGAGGCTGGGCTCAGGGGGTGCTTTCCCCGTGAATCCCGCGAGCGGACCGCGAGTCAAGCTCGTAAAGCTGCGCCTCTGACGCAATTGAAGTCAAATTGCACGACTCTGAATCCATTGATGTGAGATTGGTCTGGCCAAGAGCGCGACGGCGGTCGTGCAGGTGTGGTTCTGCTGAGTGTTTTGCTGGCACGCACTCACACAGACGTCAATCATGACTCGCCTCGCAGTTTGCGTGCGGGTGAAGCTACATCTTGACCGGGAGGTTGTCAGACAAAATCTACAAGACAGTGCCTTGCTTATTTCACCAAGTCACGGAATGCAGGGCGCGAAGTCGAACCGCACTCTGAGGTTGGGATGCCCGCTGGGGGGCAGAGGCGCTCTACCAGGTTCCCCATCTCCGCGAAAATGAGAACAATTCAGAATCGTAAATGTGGCAAAAATTGGCAAATATAGCTCTAGGATGGTAGAGCCTGAGATGCTTACGATGCTTAGAGCTTCTGCGTGCCTCCCGGCGCAGAGGTTGCAAAGCGGTCCACGGCAAGGACTCGACAGGACCGATTGTACTTGGCGCGTGAGACCTCGGGCATCAGTTGCCCAGCATTCCTTTACGAGGAGTGGGCCGAAGACAAGGCTGTCCTGAAACTGGCCGAGAAGCTCAAGGAACAGGCGACGAAATAACTGAATTAACTCCCTAAGCGGAGTGTGCAGAGCAGACGAGGCAGCTTCCGGAAGTCGGGTGCTTGGCAGTGTAGAGATGGTGGTTTCTGAGTGGTTTCTGGATTCATGCAAAGATTGCATCATCTCCGTGAACTTACGTGTGTAGCTGGATCCAGCCTCTCGCTTGGATCTTTTTTTTGTAAAAAAAATTTGCTCGCTGTCCTTGAGGCGACGTGGACATCACCCTGCTGACCCTGGAGGCCCTCAGGAGGATGGCGCTCCAGGCGCATCTGCGCCCTCTTAAACTGAGGTGCTCTTGAGTGTGTGGTAGGACCTCAGGACGTAGGATGCTGTGCAAGGAGCCAGAGGATCAGAAGCCGGTCATCGAGGCATGTCGACCCCTTCACGCCATTTGAGCTGCAGCGGCTTTCAGCATTCGACCCTGCAGCGCGTCCTCGCTCTCATGGTGGAACGCAACTGGCGCCACTCTGCAAAGAGTCGCGGGTCTCAGACTTCGGCTGCTCATAGAGACACAATGAGAACAAAGTTTGCGACCTCGAGTTCATCGACAAGCACGCAAAGAGTTTAGTAATAATCAAGAAAGGAACCTGGCCCCTTAAGGGCCTTGTAAAATTCAAAAAGACCCTTAAATGCTTCGAAACCTTAACATCTTAAGCGTTTTAAAACTCACGGCCTTTCACAGTTTTCAAGGTTGCAAAGATTGTTGCAGTTTTTGAACCACCTGGGCCTTCCCCAAAATACCTATGTGAAACGTTCAGGGGCACCGCAAATTCGCTAAACATCTTTGAAATTCTGAGCGCGCATAAAGGTCCTACATACATATGTATGAGCAGGTTATGTGAGGTCGCATCCGGTACCACTACCTAGCCTAAAATGGGGGGTAGGCAGGTCGTGTCGGAGGTTACAGTCAGGGGCAGTTCTTCTTTCGCTTTGTGCTGAGAGGGCTCTTGCTGAGGTTTGGCGCGGCTTTTCTGGCTCGGTGCACCTCTGAAGGGCGAAGGCTTCCTCCACCTTGAACAGTTCGCTTGTTTATGGGGAGTTCATAGGGAGACACAGGGAGTTCATAGGGAATTCACAGGGAGGTCAAAAAAAGAGCTCTGTTCTTGGTGTAGAATCATGTAGAATCAGAGGCGAGGAGTCCTGGATCATTCTTGTCAGGCTCCCTCAAGAAGCATTTCGAGCCCAAGTCCTTGCCGTCTCAGCTTCGCTCGAAGCAGACAGACCTCGCCAGGGGCCTGGTTTCGGACATCATCAACAGTGATTGTAGTGATATTGTCGTGATGATCGACATTCATAAAGCGGATCGGATTGTTAGGACGGGCCGGACTTGGCCCTGATACTGGCCGCCATGAAGGGCGAGAAGGGTCGCGCGCTCAGCTTAGGGTTGAGGGTCTTTGGGGGCTCGTTTTCGAGGTCCAAGCGCCTACGACTTCCATGCCTTTTGAGGTGTGAAAGACACTGCCCTCCAATCAAAGGCTGGGCAGCTGTTTCCGATGACAACACCCGTCCTTGTGTTGCTCTTTTTATGCTGCTATCCATGCTTCAGGTGGTCCTGCGACTGAAAGAGAAATTCATCCATCGCGGCCTTTCCGCAACGGCTGCTCAGATGAATTTGTCAGACTCGCTGAATGCTTAAACTTTGTGCTTGTTCCCCACTCGCCATGCCGTACCTCGCCACGTAAGAACTTGGATGTTTTCCTGCTTGATCTTGGATGTTCCTTCGATCTTTGAGGACATTGTGGAAATGGCGGAGGCCCTGCAGGTGGATGACAAGCATAGCCGTAGCTTTGCATTTTGGAGCTTCTGATCTTAACGAACAGCCCCCGAAGAGCGGGGAACGCGCTAAAAGAAGCGCCAGGACTTGGGCGTCCAAGATGAGGAGCGGGGGGGCAACTTTTGAGAGCTTGCTTGTGCCTGCGGGGATCCCGCTGGAGCTCCGCCTGTTTCCCCTCCCCAAAACCCCTAGTCTACCCTAGTCTGCCCTGTACTACTATTCTACCCTATACTACTATACTCTCTCCCCGCCCTGAGTATATATGTCGGCTGCCCCGACTCTTCACAGGCAGCTCTGCGGCCACTCGGCCAGGAAGCCCTGCGTCGGCGAGGCGAAAGAGCTGAGTGAAGTTGTCATATGCAGCATAGAATCACGTGTTGAAGTGTGGTGAGAATATGTGAGAATCATATCGCTCCCCCGCATGTGCTCGGGGGCTAGGTGAGCTGACTCCCGATGAGTCACACCGTATCCACACTGCCTACCAGGCACCTGTCGATCATGCTGGAAGAATTCTGAATAACCTCTCAAAGTCAAAGGCGATGCAGCTGCCTCTGCCGTGTCGCGCTTACAGTGCTGTGGAGTGTTGTGGCACTTTGGGCAGTATGGTCCGCTTCTGGCTTGTGGGCGGTGGTTTGTATTTCCTCAACATCTTCTGAGGAAGGTGTGGGATACGCCCGGCAGCATGAAGACAAAGAACACAGCAGATGGCAAGATCACCACACAGGAGGGACGTAATGTGTTGCAAGTGCTGAGCTCTGGACAAAAGATCCTTATCTGTTAGCGCTAGAAAGCATACAAAGTTGTGTATGTTGGTTGAATTTCAGTGCGTCGTCCTTTCCTCCCCTGGCAGGCCTTTGCTTTACAAGACGGGCATGAGAAGAAGCGGCACGGCAACAACGATGCCTGGCTGGATGGGCTTTGGGAAGTAGCACAGTGGCACAGTTCAAGCCGTGCTTCTTGGCAGACTCCTACTGTGGTCTAGGCCTAGGCCCCGCCCCCCAAAGCCCCCTGGCCTTGGGTCACCCTCCATGGGTAGGTTCTTCATTTGTCCCGAGTCTTCAAAGAACGTCCACTGGTGAGATAGACCCACTTCTCCTGGGCCGAGTTCATCGGACGCGCTCCAACCTCCCCCCCCCCCGGTCCTTCTCCCTGCACATCCTTACCGCAAGTTCAAACGGCAACGAAACACGCTGAGTTCTTTTTCTGCTATCTTGAACTGGCGCTTAGTGAATATCTTGTGGATTCTGAATGTGGTGTAGTGCTGTCAGGGAAACTTGCTATGCCGGCAATGCTGTTTTTGGCTGTATGTCACAGTAGAGATTTCCAAAACGCATTTTCGAGTGGTGCTCAGGGCTCCTTCATATCTCAGTAGCCTGGTTGTTCGGGGGGGATGGCTGACGGGGACCTTTCGGGAAAGCACGTTCTGCATCCGTGCACAGCTGAGGACTTCGAGAGAACGTGGATCTGGCATCGTATGTTTGGCTTAGTTTTGCTCCCAGTGTGAGGGTTGAGATGGATTGCATGGCAGGTCTCCACCCAGAGTTGTCCGAGACATGAAGATGTGCTCGTACTGAGCGGGCAAGCAGGGGTGAGGTGTAAGAGATGCGTCAAAGTGCAAAAAGAGTCTGGGAAAGTGGAAGGAAAACACAGTCTGCTTCGCATCATGATGTTCAAAGCATTGCGACCCGGACTAAGCTGTCAAGTTCAGTCTATGACTCCTGCTGGCTCTCTCAAGAAGACCCATGTATGCATGCGAGTGCTGCAGACAGGATCGCACAACCAAAGGACAGCATTGAATCGCAGTAACACCCTCTCCAATCCAGTTGTCGGAAGTCAACGGCGTACATCACCCAAACAGTTCAGACAGCCTGCCTCCTTGCGGAAGATGCAGGCTTTTGAGGCGGGCAGCGTTCCTAGGTTCAGGAGCCTGCAGACTAGCCCCCCAAACGAAAAGGTTTGTTTTTTGCTGGCTCTGTTGCTGCAGCCGGGGCCTCGATAGGCCTCGCCTTCTCTAACAAATTGGGTGTATTACAAGCCCCTCCTGCCTTGAACCTCTGAAACGCTCAGCCCTAGACATCCTAAAGCGCAGCCTTTGAAGCCACGGATGGCACCAGGTAGGACGTGAGCTCCAGAGTTGAAACTGCTCTCACGCTTGAATTCTGAGCTAACGGGGGCTTATAAGAGGGGGGAAGTGGGTGGTTCTGGGGCAGCGGTATGCCTCCATGTTTCCTGAGGTCTTTGGCGCTAGCCATTTCAAAAGCATGTATTGTTGACCAAATGGGAAGCTTCATCTTGAGTCGCCAAACGCCTGTAACTTAACAAGTTAATCCTAGCTTCTGATTGGAAGCCCCCCACCCCCCTCCCCCCGTCTTCCCGGGAATTAAGCAACATGCCCGGAGAATAATTAATGGCAGGGGAGGAGGGCGGGGCCTGCTCTTTTTCTCCTCTTTGCCTCTTGTGTGGAAGTAAGTTTAAATTAAGTCAAGTAGCTCATTCAGCCATGAAGGTGCCAGTTGCAGTTCGCTAGCAGGTCTCCTGTTCGTGTATTGCGGTCCAAAAAAGCGTGAAGAGATCGCAGCGTCGCGCAGTTCTGGCGTCCGACTTCACACCTTGCCCGGAGTGGTGCAAAGCGAAGTCCGGCAGAGACTGCGGCATCGCACTTCTGCACCTTTGCTTGAAGCTGCGCGCTGCTGCTTCGACATGGACGTCGCCTTGTGTTGTGGGCATACAGAAAGGTCGTAATCCGAGGATCCGATGAACAAAGCCCTGCGAATTCAAGATGTTTTTTTGTCCGTAGCCCCTCAAGAAAAGCAATTTCTTGTACGGAGACCGACTTGCACAACCCGGAGGTTAAAGCAAATGTTTTGGAAACCAATCAGTAACAAGTTAAGGGATTTAGAGATGCAATGCTGCAAGCTTACGAAGTTCACCAATTCAGCAGAGGCCGAAACTGGCCATGATGAAACATGTAAAGGGGCTGCGGAAATCTTGCCCCACGTAAGCCAAAAGCCCACGCGCGTAAGGCACGCGTAAGGGTCCGCGTTTGCAACAAGTTTGACAGCGGAGGGGCCTCAACCGTAGACTAGATCCATTGGCGAAAAACCAAACATCATTCACAGAAGCTCCATTTCCGCGCAAGCTCCGCAAACCGGTAGGCCATCCATCCAGAATCTTAACAAACCGCTGGCTTTTGTTCAAGAGGGGGCGGCTGGTTATTTGTAGAATTTCAGGGCTGGAAATCCTTGCGGCCGGCACCTACCGCGTAAGCCAACACGGTGCGCGTGTAAGTACAATGCACGCGGCGCGTAAGCACAAAGGTTTTACGCCGAAATTCGACGATGGGTTTTGAACGCCGCTCAATTAGCAAATGATCCCCTGCAAAACTGCCATCAGAGTCAGCGAACAGTGAAGTGAAGTTGCGAACTGCCGGTGGTAGAACACCAAGCTAAGTAAATAAGGTTTACTTGCCGATATCTCTCAAGTACTTTCACCAAATCGAATTTGTTCCATAAGTACTTTCTCCAAATCGAATGTCTTCGTAGGCCCGAAGAATCACATTCAAATTCCGAGAACGACCAGGAAACATGCAATGGCTTCACTGGCTGTACGTCTTATTATCTAACGGGTGCGTGACCTAAGACACATGATCACGATGTTCCTTGGTTCCATAGGTGGAGGCTGCGGCAAGCACCGCTACAGCATCTTCGGCCAGCAGGCACTTTGACCACCTCAACATTGCGGCTCTCCCAAAAGCCGAGTCTCAATCTGCCGGGCTCCAGCAAGAGCTTCGTTCGAGATGATTTCAGGTAGTGTCTCACGAGTCCCGCTTGTCAGGAAGCGGTTTGACACGTCATAGCAACATTTCACATCTGGCTGCTAACTGACATGGCGCGAAATGTTCCGGATCATATACCCGGCAACGACTCATGCTCAGACGCACTGCAGCCTTCGCTGCGCCGGTTTTTCTGCTGGCTGCCCTTCTGGGTGGAATGGAGCTCAGTGCACGGAACTGTCAGAGGTATACGCACATCAAGCAGGATCAGCGGTGCGATATCTCTATGTTAGGATATGAAAGTCACTCCCTCGCGATCACGGTTGACCCTCCCTTGGCTGAGGTTGCGCGCTGGCCGGTGTTTTCTCATCCCCTTCAGACAACCTGGACCTCAGCCTGAAGCCGAGTGCATTGCTTGGGGATGTTGGAGTGTTTTTGGCGAGCCACTTTCAAACTGGGAATGTCTGAGCTTGGAGTCCTGGAGGCCGCACGGTGTCCCTGCTCAAGTCGCAAGTGGCAAATGCCGGGGCCCCGAGGCAGCAAACAAGGTGCTCCGCCACGTTGATGTCTCACGACTTTACTTCTGAACAATAGTGATGCTGTGATGGCAAAAGTATAAGCGCGTGTATTCTACCGAAGGAAGACCTCCGTACCACCAGCGCGATTACGACGACGACTACATCTACTACTAGTCTACTACTACCGACTTCGAAAGCGCCTGCTACTGATGCTACTGCTGCGCTCCTTTACTACTACTACTACTACTACTACTACTACTACTACTACTACTACTACTACTACTACTACTACTAGTAGTACTAGTACTAGTACTAGTACTAGTACTAGTACTAGTACGACTACTACGACGACTACTACGACTACTACGAGCACTAGCACTAGCGGAGGCGGCTTAGGTGCGCCCGGTGGAGCGAGCTCGGCTGCTGGACTTGGCAGGGTCTTGAACCACAGTACGCCTTGTGCTATGACTCGGGCTGCGTTTGGGTGGACCAGTGCTGCGTAAGGGTGGGGCGGTTGGCGGGCTTGCGCTCGGGAGTACCCGGCGTAGGCAGGGGCGGGTGCTGGACGCCACATGATGCCCACCAGCTCAGCGCTTTCGGCGCGTGCGAGACGGGCTAAATATCTTCGGCCCAGCAGTGGCGTTTCCTACATGGTCCTATCTTGCGTAGTTCTCTAATGCCTTGCGCTTGTGCGGTGGGCTGCAGCTTCCAAAGTCTTAGGTTTCCGTAGGGAGGGTGTCCTACAGCAGTGCGGGAGCACAGGGGGCAACGGCGTAAGCTCGCTGCACGTCGTGGCCCGTAAATGCCGATTCGTGGAGGTCGGTCGTCCATGCATGGAGGAAGCATTCGGAAATACAGTGCTTCGCGATGTAGCCGAAGTCCTTGGGGTGTCAAAGGGCCAGGGGCTACCTTTGAGGCTTTAACCAAGACTGTCACTACTCTTCATACTCCGGCATTGTCTCATCCGTGCTGACGCCTGAGGCTTGCGAAGAGACGGGTGAAGCCATGCCCGGACACTTCGGCCCGGCGCCTGGGAAGCTCTTCAAAAGGGGCCCTGTTCCATATGGCACCTGCAATATGGGTGCATTTTATGCGAGTCTCAACAGGCAGGGGCCCAAAAGAGGGCGGTGTGGCCAAAATCTTGAGAGGCCCGCGTTGCACAGAGGATGGCCATTGGGCTCCACACCAGTGCTCCACCCTGAGAGCTCGGTTACCAAACGGAGATTTGTGAAGCTAGGCCCTTGGAGTATGCAGAGGGTATACTAGGATGGATAAGGTGATGGCAGCACTGGCATGTGCTGGTGCGCGGACAAGGCATTGTGCACACTGCCCTGGATCCGGGGCTTTTGGGGGCTGTTGCATTGGCGCAGGCTGGCCAGTTGCTGGAGGGGAGCCTCGGGAAGCCTGGCAAGGGGCCAAGGCGGGAAACCGTCGAGAAACCAGCACAGACTGCTGTCAGCGTTGCTTGATTCGTGGAGTGACTAGTCGTGCGTGCGGCTCGAGTTGCCAGGCATCTCTGGCAACCATCCTAGAGTCTAGAGGTGGTTGCATCTACGCTCATGCATCATTGCATCTTGCCAAACAGCTTGCCAGCAATGGGGCATGGCATAGTGGATCGTGCATCATGTCAAGCGCACATCGAGCTGGCTGCACACAGGAAATGTGAGTCACGCCTCGCAAGCCACGCTCATTGCAACTCACACTCTTAGGACTTTAACGTCAATGCCTTAGAAGCGTCCCTCACCATGGGTCAGGGCCTGTCTGGGTTTCTCAGTTATTTTGGTGGCGGCGTGAGCCAAGCCCCTTCCCTGGATGAGGATGACAAGGACAGCATGTGAGCATGCAGCCCCAGTGTGATGCAAAGGTATCTGGTCACATATGCTCATGTCTGATCCCTTGCAAGGACATTCCAGAAGCTTCCCGGAGATACAAGACGTGTCTTAGCCAATTGCTGGTTTGAAGACATCAGCTGCGTCTCATTTCCTCGAAAGTCTCACGTCCCAGGTTCAGGAAGCATCCAGAGCTGTTTGACAGTCGCATTCTTGACAGCTGGGTAGCTCCGGAGCTGGTGGACTCCTGTCTGCCAGAGGAAGGGTTTAGGAGGTTTAGGAGGTTTAGTCGCTTTAGCGGACTTTAGCGTGTACTTAGTGCACTTCATGCCATGTCAACCATGTCAATGCCATGACCGGCCGCTTTGCTTGTGCTTAGGAGATTGTCCAAGCCTGCAAAGCTGGCTTCAACTGCGAGCCGCGCGAAATCTGCCCACACCTGCGTCCTGGGCTCAGGCTGCTGAGAGAAGGATGTAGCGAAACTCAGCATCGAAAAGCCAGTACTTGATGGTCTTTTCAGGGCTTTTGTTTACTGTTCTCTCCGGATGTCAATGCGCCACCGAGGCGAGGAGGTGGCCGGAGTCTATTCGTTTCCCTGCTTCACCAAGGAGTTCATCTCTTGCTTCAACGAGGAGACCTCTAGCTCGGGTGTGAAAGCGACCCAGGGAGTTTTGGACAGGAAGAAACTTGGAAGTGAGTCGACAAAGGAGATTGCCAGTTTCTACGCATCGGGCATCCCAGCACGGCGTCCGAATTCCATGAATAATTACGGCAGCTTTGCTGACGTGAAGCTGCTGAAGCTCCGCTTTGGCTTTCTCATGCATACTCGGTTGCCATGCCATGAATGAGACGCTGGCTGCCGAGGTGTTATCGTGAATGAGATAGGTATGCGACCGATGATCACGGAGTTCCAGCAGAAATACATTTGGCCAGTTGCAGCCTGCCTGTTTGGTGTAACCACTGTTGCAGTGCCCTTCTACTGTTGCATTAGGCTGCGCGACTTATTGAGACAGCAACTTGCCTGGTTAAGGCTAAAGTGCTGTTCCCAAAGCAGGTTGGGTGCTGCATTGGGCATGTTGAAGCTATGCCGACAGATGCTGGCACCCAAAGTTGCGGTTCACCCGGAGGCATCGCAGTTTGACGACCACCACTCCTTCATTGTCAGATATACGGCTTCCGAAGATTTGGGGTTGGACATGCATACAGACGACTCTGCTGCTTGTCTCCATTGTCTGATTGCAATTACGGGATTGAAGAAGGTCACGAGGCTTGCACGCTGGAATCATTGGCTCGAGCTGATGCTTTCTGCAGCAATATGCAGCAATGGAGAACTGCTAAAAGATGTCATACGCTGTCCTAGCGCCGTTTCTCCGAGGACGTCACCTTCAACGTGTGCTTAGGCCGGGGTCTGCGCAAGGGGGCCTCGTCAAAAGATTGTTTCAGGCTTCCTCACTGTTTCCGTTGTTTTCTCATAGAAAAGGTGTGCCAACATCGTCCTCATGGTAGCCCCTGCCCGCCCCCCCCTCCCCCCCACCCCTCCCTCATTCTCGGGTGGCAGGAACTATCCTGTATCTACGAGCTGCTTTGTCAGGCCATGAGTTTACGGGAGCCACGCTGACCTTTTGCGGATATATGGGCGCGCCAGATCACCGCAAGGCTTCTCCTGCTCTTGTCGTTGCGAGATGTTGAAGGAGAGCGAACTTCTGGACGTTGCAAGATGTTGAAAGGCAGCGAACTTCCCCATCGACCCTACCTGCAAAAAGGTAGCCTCTATGTAGCTTGCTTGGCATGAGCAGTTTTGCTGTTTGAGGGAATCCAGTTGAAGCCTCCAGCGCCCGCAAGCAGAAGGCTCACGCGGCTTCATGAAGCTGCACGTATAGTGTAGCTGACTCATGTGGAAGGCTCGTTCCTGAACCAGCCATGCCTTTGTACCCAGTTTCCCTGGACAGGCTAGAACTGGGCGAGAATTCGCTATGTACAGATCGAAACTCCAGATGCGCACAGAATCTTAGTTCCCCATGCAGGCCTCCCACGTCTACGCTCACGAGGTGCGTTGGCCACAAGAGTTTTTCAAGCGGGGTGCTTGCACACTTGATGTCAGTTCAGGGTTCGGGCAGAGGGAAGCGAGGCGAACTTAGCCTACTAAGCTTATGAAGGCGTTGACAACTTGAGCTTCGACATGGCACCTGGCAGACGTAGCATGGTGAATCAGCTAAACTCATGTCGCAGGCTCGCAGGTTACACCCTGAATGCACGCGTACGCTTACCATCTCACAGCTCCACCACGAGATTCCGTGAGATGCCTGTCCACTCATTGCAGGTGGGGCGAGCCGTCTTGCATCTGGGCAGCCGACGGCATGGTGCTGATGACATAGCTTCTGGTACTCGGATGAACCTGATCGTTTGGTCGCTCGGCGGCATCGCTTGCGCTCACTTGTTCCTTCGCATCCTTCGCCGGCGTTCCAAGCTGCATGCTGTCAAGAGCAGCGAGGTCTCACAACAAGGCGTGGCGACGGGTGCATCGTCTTCGCTTAAGCGATGACTATGAGTCCCAAACTCAAGCGTGCCTGTAGCTGACAGCAAAACTCCTTAATCCGAAGTCCGGCGTCATCCAGGAAAGAGGAAGGGCCTCCAGATCCGGTCTGTCTAAGCACCTTGGTACAGTCCTGGTGTCGGTTATTTGCATCTGTAGAGACAATGCGGGAAGCTGCTGTCCGCAGCAGTACGCACAGGTTACACCCATGATCGAGACTACCTGGCCTACAAGAAGAAGCCTGTTGGCCGTGCAGCGGGGCGCAACCGCGCCTGGACACTTGGCTGTGAAGCTCGAGTCTGTGCCCAGTTCATGCAGCAGCTGTAGATGTTCTGAAGAAGGCCTGTATCTACAGAGTCGAGGACCTAGGAGGTTTGGGCTAAATGTGGGCTTGTGGCCGATCTTTTTGATGAGGTGCCCACCGCCTGGCATGGAATATGAGGGTTTTGGCGACAAGGATGACGACAAAGACGATGCCATCCTCTAAGATGCTGCTGAAGACCTTAAGACCTTCCATGATCGCCGCTTACATCCAGACAGCGCGTTGCCGACGTCGACGTGCTGACACACTGTGCGTGGTTAGGGCCAGGTGTTCTCCACTGGCACCCAAATGTGACGGACGTTGTTGTGCTTTAGCAGCACAGCAGCCCATGTCCAATATTGCCTCCGGAGATGACTCCGAACACATCAGATCGTCTGCACGCTGCGCTTTTGCTTGGCACAGTCATTCCTTGTACAGTTGGTTCCTCAGGAACTCCAGGGCGAGCAATTGCTTCCCCACTCATTGGACCCATTGCTGGCGCTGATGATGTGGAAAGAGGTGTTCCGCAGAGCGAAGAGTTGCTTGAAGCACTTGGCAGGCATGAGGACTGCGAGACCTTGCGCGACCTCCAGGATTGTTAAGCCACGACGGTGGTTTTCTGCCTGATGTGCGCATTCCTTGCTGAAGTCCAGATCAGAGGGTGGTTCATTTGGGATGAGTTTGCGCTTTCCAGGAGGGTGGCAACAACACAGAGTGCCACCTAAGACAGTTGAAGGTGGGCTGCGCGGATGAGTGTTCATTCTCGGGCAGTTGCGAACTCTTCCTGGGAATCTTGAGAACACTCAATCCCACGCATCGTTTCCTCTCAGTCTGTCTCTGTTTTTTCCCAGGAGTGGATCTATATATTGCTTTCTTTGAGGCTCTGCTGATCTCTGCTGTGCTTCTCTGGGCTTTTCAAGGCACAACTTCAGCCCCTGCTGGGCGCCTTGCGTGTCCAGTGCCGCCCCGAGGGTGGCTACGCGCCACACCAGCGCGGAGCCCAAGAACTCGCTCCGGAGTCGCAGGATCGTAGGCTGGAGAGACGTACGCTGAAAAAGAGCCTGTTGAGAACGGGCTTTGAGAACCGGTTTTGGAGTTTGGGGATGCTTTGTGGTGTTTGGCACTCATCGCGAACCGCATAGGCATGCAGCTTTTTTTTTTTTTGGGGGGGGGGGGGGGGGGTGCCAGAAAGCTAGAGTGAGCTGCCCGCCCAGTCAGGCGTTTGCAAAGCCCTTCACCCCCGATCACATCTGCAAATAGCCAATGAATGCCTGAGACCGTACTCACCGTACTCCACAAGATGCGCTCTCAACCGCTCCGCAAGGTGTTGGGGATCGACCGGCGAGTGCTGGTGCTCGGATGCTTCAGGCGAAGCCCCGACCTGCACCAGAGCCATGAAGGAATGAAGGGCAGAGTGGCACAGTGAGTGTGCGTTGGAAGCACCTTTCATGTTGCAGCATTTTTACTGGGCTGCCAACCATGGTTTATGTAACTCACCGTAGCTGCCAATTCCACCAGTAAAGACGGTTTGACCCCTCAACCCAGAAGTGCCAGCGCAGGCAAGGAGCTCGCCGGAACACGGGGCCGCCCGGGCCCCTCCCCGGAGGATTGCCTGAGCCCCATATGACTCCGCCTCCTCTCGTGGGCGGCTTCGGAATGGCCTTTGATCCTCATGGGCTCCGAGAAACAAAAACAAACAAAGGGGCACGTAGCAGAATTAAGTAGACAATGTAGTCGTGTGGTGCAGATGGGTCCAGGATTTTTTTTTCAAAATGGCGCTGCCATTGACTCTTCAAGGCGCTTCCTCCTGCCAGCGCTGCACGGCACCGGCCTAAGGTACTGCGTATGATCACGGCTCTTATGGTCAGCTTATTATTCACGTTATGAAGAATTGTGATGAGTATTGTTCATCTTATTCGTAGTCTTTTATTCAGGTCATTCATGATTATTCTGCCACGAAAGCAAGCGTTTCACCGCGAGCGCCCACTCGGTGGTCTCCTCTTCTTCCCATGAGGCCGAACATCAGCAGACGGGCATGAACTGCGTGCTGGGAGCCTGTCTTCCTGAGGACTCGCTTACATTTTAGCAGTGACGCGCTGGGAATACGGATGCTGTTGATACACGTGTCGAGCTGAAAACAGTATTGCTAGGCATTAGGTATCGCCAAGATCATCCATCACAAAGGGAGGTTTGGCTTGGGTCAATTTCGGACTGAGTGCAACTGCATTCCGAGCGCCGGCCAGAGCGCCTTCTGAAGCCGCAGAACATCGCAGAACTCTCTCAGTCCCGCGCCCCCATGCGCTCCCCCCAGAGGTGACTGAAAAAGAGCATCTGGCAGCATTGGCTGCTTGAAACGCCCGGGGGACGGGGCTGATGGGCTGTACATGTAGCCAAGCTTAGCCAAGCTTAGCCAGGCTTGTCTGGCATCCTCCGCATGGGAGTATGCCACAAAAGTTCTCAAGCTTAAAAAGCTCGTGGCGGCCCAAAGTTGCCGAGACATCATTGTGTTGGCTGAGATTGGTCTTCGGGAGACTGTTGAATTTCTGGGGCTGCTGCGTTCACCAGGTTCGACCTTAGGAATGCCTGCCGTGCTTGTGGCATTGTGGCTTCAGCTTCAAATACTTCAAAGATTGAGAAGAATATTCAAAAAAACCACTAGAGGACCTCGGCTCTCCCAGCTCCTTGAGCACGTATGTGTGGGTGCGACAGCCCCCCCCTCCCCCCTCCCCCTCCCCCCCCCACACACACCTCACACATCACAGGCTAGAGGTAGGCATCGGCCCTGGATGTCAGCCAGCACCTAGCATCCTAGCATTTCCTAGTCTCGTAGCGCACGGTCGCAAGCTCAGTTTCGGGAAGCTGTGGACTGCTCTGGACCTCGTGTGGTGGATGTGGTGGACGCTGCTGTGGTGGAGTGCGTTGCGCGCTCGAATTGCGTTTGGCTGAGCTGCCCAGGTCAACGGCTGATGGGGTGAGCCCTTCTTGCTGGCTTGAGATCTGCTTTGTGATGTCTTGTTAAAACTTTGTAGTCTTCAGTGTCTTGAGGGAGGGTTTCATCAAGCTGGTCCACTCACAGTCTAATAGCTGGGGTTGAGCGCAGCATTTCCTGAGTCGTGCTCTCGACGCGCTCTGGTTGGGGCATGCAGCGTCAAAGAACAGCCGGCCGCCCGAAGTTACTTATTGGTTCAGAAGGCTGCCCGCCGTCTCTCCTGCAGATGTTGCCTTAAGGGTTCCCGTCCTGCGAGAGGAGGCGCGCCCAGTCGAACTTGAGGGGGCTTCCTTCAGAAAGCACATGAAAGCATTGAGGCTTCCACAGGGCAAGGGGGCTGCGCCCCCTTCGGATGCCGAGCCTTGCCAGCACTGAGGCTCTGAGGCTCTGAGGCTCTGAGGCGTGTTTTTTTGGTCTTTCGCCACACAGCGACCAGTCCAGCAGGCTTCGAAGCGCCATGTCTGTCCGATCTCTTCTCTGTCCGAAGGTGGCTGCAACGTAGCTCATCGTCGATGCCGGAAGGAGACGAGAAAGAGCCTGATGCAGCTTCTTCTGAACGCTTTTGGTTCTTGCTCTTGCAGTGGATAGCAAGTGTCCGTGCCTGGCCTAGCGGCCTAGCACGTCATGCGGCATCCCAGGTCAACATGTGGTCCCCTGACAATGGCCGCAATGACAAGCCGCGGCTTGGCAAGGAGCACGCCCATCAGATCAGTTGAGGCAAGTTTGTCTTGGCCGTCGTGCTCCGTCGTGTTCCTTGAGCTCAGGCAGGGAATCGAGAGGAAATCAACAGTCGAGGACTTGCAGGACAAGCTGCAAGTTGTCACTTGGTTCACTTGGCCAACCAGGGTTGGGCGAGCAGGAGGTGGGTTTGGCTGATGCTTGCAGTGTGCTCTTGCTTGAAAGCCTCTTGAGGCTTTGTCGGCTCTGGACGAGACCAAAGGACTCCTCTCTCCAAAGCTGTGCTGAAATCGTTTGATTCCCGAGCTCGAATGAAGTTCCGCCAAGTGTCGATGGTTCTGGTGGAGTTGTGCGTCAGGAGCCCTGGATGCTGCCCAGAAGCGCGTCACGGAGCTCGAGACCTCCGTCCGAGAACCCGAGGAGATGCTCGGGCCTTGGCTGGCGGATTGTCAGTAGAACCCGAAGCATTGGAACTTGATCGTGGCTGATCTAGCCAATAGCAGGCCTGCGTGAGCGTGGCAACAGGCACGTCAACGAACTCAAAAACGGAAGTCAAGACGTTGGGCCTTGTCGAGTATTCTCTTGCAAGCAAAGGCAAAGATCAGCCAATTTCACCCCCCCCCCCCCCCCCCATGTGGATAGCAAGGCCTCGTGCCACGTTCACTTTCTCCCGTCTCGGGGTTTCTAGCTGTTGTGCGGACAGGATTTAGGGTGTCCCTAAGGAAGAACAGTGCCCACCCACGTTCTGAAAAACAAATGGTTGGAGATCAAGAGTTGTGTGAATGCGCAGCCCAGGCCGGTGGATGGCCGAATAGAGACATTGAAGGCCTTGATGGCCTTTGTGGTAGTAGTTGCGGTGGAGACTTGGCTGCAGGGTCGTGTTTTGCACTCGGAGAGTTTTCAGCACGTGTGAAGCTCAGAGCCTCAGATCAGCGCATACTTGATTGTAAAGACAGGGTACACAACATCCGAAGTTGTCTCCAGCCGAAACGCCAATGGGATGCGCGCTTTCGAAGCAGAAGCACACCTCACGGCTGAAAGTGTCGGGATGCAGAAATAGGTTTATTCGCCTGCATGACTTTGCAAACTCAACCCAGACCGAAGTGACATCCGGTAAGCAGAGTGTTGCAGTTCATACATCAGCCTAAACGGCTTCGTGCTCTGCCCTGTCGAAACATGTGGGTTGTTGTGCATTAAGACCCCAACGCTCAGGAAGGCTACTCCTTGCATTGTTGAAGCTGAAGTTGAGTACCTGCCTCCGCTTGGGTAAGTCAAGCATTGCCGCACGTACATGAACGTCCCGCTAGCCAGAGCCCCGTACAGCCTGGCTCCCTAAACCCTCAGCTGCCGTAGGGGGTCCTTTCCATGGCTGAGCTTCCTCAGCAATCTCCGCGTGCCCACCACACTTTCCAGGAAGTCGCCTATTTCGTTTTCATCCTGGATGAGCGGAGAAGATATGGCGAGGAAAGCTGCGCCGGCGTTTCCACCATTGCCCGGAGGTGCAGTCTGAGGGGGAGTCTGGAGGATTCAGGGGGTTCAGGGGATTCAGGGGATTGAGGGGATTCAGGGGATTCAGGGGATTGAGGGGATTGCCGGGATTCAGGGGCGTAGCGCCTTGGGTGGAAAATGGTAGTGCTGGGTGATGTGAAGGGCGGAGAGTCTCGTCTGGGTTCCTGGATCTGAAGGTTGAATGCAGGCCGCGAAGCCACACCGGTGAAAGAAGTTTCATGAAGCTCTCCGCCGCTGCAGCCTGAGCCGTTGCAGGAGCTGCGAGCTGTGCGGTGATGGCACGCTGGTGATGCCCGTGGGCGGTGACTACGAGAAGTCGTGGCCTCCTCTGTACCTCGGACTCGTATGGTTTGTGCACGTTTGTGCCACGTGCGGTGTGCAACAATCTAAGCCTACGGCAGATACGTCTTGCTACCAAGGATCAGAAGTCTTTTCTATCTTTTCGTCCTCCTGTGGTCCTTTCAGGGGGCCCGGGATCTCAGCCTGGAATGTGGCAATCGAGCACGGGGGATTGACAGGAACCAGAATCACCAGAATCCCAGGTCGGTATCATATGCGACGAATTTATGGCGGCGATCGAGAAGATCACCAGCAGCAAGTGCTCCAAATGGATAACCAATCCCGCTGGGCAGAAGGCAAGGCACAGTCCCAGCACGTTGCCCTGCTGCCCAAAGCAGTCTCCACTGTCCACCACGCGAGGTTGAAGTGCGCGTCACAGTCTGGAATGAGACCCTTGCGAACCTGAGTCTGATGGCACCTTGTCCTAGATACTGCATCAGTGCTCCGAAGCCATCCGATTGCAAATAAAGATACATGGCACCCGCAAAGCCTTTCCGTGCTAGTGACTCCAAGGCACTAGGCCCGCCGGGGGCATCAAACCTGCAAGCTGCTGCAAGCCGCATCATGGATGTTTGCAAAGTTCTGGAGATACAGACTCGACTCCATTCTGTGACAGTATGTGCGCTGCGCTTTGTGCTGGATGTCTGTGGCCCTGCGGTTGATTCATTGGAAGTGCTCGGTTCCAGTCAACAGGGTCACTGTATTTTTATTTGGCAGGCTCCTCAGCTCCAGAAATTCTTCTTTCTACTGTGGAGCGCCCTGGCATCCCCTGTTGTTTATTGCGGTGACTTGTGGATGGTCGGGGTGTCGATTGCTGTATTTTCAACATTCCGTCTCCACTCCGCCAAGGCTTTGCAGCAATCGGTTCTTCTCGGGCAGCCTTGGCCCACAGACGGTTGTTGGAAGCGCATCCTTCAACTTGTTCTGCACCTTGGCGACTTTTGGCTAGTTAGAGTGGGCGCAATCGAGCTGATCAAGGGCAGCTGCAGGGATATCAGAGATCCCATACTTGCAGTGCCCCTCCTCCATGATGAAGGGTGTTGGAGCTGCTCCCGCGAAGTGGGAGTTTTTACACAAGCAGCTTCCGTTGATTTTGTGCCGGTTCGGAGTGTCGTACTCTAGAGCTATCATCCCGCATCCCGGCACCTCTCAAAAACAGACTCTAGCAGCTGCATCTCAAGACCTTCTGAAACCAGGTATATCATCCGTGTGCATCTCGGCCCTCGCGCCCGGGGAGGTGCGAAGAATCGAGAAGTATCCAGTCTTCTGTTTCACTTGCGCTGCATCAGTGCTGGCTTACGTGTGCCCCGGAAAGAATTAGCACGTGATGTTCGGCAGTCGTGGCTTCAAGGGTGTAGCGGTGTGTTCCCGAGCTGTCAGAAGCTCAGGTGGATGCTGGTCGTGCTGGCTGGCATCACGCCTGACCGTGTAGATCTTGCGGAAGGAGAGGAGGGTGTTGACCTTGCGATTTCAGAGGCTTGAACCGGGCACATCTTGATGTGGAGAGTTCCTACACAAAGTGCCTGAGTTGGTGAACATGAGCCCCGCACCAGGAGTGATCACCTTGCTGCTCTTCTTCGTGTTTCTGGGCATTGCCTTCATGCTGGACAAGTACTTCTCCACAAGTTCCGTAGATCCTGATGTGGCGGAGGTGCACAGACAGCTTCTGGGCTGTGTTCAATCGTGCCTTCAAATGGTTCCTGAGTCACTTGAGAGCCGACCCCCGCTGTTGTTGCCAGAGACTGCCCGTCTCGCAACCTTTTGGCGCGAAACTGCGGGCGCTGCATATGGGAAGAGATCACAGTTGTGTCAACAGTGATCACAGTACGCTTTTCATTTGACGGTGAACTGCTTGATGCCCAGTCAGCGTAGAGCGGAGCAAAGCGGACGGAGTGTCGCATGAGGCTAGAAGCACGTTTTGATCAGCCCGTGTCGCTCGAAGGACAGCTCATGCCCATGCAGATTGCCACCCAAAAACTCGCTACTGTACCCCAACCTGAAAAGCAGATACTCAGCCACTCAGCAGTTCTGCGCAGCATTCAGCAGCGTACCGGCACGGGCGGGTGATGCAGGAGTTCGAGCTATGATGAAGACTCAGGGGAACAAACCGTCCTGCGAAATGCGGAACTCCAAGAACGAGGCCAAAGGCGAGGTATGGACTCCTTGCGTTCCTGTTGCTTCTGACATTCTGCTTCCGTCTTCCTTGCAGTGGAAAGCAGAAAAGCTGACCGTTGCAGGCCAAATTCTTAGGCTCTCCACTGGTGGAAAGAAGCAGCCGAGCATTTTTACGTATGGCTTCCTGGAGTCAGAGGCTGGATGTAAACATTGGAGAGGATTGTCGGTGAGGGCAAAGCAAAAGAAACACACGTCAGTCACAATGCACACAGTGGGTTGCCCTCGTCCTGTATCAGGGCGTCATAAGACACAGTCATGGACCGCGGTGCAGGTTGTCTGCAACGAGGGTGATGGCTTTGCCAGCCTGCAGATTGCAGCGCTGAATGGCCCGCACGCGGCACCTGCACCGACCTAAGCGCACGTGGCTCTCACACGCTTGGGCAGACATTGCTTCTCCCCGATTCAATCCCTCTCAATCAGCATGCTTGCATACCTGGTAAGGTCCGTGTAAAGTATCGAACCCGGAATGGGATGGCGAAAGCAGGGAAGCGGCAGCGAAGATGCATTTGGCTTGAGTTGAGCGCAGCCTTTGCAGCGTTCGCTCTTCCCTTCATGCGGCTGCATGCAGGTAATAAGTTAGTTGTATTCCTGAACGCTGGCCGAGGTATCACCAGAGATCTGGTGTGCTGCATTTCGTGGCCGAGGAAGAGAAACAGGAACTAAGGATGCTTGGGCTCATGCAATCTCTCGGGCTCTGCAACAGATGTTTGTGGCCTTGCTGAGCCGTTTCGGGTGCGGGTGCTGAACTTTCTTTCGACATGACTCAGGATACCTCTCATGATGGCAAGAGGCCCTCCTGAGGAATTCTATGTGGAGCTCACAGAGACACTTGGCCGCACGAAGGACCAGCATGAACTTCTTGGGAGCGTTTGCTGTAGGGTACCCTTGCAAAATCATTTATCTGTGCATGCCGGGTGGCTAGTTGTTTTGATTCCTTTGTATGCCCAATGTGTGATGGTTGGGCAATGGTCCCAGCGCCCTGTGTTCGCCGTGATTTTTGCAAGACTGGGGGTGCCTTCCAGGAGGTGGGGGTGGGGGCGGGCATTTGCGCATTTTTCTGAGCAAGTTTCTGAACAGGTCGAAGGTGTATGTTGACCCCTGTGGTAAGGATCAAGGGCGACGGAGCCGAGGGGAAGAAGAACCCACCGATCCTTGGACAAAGTGTCCGCTGCCAGGGGCTTAGACTTGCTTGCTCTGCACAGAGGCTCTGTCAAGCGGAAAAAACACGTATGGCCTGCCATGGGCTAACCTTAGGCTTGGTTTGGGTCCTTTCGACCACAGAGGCTGCTTAGCTGGACAAGGGTGCAGACAGAACGGAACTTGCAAAGTTCACGAAAGCTCTGAATCGCATCTCTGGCTAAGGAGTCAAGCGGCTCCTTGGCTCGAGCAATTGACTCCTCAAAGACTCTGGCAGCTCTAGCAGCCTCGCAGCTTTCTCTAACATGCAGCAGCTAGGGAATGCTTGGGAGAGTCGTTTCAGTCCTCCCCATCCTCCCCATCCTCCCTTTTCCACACAAGCCGCTGCAAACCAGGAGTTGGTCACACGGCACTTGTCCTCTCTCCGACCAACGACGGAGGTCCCTCAAGTGTATGACTATTGTAAAACGCTTGTGTGCGTCGCCTCGGCAGCCGGCCGGCCCAAGCCACGGGACGCGCATGTCAACGGTCGAGGGTTGCAGATATGGAAAGCGACCGCGGGGTCCCAGAAGGGGTTTCGGCACTCGGAAGTTTCTGGTCCCCAGTCGCAACTAGCAGGATTCTCACATGGTGCAAGAGGGGGCCCCATGCAGTCCCAAAGATCTGCGTGGATGCAGATTCCGGTTTCGGAGGTCCACCACAGTGTGCTCGGATCTCCCCGAAGTGGCGCCACGTCTAGGTCCCAAGGGGGTTCCAGAGATCCAGGAAAGGGTCAGAAATTGCGGTTTGTTGCGAAGGAGACCATCCTGGTCTGCTTGTTTTAGACGCCTCTCGGCCGGGATTCTCCTGCCGAGGCGAACTTGTGCAAGACCGGATTGATTGATGGGGGCATGAGGGCCGCTCTGTCTTATGTGTCTTGCTCGAATACGCAAGTATTGAACATCCGGGTGACTAAGCAGTGTCGGTTGTGAAGAATGCTCCTCAGCAGGTCCAGACTCTCGAAGAATGCAGCACTTGGCGGCCGTTCCCAGCGGGATGCTTAGTTTTGCGCAGGACAGGCTCCTCGACGTCGAGTCTACTCAGGATGCGAGGCCACTAGCAACCTCGATATCTGACACAGAACCCAAAGGGCAAAATGCGACGATCATTTTTGTATGTTTCAGAAGTTACTTGGAGTTTTTGTATGCTTAAGTACTTGGGATCGTTTGTTGAAAAATGAATGTCTCAACAATTTCGTGTACATGACCATTAAGAATTTGGTCTACTGTTAAGCGAATTCCAAAAAATAGGTCCCTGTGTTTTCAATACAATTCGCGTCTCTCTGCTTCTCTCTTTCCCTCTTCGTTTCACGATGTATAATTATGATGAAACCGGTCAATCGCTTGTAAGGCAAGGATATGAGGCGCTCACTGTCTCTCAAATGTCGGCACGTGAGCATAAGACGTCGTGACGCGAAGAACCTCTTGCGCGTATGCCAATGCAGGATCAGAATCCTAACTCTTTTCCTCGCATCTTTGGTTGATCTCAGGTGAGAATGAGCCGGACACATCAAGGGCATTATCAGATATCCGATCTGAAGCAAAGTCGGAGGTCAAGTCCGAAGCCAGATCCGAAGCCAGATCTGATGCCAGATCAGATGTGCAGCAAGGTCCGCATCTGGACGTCACGGCTAACCATGATCGAGGGTTAAGGCCCTGGTCTTGGAAGACTAGCTTAGTACGCTGAGCCTTTGCAGGCTCTGAAGAGGAGGACGAGCCGTTCAGCTGCTCGCACTGGATGGACAAGGCAGCCGTTGTGACTTTTGAGAAGCCACAAGCAAACTTTCGAGCGTGCAGGCAGTGGAAGCCTTCTTCTGCAACGGAAGCCCCGAGGAGTATCCTGGCAGGATCCAATTGGCGGGAAGAAAAGTGCTGTTCTGCCCATGAGCTGCGATGGTCAGCAAGTGGTATGCCAAGGCAGGCACAGGCGACCGCGTTCGACTGGCTCATGCACTGCTTGGCGTTGACCTGGAAGATTGCTTTCATGATCGCCAGCCTGCTGCAAGCTTTCCACTTGTCATACATGTGAATGCGTGTTGGCCTCGGATACTCTCGTTTCAAGATTTCTGTTGCACCGAGGTGCCCCCTCCATCACTGCTGGGTGCATACCCGGCCTTCTTCTGCTCCCTGCTCGGGATTGGCCTGGTCACGGTGGCCAGAGCCTTAGTGTCAGAGCTCCTAGAAAATGCGGAACTTGGCAGCTCCTCCGCTCCTCTTGAAGGTCATCAACGATGCCGCGAGCCTTTTGGGTTGCTCCGTAGGCCGGGCCCCCTCACCCCTCCCTCCCTTTCTGCTCCCGCCTTCCGCCTTCCCCCTTCCACCCCTTATATCCAGCACATGGCAGGCATGGCAGATGACCTGACGGCGATTACTCTGGTAGCCCTCGGGACGAGCTTGCCGGAGTCTAGGCCGCAGGCATCCGCAGGCGTCCGCATGCGTCCGCAGGCTGCGGTCCGACATTCCTAGTCGGTCAGAAGAAGCTGTGGAAGAGCTCAGATTGGAGTTTCCATCAACAGAAGTTCCATCAACAGAAGAACCCGGGGGGGGGGGATCCCAGGACACCATGGCCTCTAGAACAGCTGCGAAGTCAGATGACACTGCCGACAACTCCATCGGCAACATCACCGGAAGTCTTTTGGCGGAGTCTCCATCCCCTCCATCCCCTAAACTTCAATGAAACTTTAGGCTCTGTGTGCGCTGGCCCGGTGCATATGGTAACGCGTGAGGCACAGTGCGCTTTCGATGCGTAAACACGTGTGACCTGAGGCAACACGGTCAACGTGCTGCTGGGTATGGGCATCAGCTGGACAATTGGCGCTGCGTACTGGGCCCACAATGGGGTCACGGATGACCCTTGGCGTACTGCTAGAGCAGCAGCACTAACACAAAGAGTGTCTGCGGGCTGATGTCAAATCGTCTCGCTTCTGCAATCAGCAGGGAAAGAAGGTGAAGCTTCTGCTGCTTATAACTTTTCTTTTGCTTTGGACATTGGATTTTTTCTCCTTACCTCAGCGCTGCTCTTTCCACAATTTCCTTGGCGAGGGGCTTGGGTTTTTGAGCCACGAATTTGCAACCCTTCGAAACCCTTAGTCCAAGCATGCAAGCTGCCTACTTCCCGCAACACTTTTTCGTCGGAGCCGTCTTGGAACTCTGTGTGAACTCTGCAGAGTGTCAGCTTTGGCCGGAGGTTTGGTTCGCCAGCGAGTCAGCCTTTTGCATGTTTCTGGTCGATTTCGACTGCCACTCAGGACTGGAAGAGCCATCAAACCGCTGCTGGCAGCTACGAGTCGTGCGTCTCTCAGAAGGGATGGGATCTTCTTCTCTCTCTCTCTCTCTCTCTCTCTCTCTCTTCCAAAGCACAGCATGCACACTGTCATGCAGGATGTGACCCAGTAATGAAAGCATCCAGCACTGTGTTTTTCTCTGCGCCAGTCGGCGTCAAGTGCTGCCCAGAGCTTGTTTCGCTTTACACACTTGGCGAATCCCAGAATCTTGAGGACCTCATGAAGTCCGAAACCTTAGGGAGGCCACTTGGAAGCCCTGTGAACTCAGGCTCTACCTGGGCAGCAATCCCGAGGGCGGCTTCATCGTAGTTGCAGGTGCTGTTCAGGATCCAAATTTTTCAGGAAACTACTGACTTCAGGGGCCTTCTCAGATCCTGTGAGTGTGAGTTCGGATATGGGCCAAAAGTGCGGCAAGCGCGACGAAGCTCCTAACCCCCCTCTGCAAAGGTGCGATCTCCTTCTCCGTCTCCGCTTTTGCTGTGTTGGCCATGCTCTGCGTCGCACTGCCACTTGCATGTGTGGTCACACGCTTTTCATGCATCTGGATAGCAGAGGATAGCAGGATGACCGGGTCTGCCCTCGGGCCTCTAGCCGTATTGGTGAGAGCTTGGGAGACTGCGCATGTGCCTACTTCACCCCTGACCCACTTGCTTATCTTGCTTGGCTGCATGATCATCAGTCGGGTTTATCAAAGACTCCTCCACAGTACCCCCCCAATTTGAATTTTTGGGAGCTTCCGCCCTTGAAAGCACTCAAAAGGGCTTTCAGTGCTTTGAGACATCTCCGAGGATGCAAAACCCTGGGAATCTCTGGTGTAGCATTCCTGGGGATAGCTAGGCGTGGGTCATGCATGCAATTTTCTCTTCTCTTTTGCCTCCTGGCCCCCGAGTCAGAGACTGAGCGAAGCCTGTCTCCTTCCATTCTGTGCCACGTGCGTTCATGGTTCACACGAGGCTGTTTATGCGACGGCGCACTTATGGCGGAGAACTGGGCGGGCCGTTGCTGGCACAGAGGTCGCATGGTCTGCTGTAGGTTATTCTTGGAGATCTGGGAAACGTGTGTCGATGTTCTGAGTGGAGAGTGTGCTCCATGTAATCCAGAGAATCCCTGCTACGCATGTGCCACAGTTCATCTCATCTAATGCGTAGCAAGTGGGGTTCTTGGTCTGGGATTCGCTCCGAAGCCTCCCTTCCTGGACGGAGGAGAGACAGCTTGCTTTGCTTCCTTTTGTGGATCTTGTGACCTGGCGGCTATAGACCTGTTTCTTCACACGCAGTGCACGGGGAGGGCCCGTCAGGAACATGTGCTTACCCAGGTTCATTGCCGCAAACATCGTGTCGCTCAGCTGTAATTCTACAAGACCCAAAGACGCCGACATTGTTGCTGCTGTTGAGGTTTGGCCTCCTTTAGTGAGAGACGGCCGTTTTCTTTGGCTGCTGCTCCACCTTACATAGTCCCAAAATACCAAAGCAGCCCCTCCACTACCCCTAAGGTGCCTTCTAAGGGCAGTCCCTTGAGACAAGCAGCGACTTTGCCAGAGGCAGCAAAAGCTGCACCTGCACGATAGTGCCGGCGTGCTTTGGAACACAACCCATCATAATGTATCTGTCAGATGAAAAACCAGATGCCGGGCGCACACAGGGCCCGATTTTTTCATGCCGGGTGATGCCCTGTCACTGCTCTGTGACTTTACAGACCGAACGAAGCGATAGTGTCCATGGTGGGAGTTGGGAGCCGTGAACAGAAGCAAAACGCTCAGACCGTCGAAGCTGCAAACAGATCCTCATGTCTTTTTAGTAGCGGTTGCCAGCTACCACAGGCTTTCTGCCAAAGGCTGAGGGCCAATGGACTTCCTGCTTGCAAGTTTCCAGGATCCTGCAGCTCTCAAGTCAATGGTAGCTGGAGTTTCGCAAACACCCACACCTTGTTGCACCCCGCTTAACAAAATGGACAGAGAGTCAGTTGCCACAGAGGGAGAAGATTGCAGGATCTCTTCGCATGGCGTGTGAATCATTAATACAAGCCTCGATGGATTTCACCTCACAAGCTCCGGAGCAACTTGCAGTGCGCAACTGCCCAGTCTTGATTTTGATGAACGCATAGGCTTTGAACATCTTTGAGACCGTTGCCAAACCCTGACCCCTTTCTCCCACAGCAAGAAAAGCTGCACCTCTCCTGGTGACAGCACACCGCCTAACGCGGTTTTTGTCACCGCCTGGGAGGTGCATCTTTGGTGTGATTGAAAGTTGGCACACAAGCTGCAAAAACGAGGTCTCTTTCAGCCTGCGAAACAAAAACAAAGTGTCATTGAAGCTCTGGGGCTGCTGGCACATCCTTGTATGGTGGGGAACACCAGGAGAATCGGGATGTTAGCCCAATGCCATGCGCAGGATCTTCGAGAAAGAGAGGGAGCAGCTCCTGAGCTATGACGGGCATGCGTTTCTGTACTTCGCCAGAGCCTCAGTGGACGAGAGATTGCCATCGACACAGTTGGGGAGACTGGGAGACCATTTCCATCTTCCACCAACCTCCAGCACCCAAACCACAGCCTCAAAAGACCCCCACCCAAGGCCCAAATGATGAAAACCATACCATGGAACCACGACCCCCGTAGAAATAGCATACCCGAACCCACGGCATTGCTTAGAATAAGGGTTCAGCACGTGTGAAACACAACCAAGTCCCACGTCGGGGCACAACTTGAGAAGAGGTAGAATTGGTAAGTATTCTGAGTGTAATTTGTCCTGGAATGTGTTGAGCAGTCAGGATGGAAGTAGTGTGAAGGTTTGGGCCTCAGGCAGTTTTCGACGAGTCCTCATACCTTCAGCAAAGCAAGCTGCGAGTAATTACTGCTGATCACTACTTTCAACTCTGTAAGATGTTTTGGCCGAATTTTGTTTTAGTATTCTGTGACCAGTTGCTCTCGCGCTCTTTCTCACTTGGTTTTCGTTTCCCAAATATCTTGACTTCGTCGCCTGCATCTGAATCAGGATGTACACGGTTCTTCTTCCCGTCATCGTTGAATTTAATTTCACTTTTGAATTGATTGCTGGGTTTTTCTCGGGTTTCTTTTGGTGCAAACCCTGTTGCCGAGTGCTTCATTTGATTGTCCTACGGGGGGTTAATATTTTCCATATGTACTCTGGCCATTGGAAGTTCTGTTTTCCTTTCTTGTCATCCACTTCAACTCTCCTATACAACATATCTTGAGAAGTTTGGATGGCTCCTTCACGAAAATTTGGGTGCGCCCTTGTTCGGCGGGGCATGTCGTCGCTGTTGGCCGTGCTCGGTTCTTTGGTCTCTTCCTCGCCCCTCCCTAAGCCCTCCTGTTGTTTTTTTGCCCAGAGACCTTATGATGGCTCATTGGCCTTGGCCACATTGACAAATTTGAGTCTAGTTGGTTGAAATAATGGTAGGGGACCCCACGGTGCAGACCGCAGATGTGTGGGACTTCATGCAACTTTGCGGCGAAGTATGGCGAAGTGCACACGAGTGAAAAGAATGGACGCAGGGTACGCGCTCGCTTGCTACCACGCTATTTGCAGGGGTGGTGGTTCGTTGCCGCTCAACCCGAGCTTGCAAGGCCCTGTGCATGCTCACGGCGCTGACCTGAGCCTGAGTGCTGTGGAGGAGGAGACTTTGCACTTGTTGAAGCTGTAGCTTTTGTGTTGGGCCTTTGCTTCGGGTTCAGCCCGCGCAGTGGAGCTGGCTCGACCAAGCGACTGTGATGATTTTCAAGAAACTTTGGTGGTTACACAGATCTGGTTAGCCTTTCTAAACGTTTCTCAACTTCGACCCAGGTTGTCCTCCTTCCCTGGACGTGGTATCTGGTGCGATGCCTGCTGTTTCCAAGGCACTGGTGACCACTCCGGGAGTCTTTTCCAAGATGGGCGCTGGATAACCGGTATAAAATGGTACAAACGTAGCACTCGTGTAGCACTCTTGTAGCACTCTTGTAGCACTCTTGTAGCACTCTTGTAGCACTCTTGTAGCACTCTTGATATCCCGCCACCCTTCCGCTGACAGCTTGAGAGGCCGCCTCCCGAGCTGGACTTCGAAACCGGTGGGCTGAAGAGCGAGGATCGACTGTGCCAGAGCCTCCTTTGCTTATTCAGGCCAAGACTCACGGATCCTGAACATACACGTACGATATCTACGTAAATACATACCCTTTTGCCAGGACAGCAAGGTGAGGCTCTGCGGAACTTCGCTAATGCAGGCCTGACGCTGAGGATGCGGCTGTGGATTGAAGTCGTTGCTGGGGCTCGGAATTTTTCTCGGGCTGCCAAGGCTCGTCGGCACAACGCACAGCAGATTGCGAAGCGGCGCAGGTCGTGATTATTTGCAGTTGCACCCTGTTTTGGAGCGGAGTTTATCAGCTTCAGCCTGCCAGTTTTTGTAGCATTGGGGCATATTGGAGCATTGTACCGAAAAGTTCTGTCAAGGCAATTTGAGAGAGATTGGTTCAGCTATGAGACATGCGCTTCCTTCCCGGCAGGTTCCGCGGCATCATCAAAGTGCAGCTGGCGTGCGCTGGGGTTGGATGGCCCGCCGCATGATCTTGTGGGGTCCTTTCTTTCTTCTGCCCGACTTGTAGAGCATTCTGCTAGTCGAGCTGGTCGCAGTGCATGGAACACCCTGAACACGCGTCAAAAACAAAGCGCGGCAAAGTTGGGAACAGAGAGAATGTGACGAGTTGGGAACGTCGAGCAGTGGGAGTAGGGCACAGAGGAGTTGGGGTCTGTAGGGCAATATTCAGGGCACCCCGAAGCCTGAATACAAAGCCCTAAAAACCCCCAAGCTTGTAAAATCCCAAAAAGCCGTAAACGGTTTAGGATTTAGGATTGTTTGGTGTAAGTTTAGGGTTTTTGAGGTTGGGGGCTGAGGGTTTAGGGTTTTTTGGGGTGTGGCTGTTCGGGTTTGAGTGTTTAGGGTGGAGGGTTTTCGGTTCAGGGTCTAAGGTCTTCAGGTTCAAGGGTTGAAGGTTTTGTAGGCGTTGCGGTGTTTAGAGTTTCGGGTTTACGCTTATTTGGGGGTGCTTCGGGTTCAGGGTTTAGGGGGCTTTTTGGCTTGGTGGTTGTTAGGGTTTGGGGCTCCTCTTCTTCCCATCACGCCCTATTTCCGACTCCCCCCCTCTCCCCCCGTTAACCCCCTCCCACGTCCCTGACTCAACCGTCATCCCCTGGTAAAGCTGTTGCTGCATCTAAGCAGGGTTTCGGGGAATTCCATATCCGCCAGGGCCTTGCTCCTCTGGGTGCTCTGGGAGCTCCAGGCCCGATGTGGACATGTAGAGAAGTTGAGGGAGTTGCCTTGCTGCACCTTCTGTGAGAGTCTCCAGGGCGCACCCACAGAGCTGCGAACCTTCGACCCCTACGACATCTTGGGGGCCGCCGCCTCTGAAACCGGACCTTCGCACTCTCTGGGCCCCACTATGAGACCATGAGACCGTGCTAGAAGTCGAAACTACACTTCCTAAAGCCCACTTTGCCCGCCTCCGGCCCCCCAAAGCTCCAAGCTCCAAGTGTTCTGAGAGCAGGTCCAGCGTGGCGCAGAGGTCCGGGAGATCAAGAAGGCCCAAACTTAGGGTTTTGTTCTGTGCTCTTGGGTGCTCTGTTGCGTGTTTTGGGCACCGTGTTGTACTGAAGATTTGCGAAGCAGGCCTACCACACGAAATCTCTGCAGCATCACCCCGACAAGGAGCATCGAACATGAGAGTGCTGCACGCTTGCGACTGGCGACTAGTGAGAGTCACTGCTCGTCCTGCACACGGTCTTTTGGCTCACAACACGTTGTTAGCACGTGGTGCATGAGAATTCTCGCCATAGCTTGCTGCAGCGGTCAACTAAATGTACGGATGGTATCCTCCTGGAGGACAAGGACAACCCCTTGGCTCCCGTCCTCTTCCAGCAGGCCAGCTTTCGGGGATGGGAGGGCAGCAAATTACACCAAAACAGTCTTCAAATGTATGGAACGTGTCGAATCTACATGTTCTGCACAGACGACGGGCTCACTGCACACTGTAGCCACTCCTCTGTGCACATGCTGTTGGAATAAGCCACCAAGGTTTCTAAGGCCTATGCTGCCTTGACGGATGATGCTGCGCGGAAGAACTACGAGAAGTGCCTCCTTGAGTCACGTGAGAAGCTTGTGTCAAATCCGCTGGTTGTGTTGAGCCTCTAGCTGGCATCTGCCGATGCATCCATCACTCAAGGGTTGACAAAAGCTCCCCTCGCATCACGGGGAACAGCATCATCCTAGGCTCATGTGATCATGTCTCTCGCAAAAGTGAGCCTCCCTGTGGCCGCGGTGCTGGTTCTCTTGGCTCTTGCCATTCAGAATGATCTGGACAGGCCTTTCTTGGCACCCTTGGTCTCGTATCTTGTTCCATGGGGAGTCAAGCAGAACTCGAGGAAGCCAATTGTCGGAGATCGCAGTCTGGTCACGAATCTTGAGCAGCTCGTGGTTGTGATGACCGGTACAGGTACACCTGTTGCGGATCCGGAGCGTGCAGCGCAGGGGATCTCTGTCTTTGCCAATGGAGAGTACCTGCTTTTTGACACTGGCCCGGGCGTCGCAGAGAACATGGCAGCACAGGGCATGCCGCGTGGTGCTCTGACTCATGTCTTTTTCACCCACTACCACTCCGATCATATTGGCGACTTCGGCGAAGTAATGACAACGTCGTGGATATTCGGAAGAACAGAGACCTTGCATACCCATGGGCCGGAGGGCCTGAAAAGGGTTGTAGGCGGCTTTGCTCAGGCATACGGTCCTGATATGGATTACCGTACAAAGCATCATGGCGAATCGTTGATGCCTACTCAGAACTGGATGCCGAGCATGCATGAGTTCACGCTGCCGGATGCTGAGAACGCATCAGCATCGGATCCAGCATCCCTTGTTGACGTGTACACCAAGGGGCCCTTGAAGGTCCAGGCATTCCGTGCTCATCATGAGCCGGTCATTCCGGCAGTTGGATATAAGGTGTCGTATAAAGGCCGCTCCGTGGTCATCGGAGGTGACTCAGTGATGACAAGGGGGCATAAGGAAGCATGTCGTGATGTGGATGTGTGCATCCTAGATGCGATTCACCACAAGGTCATTGAAGTCACGGCAGACACTTTCAAAAGCATGGAGTTGCCAGACGACGAAGGCCGTTCGCAATACAGTCGCGTGTCAAAGATGCTTCTGGATACAATCGACTACCACTCTGCACCCTGGGACCTTGTTGAGCTGGCCAAAGAGTCTCGACCAAGTCTTGTGATCCCTATTCACATGGTCCCTTCGCCAACCAATGCCCTCATGAAGCGACTACTGACCACGTACTACCGGGAGCCGATCCCGAAGGCGACTGGCAAGCGAGACACCCAAATTAAGTTCGGTGAAGATGGCATGGCCTTTATCCTGCCGGCCAACAGCCAAGAGATTCGCGAGCAGCGATACTAGAAGAAATCGCGTTGTTGTACAAGGTCGGGCTCATTGTAGGACAAGGGCGGGCGCAAGGCCAATTGAATAAATGAAATGGCATCCAACAACATCTAACATGCAGAGGGTCAGTGGGTATGCCTGTGTCTCCATGATGGAGGCATGTTGGTCCTCAAGCCTGTCCCCTATTTGTCCGGACATTCCAAATTGAATGATTTCCTAGTGCCGAGTGCATGCAACGCAAGACATCTTAGCGGCGGCCTCAAAGAACCAACAACCCCCTCATGCAGATCATTCAGGTAATTGTATTGTCCGAAGGCCCCTGCCAGCGGTGCATCCTGCTTTCTACGCAGAGAGGAGACAGTCAACATGGGATGGTAAAGTGACGTGCAAAGACCGCTCGTTGACTTCTTGGCATTGTGCCATCACGCAAGGTACGGGAATCCAGATGGGCCCGTGCAGATGAAGGTGCCAGCCGGCATGGGAAACCTCAGCCGACATAGCAAAGCATAGACTCATAGATGTTGGGTGGAGTGGCATGATGCTGAAGATCCCATGAAGCAATCCAATGGCCTCCTCACCATGTTCATCGCATGGCTCAGCTCCAAGTTTCACCCCACAAGCAGAAAGAGCTTGTAGCAACATGTACCAACAGCATGCTCACAATTGACAGCATGAGCATAGACTTCGTACATGTTCATACAACCTGATGGCTGGCACGAGTTTGACGCCCACCCCAAGTTGCAACCGAGCGCAACAGCTATGATGAAAACTGCATAGTGCTTTGAATTAAGCTTGAAGTCGACGGACCTTTCATTGCCAAAGTCACCAGCGACGAGAGCTGCAGCCTAAGTCTTCAAAGACAGCTTCTGAGGATTCTCAGAAATCCAACTGCCAAGAGACCGCTACAAAAGGCTTGGGGTTCATGAGGTGAACAGACAAGTGGTCAACAGTCTTTACCTCTCTTCAAAATTTCCCTGTCGCATAGGTCCCCAAGCCCACTTTTTGGACTAAGCTGGGCTAGTAGGAATGCCGGATGCAGGCAATGGCAAGAGCAGGATCAACAATATCATGGCAACTCCATGCCGAAACTCGGGAACTGGAGACCCAGGTGTTGCTGGCGCATGTGGGCGAGGAGGCTCGAAGCGCATACTACAGTCTTATCAGGCTTATCCGGCTCCGCGTTTCGGGGCTTCCGATGAGTGCTCCCACATCCCAGTATCTGTGTATGAGGTGCGGTGCGAAGCCACGATGGCCCTCCAGGATTAAGGTGCCGGAGCTGGGACTTGTGTAGGACATTTGTTTTTTGTGCAAGCTGTGCTTTTCCGGACGGCAGGTGGCTACCACGATCGTTGCGATGCATGTTATGTTGATCGCGTGTTGTATGTGCGTCGCGAGCGTGCTGCTGGCTCACTCCGTGATGAGAATGTCAGAGAGATTGAGAGCCCTGAGGCTGTTTTGTTGTTGCCGTGCAGGTGGTGTTCTTCAGCTTCCTCTCAGGAACGCTCGGGCTCTCCGTGTATATGCCCCAAACTTAGACTTTCCCGTGGAGGTGAACGCAGGTACGTGGGTTGCCAGCTTGTCTTTGCTGAGGTATATGTCCGGACTGAGCGCAGGGGGCCACAGAGTCGAGTGGTTGCAGTCAATCCCAACTTCTTCTTAAACCAAACCACAGGCTGCAACGGCCCAGTCTTGCAAGATGCATGATCCCTGAATCGTAGATCCGAACTCGAAGAACTCGCCCAGACCTCATCCTTGGACCTTTCGCGATCGACGTCCGAGCATCCACTGTGCTTGACCTCTTGGCCTCAGAAATACGACCAGGCTCGGAGTGACCTCTTAAAAGCTCTCTGCAAGGGGGCTTTTGGATGCTTTTGGGGGATTCTCGGCCGGGGGGGGCAGCATGAGTCTATTCTACTGCTGGACATTTTTATGCGCAGAAGTATGGCGTCGTCCCGCACTGTAGGTGTTCACCTCGACGATTTGGAATAGCGCCGAGGCACCGACTGTCAGTGGAGACAGGAACTGGGCCCTACGTTTTGGAGTTGCTTGCGCTTGCAGGATGACGTGCTGTTCAAAGCCCCTGGTGCAGACGAGGACTGCAGTGCTGGCCCGCAATCCCACTCGCGACGAAGGCGAAGAAGATGTAAACGAAGAAGACGGAGAAGAAATAATCGCAAAACAAAAGCAATAAGAATGAGAGTAAGAAGAAGAACCAGCTGGGGTTTAATCCCAGATGAGATTTGGGTTTTTTGGTTTTCCGAGCAGTCGTTCGCGATTGAGCAGGAGTTTTTCGCAAAGTACGGCTGCGAAGTGCCGGCGCTCTCTGGAACGGTTTGCAGGCCAGGGATTCTGTGATTGGGTTTTATCCCGAATGTGCGACAGAAGGGGTACTGTTTCGTGGTGGGCGGGGGGGGGGGGGGGGGGTGGGGGGGTACAGGTGAGTGGCGCGGATTCGATTTCGCTCAGCGTTTGTGAGCACAGGGTACTTGCGGTGACATGTCGCAGTAATGGTCCAAGTTTTCGCCGCCTGACACAGGCGGCTGAAGCAGGGTTGATGATTCAGATTCCAGGTTCCATCAGAATGAGGTTGTCTGAGTGTATAAGAGCGTTGAACATGTGAAGACATGCAGGAACGTTTGCTTGAGATGCTGTGTCTCACAGCGCTGATGCACATGCTGATGCGCATGTCAGGGACGTGAGCTACCACACGCAAGACCTTCAGAGACCGCGCTGCCCTTGGGGCGACCGTTGGGGGTGGGGGGGGGTTCAGGCTCCGAGGTGCGCAGCAGACTTCATGTCCCTGCGGCCGAGCGCCGCCTGCCTCCGTGCATGTTTGAGCAGAGAAGCGTTTGCAGGTGTGATTGTTCTGTTTCTTCTTTGCCTCAGGCTCGCGCTGGCCATGGGTGCTGCAGGGTTCGACTACGACCTGATGGGTGCGTGGGTAGGGCACTTATGAAGTGTCCTTCCGGATCTCCCAACACAAACCTGCAAACACCCAAGACCATAGCAAACCCTGAGCAACCACGAGGACCTACAACACCAACATTCCTGGCCAGTTGCCATAAATTGAGAAGTTGGGGGGGGGGTGGATATGGGTGGATCAATGTCGAGGCGCTCTGGTGGCTTCTCTTGACGTTGGTGGCCTGGGTCGGGGTCACGATCCACGACTTGGCGCTGATTGGGCAATCGCAGAAGGCCACCTGATGTTCAGTGGGACTAAGAGTTCTTTTGGGGGGCCTTGGCTTCGAAGTCGGTCCCAGAGTGCCCCAGAGTGGCAAGGACTTCGTCCTTGACGTGGGCGGCGTCAACAAGCACTGCCCGTGCATTCGGGCAGTTTGGAAGTTTCTGGCAGGCTACAGGCTTGCGGCCTGGAGTGTGACAAAGACCAAAAGAGCATGGGTTCGTATCATCAAGTATCAACAAAACAAAAACTCCACGCGTTGTGCCAAATTTCGCTGTATTTCCAGAGGCCGCTGGTGCACCTGGCCAATTCCGAGCGCTTCGGCACACGTTCGCTTGGCATTGTGTTCTGCGCTGAGATGTTGGCACGGAGGCAACATGAGGAAATACAAGAGGTGCTGTTAACAAGAGCTGTGCCCAGCTGTGTCTTTTTGTCGTGCGAGGGCTTCAAGCAGCTCGTGTGTCACGTGCCGCCTCCAAGGCTGGCAGTTCTCTTGGCTCCAGTCCTGCTGGCCTGGAATCTCGTGGTTTTGCTCTTCATCATCTGCCCTCTGATCCTGTTCGCCTTCATGTTGCTCGGATGCAGTTGCCACAGAAGCAATGTTTCTCATCTCGATTTTGCCTCGCCTGCTTCCATGGGACTAGAGAGTCGGACTGCTTTTTGATGGCCTGCGAAGCACTCGAATAATCCAAGAAAGTAAGCGAGTATTCCGTCTCTTCGGCGCCGGCTCTCAGGCGATACCCCATCCGAATGAGTGGCAGCCTGAGAACCCTGACAACATGTGAGAACTCCTCCTGCTCTTCCCTCGAATCTTCTCACTTGTAGTCATTGTAGTCCACATAGTCCCAGTCCCATGTTACAGGCCGCGCATGGGTCTTCATCATCTCGGTGGCCTGTGTCCTCTACGGGTCGGCACTCACACTGCAGCAGCTGGCCGTTCGCCTAGAGAGCGCACTGCGGAGCACACGAGCAATGGCCTACCGACACAGCCGACATGCTCCAAGCGACCTCGCATTCCAGGCCTTTGTTGCTCGCCCAGACCTGCGTCCAAGATACGTCCAGCTCTGAATTTCCCTTGGCCTCCTCCTCACAGCCGTTGCTCGCCAAGTCACGGCGATGCGCTGAGGCTTTGACCTGGCAAGCTTCTGGCCTTCGGGTCGCATCCTCGGAGCCGCAGCCTCGGCTTGGCGCATCCTGGCGCATCTTGCGGAGCTCGCCGCTTTTGAGAGTGTTCCAGAGGGAATAGAGTCGGGAGGGTGGGCTGTTGCCAGCCGTGGAAATCTTGAGCAATCACATTACGTATGTCAAGGGCACGTTGTGGGCACAGAGGCGATATGGCAATATGGAAAGTGCACGACGCTTCCGAATCTCCCCTGTCGTTACTAGCCCGTGCGTGAGCAGCTCGGCATGCCGAGGACCAGTCTCTGCACCTGTGGCTGCGACTACTCAATGTCCTTGAATGCAGCTCGGCAAACTGCGCCGTGCAGTCTAGATAAAGTAGACATGTTGAGAGAGAGATTTGGGTTTGGCACTGGGCCCAGGTGTCGGTGAACTTGGCGGCCATTGGCTTGGTGACAACGGTGCCACTTGGCAACATGATGTGTGCAGGGCTGGTGTGGGCGTTTGGCGCTTTGGGGGCTTTGGGGGCATGGCTGGCACAGCTGAGGAAAAGTGCGTTTTTAGCGTTTCGATGCTTGAAGGGCTTACGAAGGCCCGTGCCGTGCTTCTTGACAAAGTAGATCCACGCTGAATCGGAGAGATCCTTGAGTTTGAATGATGTCGTCACATCGCACAGCAAGTCCTCTCCTTTTGCAGGTCGCAATGGGCGAACCTGCTCTCCGTCACATTCCCTGTGCCCCTCACTGCTTGGAGCTCACTCGAACCGGGCATAACCTCGGATAGAACCTCGAGAACCTGGGAGGTCTACGCTGTGGACTGGCAGCAGGCAGACGGCCAGCCCATCCGATTTCGCGACAAGGATGCGATGGTACTGGGCACTTTGTGAAGTAGTGCGGGTGCGTTGGTTTTTGCACGTGGTGCTTTTTCCAGGTCCCTGCGCGATTGCTCTAGATTATCCATTCGGGTGGGTAACGACCACGTTACTCTAACCATGCCCAAATCACTGGTATTTGCAGGATGTGTGCATGTTTTTCTCAGATGCTGCAAATGGATGTTCGATGTTGCTGGAACAAGATGCGCTGTCACATGCCTTTTGCGAGCACGCGCACAAAACTGAAAAGTTCAGCTCTTATGAAGAACATTTTATGAAGAACGTGCAGCAGAAGGATGTCTGACGTTTCTGCAACCAGACGCGCTGTCAGAAGTGCTCATGCATTCTGCGAACATGCCCACAACACGGCCATTTGCAGCATGTTTGCCTCTTCTACAACATACTACACCTTACTAACAACCATGTTCATTTCCAGGAACGAGTTTCGATTTTGTGCTGCGAACCCGAAACCCTGGCCATGCGCGACAAACGCGTTCATGACTCGAATTTTCAGCCATGCCAAACAGTAATTTGCAAATATGTTTGGGGTCTACTCTTGCGAAGCAAGACCTCGTTTCACGTGGCAGGCGTGGTGCTTTCGCCCTGCGTCTCTCGGAGCCCTTGTATCATTGTGCGGTGAACCCCCGGTGGGATGTTTTATCCTTGCCTTCTGCAGGCCAGCCGGCCCGAACACAGGGTTTAGGGTTTGCCATGGGTTTGAGGAGCACAGAAGCGACATCATGCGACATTGGTCATCCCAAGACTTGACCTTCAGGAGATTCCGGTACAAGGGGAGGTGGCCTTTGACCCTTTCGCCATGATGGACGAGCAGCCGGACAGCGCCTACACAACAGCACTGCTCTCAAGACCTCAAGACCTCAAGACCTGTAGATTGTGATCTCCTTGCAGATGCCCACGGGTTGCAAGTTTTCCTGACCTCTAATTCCTCTAACTCACCCTTGAAGTCGCCTTGATGCTTGCAAGCTAGTTCACCTTTGGATCTCAGGTCCACTTGCGGCCCGAGCCTGGGCCCCCAGTGACGTCTTCCTTTTGAGAATTTCACCAGTGCTTGGAGCCCTTCTCAATCATTCGGCAGTTGTTTTGTTGGTTTACCAGGCCTGTGCATCGCTACGAGAAGTCCGAGCATGGAGAGCTTCGGGTGCTGCAGCCCTGCAGGCACCGCGTGGGCTTTGGCAAGACTCTGTGCCAAGTCGTGTGTTCTCATGTGTTCTCATACTCAGAACTGGCCTGCTCCGAATCCAAAAGCTTCTTGCGGTGGGCGGCAAAGTGCTAGCTTTCGCCATCTGGAGCTTGGAGCGGGATTGACCACCTACTGTGACTTAGAGTCGAATCAATCTTTGTTCAGGCAGCTAGAGATGCCTCGAATGCCGGGTTGGCTCAGTTGTGTTCTGGCACCGTGTTTCTGGTGGTGAATCACAGCGAGTGCGCTAGGTCTAGTTGCAGTAGATTTTGCACATCCAAGCTTCAGCTCTAGCTGAGGCCATCGGAGTGGGAACGCGCACAGTTCAAGTCCGTCATCGAAGCCGAGTACATCGGCTGCCGTGCCCCCAGTCCTGGCCACGTAACTTCTATTGAACATCATTCTCATTACAGCAATGAAGTTGCGAATTCAATGACAAACAAGAGAATAGCATGACGAGTGCGCACCGCCTCGGCCTGAGCCTTGTGACAATGAACAGGGGGGGTCCACAGCGGGTCCAGAGGTCCATAGAGGCCATCGTGAAAGCTCGACATGGGGTCCGTGACAGGGGAGCCAGGGGTGCGCATATAAGAGCCACTTCGGGATGGATTCCCATGCAGTCCTTCCGCGTGCCTCAATGCTCACAATCCGGCGGATGATCATAATCATCATCACAACCACCATCCTAACCATGGCAGTTGTAATCAAAGCTGGGAGCCATCTGCTTTGAGGCTGCGGATTTCCTTGGCCCACGGGTGGCAAGAAGTTCGCCAGCACCTGAGTGGGACCTGGGGGCGACTCCGAATGAGCCTGAAGAGGGTAGTTTATCATCGTATTGTTGTCGTACTTTAAGGAGTAGATTTCGGTATAGTTCCGTATATTTCTATACAAAGGTGCGTCATAGTACATGGCAGTATACTGTTGTGAGTTGCCGAAATATTCTCGCACGTTATCGTCGGATTTGATTGCGCCCTTCGCGTGAACTCGGGCTTGCGAGGTCTACGACGAGAACTTTCTGGAGGCCCTAGAACGCGGCAGGGGCCTGAAACACAAACTTGGGATGATGGAGCCTGCCTTGGAACAATCAAGTTTCGAAGGCTTAAGCCTCCAAACCCCTAAGGCACCTTGGCCCTAGAGAAAGATGGGCTCACTCCTGCGACTTGGCAACTTGCAGAGGATGTTTCCGGGTGTTGCTTTAGGTCCGGGCCCCTTTTGTGGGGGGGTCTTTGTGTGACTGGAATCCTACCAGTAAGAGGACGCCTGGAAGCTGATAAGCGCCACATTCGCTTTCCTGCTCCTTGAGGGAAAGGCATTCTTGGGTTGGAACTTTCCCTCGGGGTGAGGCGAAAGACATGGATGAGGAGGACGGCAGAAGCTGGGCTTGGGCGCTTCGTCGTTTGTAAACAGATTCTCAGGACTCCTCCGACATGGACGAGTCCACAACTGCAGACTGTGCTCCTGGGACCTGTTTATACAAGAGTAGCATATGCACGTCTGGGCTTGACGGTCCAGATGTGAGGGTTTCAGGGTCGAGTCTGCAAAAAAGGTATTGATCTCTGGAGCTGCTCATCGTTGGTGCTTGCAATCCTTTACCACAAGCCAAGGCAGTCGAATTCGCCGGCAAACCAATAGCGTGCCAAGTGCGAGATTGCGGAAGGCGCTTCCTCTCCTTCTGATACCATTGACTTGGCCTGCGCCCTCCAAAGCCCCCCAGCAAATAACTACACACGCTCACCAGAGACAGGCTGAAGTTTCGAGAAACAAGCCCGAACCCAACCCTCAACTCTGAAGAGCACCCGGTAAGTCCTAAGGCTGAGGCGCTACGTAGGATTTTGTAGAGTTGTGTTTATGTTTTTTGTTGGTTGGGATCCCCGAAGCAGGCCATCTGGCACCTGGCAGTCGTTCGCCCCGGGTCCTGCATCACAGCCGCGGGAGGATACCCCGCTCAGTCTGGATCTCATTTTGATCTCGTTCTGTCTCCTAGGGATGTAGGGCAGCAAAGTAACATGTGCAGGGGGAGTCCTGATGAGTCCTCAACAAAGCTCAAGCACAGCAACTGGCAACAACCCTCAGCAACGTGCCGGCGCCCTTTCAGGGCCCGCTATGTTGGACAAGGCACGCGCGAACACAAAGTTCGTGTTTCTGTTGTTTTGCAGGTATCTCGCAGGTTTTTTGCAGGCTTGACCGGGTGTTTCGACCATTTTTTCTTCAGGGCCTTAATCATTCAAACTTGTCTGGGCAATGCTTGCTTGAAAATCGTTCTCTCGCCACAGCACCTGGCGCGTTTCTCCGCATGAGTGGAGCAAGCCGAACTGTCTTTTTTTTGGTTGGACACGGCTTGGGGCCTCGCAGCTGTAGGGTTGCACGTCGTGCAAAGGGCTCTAGGGTTTAGGGATGTTCAGGGTGTTGCGTTTGGGATTCCGGGCTTTCGGCTTGCAGTGCGGGCTTATCTTAGGGTGCTGGGCCTCAGAAGTCCTTGGTAAAGACAGGGCTTTGTCGGATGCGCTGGTAGGACGTTCTCATTGGTTCAGTGATAGCATGGATGTTCGTACCCCACGAGCATGGATGCTCTCCGAAACGCTCCGCAATACCGATGTTTCGAGTATTTTGGTATGTGACCCACACGCAAAAGCCGTGGAAAGCACCATAAACACCGACAAAGTAGGCAGGGTGGCTTGAGAAATGAAAGCCTGAAAAGAGTTCCACATTGGAGTGTGATCTATCTTGAACCATTTCGAGCTGAGGTAGTGATGAACAGGAGGCTTCTCCGAGACGGCTCTGAGTTGTTCCTCGCATGGGGAGTCGGGGGAAGTGAAAGAAGACGCGTCTGGGACTAATGATTCAGTGTGTTCAGAGTTCATGAAGCTGTTGCTGTTTGGAGCTACAATCCTTGTATCTGACTTCCCACACTGGTGCGCGCCTCTGCTGGGGGGGAGCAGCATGTGCAAGGATAGCTGACATGGGGACTGCAGTGCAATGCTCTGGCAGAAGGCGACCGCTCGCTGGCCTTGCAACTTTTGCAAATTCTGATGTTGACTAGTCTCGCATGAGCAGGGGCTTGGTCATCGATTTTCAATGTGTATAGGCCGGGCCCAAAGCCGCCCGTTCTTGGTTTCATAAAGTAGCTAAGTCCAGGCAATGTGGCTGCATTCTTCCGTATGCAGCACCTGGCTCAGAGCGTGTGCTCCGAGCGTTTGAGGAGTTGACTCCGCAGAAGGAGAAAAGGTTGGCTGTCACAAGAGACATCAAGAGACTGCGTAGCTGTTGTGCTAGCATCTCCTATAAACTGCTAGGCTGCCTAGGTTGCCTTGGCTGCTTGTGCCTTTACTTTGGTTGACCCCTGGCCCTTGTGCAGATGGGAATAGCACTTCATCCAAAGCTTCTGGTGAAGGAGCTCGCTGATGACTGCTTGAGCTGCTTCGATTCGTGAACTAAGTGGGGAGCATTCAGGGGCCTCTTGCGCCACTTGCGCCTAGCTACCAGCTGGCCTCCAGGAGAATCAGATCTTCACCTTGTGCGTGTTCTTCGCCGTGCTCTTTGTCGTGCCATTCTCCCTCGTCTGCTGTTGCCTGAGGTGCACTTCGCGTTCCTATGTGTTCTTCGATGGTCAGTGCTGTGCTGCTCCGCAGGGGATCTAACATCTCCAGCAATGGCGTCTGCGGGGAGACCTTGAAGATCTTCCACTCGTGCATAGACATCGAGGCCATCCGCTGGGGCCATGCTGCTTCTGAGAGAGGTGCCGTGGCATTTCGCCATGAACTAGCACACAACATCGGTGCAGTGCAGGTGACGGAGCAGGACCTTGTCGCGCAGTTTGGTGTCAGGTGCTGGTAGAATTGAAGATGATTGGCACTGGGTACTGCTAGACGAGTTGCTCGACTTGCAAGTGTGTTACAGTCCATTACCACAAGCTTTCACAGATGTCACAAGCCTCCCACCTTCTTGCTTCGGACAACTTTGGACACTGCGCGAGCACGTCGCCGTGCAAAACAAATTGCAACAAAGTGCCGCATCTTACAAGCTGCAGGCCTAAGCATTGTCGTGTTTGTCGTGCCAGCCCTCGCAAGCAAAGTTTTTGTGAGACGCTCGTTTGAGAGTGAGAAGCAACGCTGGTCTTGGGATGTTCTTTAAAGCACAGCTCTCCGTGGCGCTTGGGAAGGACATGCCTGGGCTATTCGCCGCATCGCTGGAGGTGGAGCTGGGAGCCGCAATATGTACTGAAAGGATCGATGTGAAGATAAGCCTGCTTGCATTCGAACCCTACCCTGCTGCAGTCTCGCCGGCAAATGTGCGCGGACTTAAGCCCCTTGCTGGAGGCCAGGTGCCTCAGAGCTTAAGGGGTTCAGGTTCAGGGGTAAAAGTTTGCAGGGCTTTTGCGAGTGTTTGGGGTCTTGGCTCAAACTTGGGTCTCAGAGAGGAGGCTTCATGCACCGACGCATGATGCAATCGCTGGCTTCGCAGAGAGGTGATGATAAGACGAAGTCCAGAGCCCATGAAGCCTGGCACTGTGGTGCAGTTCGTACAGGCGGGACAATGCTGCTCTCAGCCTTGCATGTGGTGAAAGCACAATGCAGAAGGCCACGGGCAGCGGCGAGGAGTTCTGGCCCAAGTTTGTCGTGCTGCGGTTGAGTTTGTGTGCACGATGAAGCTGACGGTTCCCTGTACGGACTGTTCACTGTACGCTGAGGAGAGGTCGAAGAGGCGTTCTTCGAAACAAAGGCAGCTGAGTCCTTCAGAGAGCACCTGAAAGCCTCACCCGCACCCTCACGAGTCGTGTGAGTGTCTTGGAATGTTTTGTGGCATGGTTGCAACGTACTTGGCAGCTATGTGCCAGTAGAGTTGAGGTGCACTAGGGTGCTCGCACTCGGCGTCCCAAATGTGTCGGAAGTCTCAAGCGTGTGAGGCCCCGACGGGCGGTGGGAGGTCGAGGCGCGGCGCCTCTGGGAGTGCGGAGTTTCATTTCAATTCATTCCATGGGTGACTGCCTAGAAGGTGTAGGGCCTCAAAATCCACACTGGAAGGTGTGGCCTGCGACCGGCCCGCCTAAGTCCGCGGCCGAGGCGGGATTCCCAGCCTCTGACTTGATCACCCTCCTTCACGACATTTTCAGTTCAGCCTCCTGAGTTGCTTCCAGCAAACAGCAGTAAACAGCTCCGTGTGCAGGTGCAGACAAAGGTCTTCCCTCAGTCTTTGTTGGCCGCAGCCGAACCCAGGCCGGTCTTTTTGTCCAAACACACTTGTTGGCATAGAAGTCGCTCCGGAGTTGCGAAGGGCATGGATGTGTCGCGCAAGGATTCCCTGCCCCTTCAGCGACCCCTCGATCCGGCGGGGCACCGCCATTCTGTGGGCTCACATGTGGCGACTGCATCCGTGTCTTGATGGCAATGGCGAGCCTTGAGTAGCCAGTGGCCGCTACGATGCTCTGCCAGCTCTCTGTCCTGCTCTCAGGCACATGCCTCCAATGGTGCAGGTGCTCCGGCCGCGTCTTGACAAGCATTCGCCCTTGCACGTCAGAGCCACTGTACTAGGCGGAGCTGACCGGGCGGCTAATGCACTTGCCCAAATTGGGCAGAGCCGCTGCCTCGGTTGCCCATCCCCTCTGCATAAGCAATCTGTTCTCCCGAGCCCCACGCATGAGCTCTCTTGGTTGGTTTCTGAAGCTCTCGTTGAGTGCGCAGACCAGGCAATGAGCTCCATCGCAGCTCATGGCGAGGGCGACCGTTCCAGTGTCAGCCTGATTCCCTCACTTGAAGCATCAATGCACGTCAAGCTCAATCAGCGTGAAGTGATGAACCTGACCTATGCAGCGTGCCCATCCCTTACGACCTGCAAAATCTACAGATCTACTGCAGACATATGTCAGCATCATCACCTTTCTTCCCAAAGGGCTTGCGACTGCAAAGTTTCCCGGGATTGATTGCACCTTGTCTCGCTTGTCTCCCTCCCAAGCTTTCTTTCCGAAGCTGCGGAGCCCTGAGCCAAAGCTTTCTGGAGGTCCTCATTTTGACAATTTAGATCCCACGGGGCAGTTTACAGCTAAAGCTGCGAAGAGAACGCCATACGTGTTCTTTTCAAGTCTTGCCTGAGGCTTCGTGGATGTGGTGCGAAACACCATCAAGTTCCAGCGCTGCCTTGTGCAGGTGAGCGCAGCCTGCGCAGGGAGGCCGTGCACAGCACAGCGCCGTTTGGCCTCACCAGGCCATGGACTTTAACGACTCCCCTCTGCTGCAGCTCCCTCACGTCAGGCCTGCATTCACCTGCGTTCAGTGTCTGTGCTGATGCATCTCAGTGGGTTCAAGTGAGATAAAGTACAGTGCAAGCAAGCCTTAAAATGCACCTCCAGATCGACTGCCCAAGCCATAAGCCCTTATCGGGGCGGGAGTTCTAGGTTGGATTCACCATGGCACTGGTGCTTGCGAGCTCACAACTAGTCCTCGAATGCACAGTACCACCTTCAAATGGAAAATTCCAAATCCTGTTTTTGCAAGTTTGCAGGTTAAGCCTGCCAGAGATTTGGACCTCCAACTGCCTCCAACTCCACTCCCTGAAGAGGTCCGCACCTGCCGGCGCTCCAACACTGCGAGAGGAGCGCAATGCAGAACGTTACGAGCGGGAAATAGAAGTTGCTAGGGGCCGGAAAAGTCGAGGCCCGAGCATGGAGTAGTGGAAGCCACGTGCCTGCAGGTGGTGGAGTCTGGTGGCGAGCCGAATGTTCTCCGCCGGCTGGGCAACTTCACCTCTGAGCAGGCAACCTCTTGCGTGTAGCAGTGATTAGCAGCGTAGCCATCCGTCCCTGTGAGCTTCTGCGGTACTTGTAGTTTCGGGGCACCGCTTTTTGGATTCAGGCCGGGGGTGAAGTCGTCTGGATTTTGGCGTGCTGCGTTCAGTTGATGCATTACATATCTGCGGCGTAGGAGCTTAGGGCCAACGACTTCTGGACTTCTTGGCGCTCGGCAGGTCTTGGACATCCAAGCCTTCTGCAGACACGCACCCCTTGTGGAGCTCAGCTATGTAGTCGAGGCCCTGTGTCCCTGTGAAGTTTGAAGCGCTAGCCTCGAGATCTGGTCTGAGAACTTGACGGCAACAACAGGTAAACGATGAGCCAGACATGGCTGAGGGTGACATGGGCACCCTCAACGTGCATCCGGCATGTTCCCGCCGTGACTGTCATCACTACTGTGGGCTTCTGCGCGCGGTGCATCATGGTGCAATCTGAGTGGACGGGGGCTATAGTCAGCAGTCGTAGTGGTACGATTGGTTTAGGCCGTAGCGTTTGCAATCCTGCGAGACCGAGACCAAGGGCCACTCAGTTACTCGTCATCATTGGCAGAGTTCTTGACTAGAGATCAACAGTTGGCACGCCAGATCACCCTCACGCGCACGAACCTGGACGCGGCCGAAAGTGTCGGTGCAGTTCATGCGCCTCTCTTTCCTGGCGTGAAGTTCGAGGTGGGCTTCGAAAAGCCCACAGCTGGAGCCAATAACCTTGTGAAGATAGCGTGATGTGAGCCAGTGAGCTTCGCAACTGATGTGGCTTTGGGTTTCGAAGCTGAAGGAGTGAGGGATTGCCGACTAGAGTTGCATGGCGCATGTAGGAGTGGTGGCTGTTGGTCTATGACAATCGTGGTCGAAGGACCGCAGTCATGTTTGGATCATGGGGCTTCCTGGGACTGGCTTTGTGAACTGTCCCAAGCCGCGACTCATATGCTTGCATTGCGCTTTCCAAATTGTTTTGGCGCCAGGAGCAGTGAATATCAGTGCAATGCAGTCTTCAGACTTCAGGGCCTGTGTAGCTGCAAAGCAATGCCGAGCATCTGAATGCGTCGGTGAGCATCCAGGATGATCGCTACGGACCTTGTCCTGGGCACGGGCAAAGTGTGCAAGAGCAACGTGACGTTTATCGTGGGGGTCTTGGCAGAGTGGCCACATTTCCTTCAAGTCTTCTGTCGGAGTTTGATCTGTGCATGTATGGCATTTATCCAAGCAAAGCCTGCTGCACGTCTGGCCTCTGGCTCGAGTGTGCCCGTGTTGTGGTCCAGATACTTACAGCAGAGTACCCAATTTTGAAGAATTTTGCTGGGGCCGGGTTTGATTCCAGGGCACGGCATGGGCCAAGATGCCGCAAGCGGATGTTCTCAGCGATGGACTGCGAAAATGCGCCATGAAACTGAGCACGTTTGTGGCTTTGACAAGCTGACCCACAAAGGCATACTCTGACCCTCACCGTCGGATGTGGAGGGTTGTCAGGATCCTTAATCCTTACGTATACTCCATGTCTGTTCTCAGGGCATCTTTTCAGACTATCTGTTGCGCACATGTACGTAATATGTGTGCATCTATGCTACATATGCGCAAAAAACAAAGAACACCAGCACTAGCAAAGATGCTTCGCTGCTAAATTGTGTACAGAAGCAAACACACACACACAATACAGGGTTTGCGATCACTTTAGTACACCCTCAGTCCAAAAGGTTCCACGCCCCGGTGAATTCAGCTGGACGGTCCACGCGATGTGCGACTCCTACGCAGGCCTCCCGGGGATGGATTCTTGAAAGGCGAGTTGCAGACCCTGGTTATGGTTTAGGGTTGAGTGATGTTGAGTGTCAAACTGCCTCGAACCCTGTAAACCCGAAGGCCTAAACCATGTCGAGTCCTCCAACGTAACTCCTTGGCTCGACATCTCGTCTCGGCAGGCCTGGATGTGCAGTGTGACGTCCTTTTTCGTGCAGCGAAGAAGAGCGAGGTGGACAGGCCGCCGGCTTTTCTTTGAAATGGGGGGGGGGTAAAGAGCCTAGGGGAGTATCGAAGAGAGAGTGTGGAAGAGGGGCCATCAGCGTTTCGTCTAGCTCGAGGCTGTGACGGTAAAAAGTGAGTGTTCGACGGTGATGTTTTTGGATTGCAGGTCCATCTTCGTGCATCCAGAGGTCTGCCGTGGGGAACAACATGCGTGCCTCACGTACGAAGCTCCTTCACTGGCAGCAGGATGCAGAGATTCGGACTCTCTTCGAGGAGCTTATGATGGGATTGGACCAGGCGGACCCCTGTAATGCACTCTCAATCAGTGAGCCGTCAGTGTACCCACCATGAGTAGCCCGTGATGCCCCTCGAGTCCGAGGATCAGGAGTCCGATTCCGAGGAGGAGGAAGAGCCAGCATCCAGAGAGCAGCAGCTGCCTCGAACCCAGCATCGCAAGATGAAGTGTTTGGACAAAGGGGTCAAGACGGTCAAGATCTGAAGATCTGAAGGCAGAAGCGCGAGGCCAAGAAGGCCGAGGGCGCCAAAGTGGTGGAGGCTGTAGAGGCCACGGAGGCTGTAGACGCCAAGCCGGCCAAGGAGGCCACAAAGGCGGAGAGCGCCGAGGTGGAGGCCTGGCAGGGAAGCTTGTGTCATCATATGTTTCCTCTACAAGTGGGTTCTGATTTTGCATTGCAGGTCTCCAAGCCGTCAGCCAAGGCCCAAGGCGGGCTGTGCCCATCTGTGATTCCAATTCGCAGTCAGATTCCCCAAGTTGTCGGTAAGCCATGGGAGCGATGCGCATTTGATGCTGTTCATCGTGCTGTTCTCCCTTTTGAAGCTTCCGACTCTGCAGGGGCACTGTCAGATGACGAAGATGAGGAGGAGCGGGCAGTGCCTGAGGGCGTGTCCTCCCCGACATGTTGTTGGGATGTCTGGTTGGAGAATGTGTGCTTGCGTATCTGCCAGTCTGCTGCTGCACGCGCGCTACAGTAAAAGACCAGCTGCCACCAAACTGTGCCGAAGCCACGTCAATGCGCGGAGATGCCCCTGCACAACGTGAAGATTCATGATGAGAGCCCGCATGCCAGTTTCGTGCGGGTTGTGGACACCACGGGAACCTTCCTCTACCGCGAGCCGGACGAGGCACTGTGTGAGCGGGTTCCTTTTGCCAGTTTTACAGTCCTCCGAGCTTGGTTGCATGTTGTCAATGCTCCATCTAATCATGACACTATTGTATGATTCAGCAACCTAGGCTCATGTCGAGTCCCCTCGTGACGTGGGGAAGTAGAACTGCGACGCGCGGATCGGCCTTGCTCCCGTATCCGTCCTACGAACTGCGTAGTTCTTGGAACTGCCTGGCTATGCAATGCCGTGCAATTACATGACTTCATGTTGAAATTCTAGTAGGCCAAGGCAGAAAACACCCCCTAAACTCCAACCCTGAACTGAAACGTGTCCAGATCCGCCTGTGCCAGGACCCGTCAAAGCGCATTGGATCCGTGCCTAGGGACACAGTGCTGCGAGGCCGGGGGTTCAGACCTCGACTGTCGACCCTAAAGTGCCCTAAAGTTGTTCGACCCAAAACTTCCTCAACCCCCCCTCAAGGCCAGGGAAGATCCTAGCGCCCGAAGGCCGGCTAAAGATCCCAAGCCCAAAGACTCAAGACCTAAGGCCCAAAAACCCTAAAACGCCTACAAAAGCCCTAAACTTTGGGCGACATGCCGATCCAACCTGGAGGCTTTGTGGAGGACCGGCCGGAAGGCTGGATGGAAATGGCCACCGGCACTGGCCAAGGACCTGCAGTTCCGACACATTCCTACCCGTCCCAGAGCACGGTTCTTAGCACAGTCAATTCGGTCCCCAAATTTCCTTTTTTTCAAGGATTTAGGGTTTGTTTTTCAACCAAGTTGAAGCCCAAAGCCCGGGCCTTTGAATTGTATTCCTTTCCGAGACCCGGCAAGCCCGGAATCCCAACCGACCGAATCCAGCAATTCCCTGTCACAAGACCGTATGGAAAAGTTGTCTGGATCAATCCGGCAATGGGGTGGTGGTCCAGGAGCCGAATCTCCTACAATGGGCACTGTTTTGGGACCCTCTCCTGGCCCCGGGCTGTGGAATTGGATGCCTTGGCCTCTTAGCTTCATGGCCAAAGCTGGTGAATTTCGAGACTCCGGGCCTTAAGAACAAGGAACCCTGCGTCCCCAAAAATGGGCACTGGCTTGGGACCCTCGTCAATGTCCTGGCCCGGGTCCTCTGGCTTTCGAAAATCATATGGACCATTTTAATTCGAATCAGCTCATGCCTCATACCTTTTGTAATCATATGGATCCCTTCTAAACGCATATAAGGTCATCCCTTTTAACATATGGACCGCTTTTTAAACTCATCGAAGCTCATCTCCTTTATGATGTCCATATAAGCTCATGCCTTCTACAATCATATGGATCCCCTTTACATTCATATCAGCTCATGCCTTTAAAAATCATGTGGATCCCTTTTTGAGTGGAATCAGCTCATCCTGTTGAAAATCAGATGGGCCCCGTTTAAATTCAGCTAAACCCGTCCCTAAAGTATATGAAGCCCTTTCAAGGTCATATAAACTCATCCTTTGAAAATCATCTGGATCCCTTTGAGAAATCCATGGACCGTTGAAAGAGGGACAAAACAGCTTCGACCGTTCGGGGTCAGGGGGGGGTGGGGGGGGGGGCGCACACTGAAGAGGCTGCAACGTTAGCCAAATCCTTTTGTGTTGAGGGCTCTGCTGTGAGCGCAGCTCTCTTTTTCCTCTGTCTTTTTTGCGTTGCTTCTCTTGGAACAGGAGTGTGGGCTGCTGGCTCGGGTTCCGGAAGCGAAGAAGCGAGGTGTTGGAGATTCGAGTGGAGACAGGGAGACAGAGAGAGAGCTCGTCGTGCCGAGTTGCGCATGTTTGCAGTATGTTTGCTACGCTGGCTTGTGCCGAGGTCAAGCTCGACGGAGCGCTGAAGACGGACCAAGAGGAGACCAGAAGGGCGCTAGAAATCAGCGCACCAGTGAGCTTACCTCAAAGCCTCCTGACCCCGCCAAGATAGAGATGTGCGAAGCGATTTTACTGTGTGCAACCTCAGAACGCGGTTCCCGGACAGCCTGTCGAGCGTGGGGGGGCTCAGTCACACAGTAAAACGCCGAACAGAGTTGTGCAAGGCTGAGTTGGTGCGAGTTGATCTAAAGGCATGCAAGAGTGCAACTCAGGTCTTGCCGGTCTCACAAACCTTAGTCTCTGTGACCTGGCAGGAGCCTGATGAAAGCAGTAATTGGCGCTATTTTGCTCTGTGCATCGCCGCGCCCCTTTCAGGTCAAGGCACACGCGCCCGTGGTCCTGCTGAAGCGATGGACAGGGTTTTCAGCTGGACTATCTTTTTCGCTCCACTTGTCCACGGCAGTTAGACGTGACGGCGTTTGTAGTCGCTTAGGTGGTTCGTTTTGCTGTTTCACTGTAACATGTCACCGCTGCAGATTCTTTGGCTCACAAGAGCGACCCTGTGTTGGCCGCTTGGGCCGACCGCTGCAACAACTTTAGATGCAGAAAGTTTCTGGTACACAACTGTACACGCGAAGCTGAAAGCCCACAAAGACCAAGCATCAAGAGCTTGCTTGTCAGTTCTCCAATACCCCAAACGATGCTTGCCACACAGCTGCACATTGCCAGACACCGGGTTTTGTTGATCAGGGCGGGGCCATTAGGTTCACGGGCAAGGTTAGAGCCGGGTAGAGCTTGCTGCCGTGCGAAAGATGGCGACCGAAGTTCTGCCTCTTGACTCATCTGCAATCTGCCTTGCGCTGTTCATGCAAAGCGCCAAAATGCTTAAGCTTGAGAGGCTATGTTTGAGGTTTAGGTTCCGGCCATAAGGACAAAGTTCTCGCCTGACTGCGGCGCCTGTGAGATTACTCTGAATCGACCAGACAAGCTGAATGCCCTCAACCTGAACATGTTTCTTGGCTGCAGCCTGTCCATGCATGCAGCTTCACACTGCACCGCAGGTTTCAAGACAACTTGTTGAGCAGCACTTTTTGGGGGGATTTAGGCGGTTTAGGGCTCTGGGTTTTTCCGCAAAGTTGCTCGGGATGCCAGGATTCGCCGACTACATGAAGCGGTTGACCAAGTAGACGCGAAGTCCGGCAAGGCCTGCGGGTCGGCTGTAGGGGCGTGCGAGGTGGGAGGGTGTGGGAGTGGGGCTGCCTGCGCGCGCAGTTGCGACATTCCCCCCCGCGCGCGCGGGGTGATCTATGACATTTGGTGTATGTTCAGTCCATCAACTCGTCGCATTGTAGCCTGTATAATTACACACTCCAAACCCAGATGCCCCCGCAAGCTCCAAAGCCCAGGCTCATGAACGCAGAGTTTTTCGGTATTTTGGTGCTGGGCTTGGGGTGATGGGGTTTTGGGGCTTTGTGCTTTTGGGTATTTGTGGTGTTGGGGCGTTTTGCTGCATTTGTGGGGCGTTTTGCTGCCATAGGGCTTTTGGATTTCTGGGTGTGGCTTTCATTGCTTTCGTGCTTTGGGGGGTTCCAACCAAATATCGTCGAGCCAACTGTTGGCTTTGGCATCTCCCGTGCCTACGCACCTGGCCCAGTGCTTGTGCCAGGTCGGATGCCTCATTATGGATGGAGCCGGCGGCAAAGCATTCTGTGCAGGTGGGGACGTGCAGATGATCCGGGAGGCCTGGGCAGGGGGGCTGGACGCCACCTGCTGACTTCCTATAACCTCCTACCAACATGTCAAAACACGATGCCGCTCAATCACGCAAACAACGTCGGCAAACAACGCCGAGCTGACAACGTGGAAAATCAAGTGGAGCCGCCGCCGCAGAAGGCATCGGATAATGTATACTAGTTGCTAGACGCTATTTTTCTTTTCGTAGTTTTGCCACAAGCTATGCTATGCTATACTAGTCAAGTCTCCCATAGCATCGCATAGTGTCTTGTGGGGCATTTTTTTCAGAACGAGACTGCAGCGGATCTCGGCAACACATGTTCATCTCATGCCGGTGTAGGTCACTAGGCTGTCAGCTCAAAGGCACAAATAAGGGGAACGCAACAGCAGCAATTTCAACAGCCGGCCAGCAACGCAAGGGACAACCACGACGACGAACGACTAGTCCGGAACAGGTTCGGCAGCTACTGTGCTGGTCGAACCGCACTTATCTCTTTCAGGGCCCTTCGCAAGGGTCGTTGTTGCAGAGGCCTCTGAGGACCATCAGGGCCTACCTTACCTCACCCTCTCCTACAATAATATTCGCAATATGAAGAGACTCATTAATACAACTAGCCTTAACAGTACCATTTGTTTCGAGTTGTTTGTTGGTCAGGAGGGTCTCGCTGGTGGTTCGCTCCCTGCGGATTTCTTCTTCGAGGAGTAGCCCAGCATGTTGAAAGCATTGAAATGACGGAGCGCAATGGTCAGTGACAGCTGCGCGAGCACCATGCTTTCTTTTGTGGTGGAGGTACGGAATCGTTTTCAGACTGGCAACCCTGTTTGATCGGACAGGCAAGGCCTTGGGATTTTGTGCAACACTTTGAAGCATGGCTCCAGTCCGGCAGGCTGTTGCCAGGTCAGTCTTTTTGACGGCATCACGATGGGTGGTGGCGTCGGCTTGTCCACACACGGCCCTTTTCGCATCGTCACCGAGAAGACTCGCTTTGCCGGGTCCTCGCAATTGCACGCTTGCACCCTGCCCTGGATGTCATGAAGTGCGGGTGCACAGTCATCGGCACTTGATGCCCAAGTAGTCTTCTTGGATCGTGCAGAGGCCATGCCAGAGATGGCCATTGGCCTCTTTCCTGATGCCACTTGGCTGCCCGAAAATCCCATGCCGAAGCCAGAGAGGAAGGGCCATTTCTGGAAGTTGCTTTGCATGGATGTGCTTGCGTGGATGTGCGACAGCCCCAACAGCTCCATACAGGAATTGCCAAGGCCATTGTTCTTGGGGGGATGGTGGAAAGGATATGAGAACACTGTTAGTTTGGTAGTGGTAGGTAGCGGAGGGTAGTAGACCAGGTTAAGGTTGTACTCATATCCGCAAGCTCCGTACATCCATTTGATGAGGTCGGTGCGACTCAGCTTTTATGTCACCTCAAAGCGGGGGCTGCAGTTGGTCGCATCTTGGCTCAAACTTTCGTGACAAGGTTTGGGTTTGGGGATACTTGGGGTTGTTCTAATTTTGGGCCCCCCCTCCCTTTGTCCGCCCCGCCACAACGGAGATTTAGGCTAAACGGCGAAGCCCGCAAAGATACTCCTCTGGACCCATACCTTGCAACAGACGTGGAATGAACGGCGACTTATTGTTCTTCTTATTATTCCTCTTCTTCTTCTTCTTCTTCGGCGGGCGGCGGTGGCGGCGGCGGCAGCAGCAGCAGCAGCAGCAGCAGCAGCAGCAGCAGCAGCAGCAGCAGCAGCAGCAGCAGCAGCAGCAGCAGCAAAAGCAGCAGGTAAAAATCGTGCGGCTTTGTTTCGGGGCAATACAAGGCGTCCTCATCCCGATCTTGATGGCTTCGTGCCAGTAAACTCGGAAGACTCGCCTGGAATGTATGGACAAGCATGGAGTCTACTCGCACTTCCGGAATCCGAGCTTCTGAAAGTTGTTAGTTCAATTATACTTTGGGACTTTGGTTTAGATCTTTCACCAAACCTCACCGAAAGCCTGAAGGCGGAAGAGATTGCCAGGCTTACTAGGTGGTCTGCGCTCTCAACTTCGCTCCGTTTTTTGGGGTGCTTCAACAAAAGGGGGGTAGAGCAGTATATGACCATCACTGTTGGGGTACTCGAGTAGCTTACAGCAATAGCCGTTCGCCTGGCATCGCAACTTGTTGAAAGTTGCCTGCCCATTTGCCCAGTTTTCCTTGGCATCACTGGCACTAACATCTCTGCGTGGGACTGCCTCCGAGCAGGAGCTGGAACCTCAGCTTGGGGGTTCTGATGGGGTAAGAGTGGGGGGGGTTTGCTGTAGTGAGGGGGTCGGGACCTCGTCCAAGATCAGATCCCTGCCACGATGGTTGCAGCGGTTGAGTGGCGAGCCACACTCGAGACCAATCCTTTCGCTGGTGACAAGGTTGCAACCCACTACGTCCCATCGGCTCGTGCCGCGGCCGCATCTGACCAGGGTGGGTGGCAGAGGTCCTCCCTTAGGGTCAGCCTGGCTACAACACTGGATCCGAAGAGGGAAGCAGGAAGCTTGGGCAGCCAAGGTTTGCCTGAACTTCGGGAGAAGCTTGTCGCCAGGCTCCTGGTGCCCTTGAGCAACCTAGTCCACCTGTCATGGCACTCGACTACTGAAGCAACAAGAACCTCGTTGGTTGCCTTGTTTGTGGTGCAACGCAAGATCTTTCAAGTTGGAATTTGCAGGTTCAAGCCTGGCCTGGTCGGAGAGGCAGCCATGAAGCTCTGCGAGGACAGCGCGTGGCGGCTCGTCGGGGTCAAAGTCATATAACTCCGCCGGGGCTCTTGAGCAAAACCTCGAGGGCTTAGGAGAAACCTTAGGTCGAATCAAGCTCAAATCCCGACAGCCAAACCCACATCACTGACCAGGTCAGTGATGCAGTTCTGCGGGTTTAGAGCTTGAAGAGGACATCATCGAGGAGACCAGCAGCGGCTCATCAGTACCCTGCGAGAAGTGCGTGCTGTCCGATGAGAACCTTGCTATTGTGAACAGGCGGGAGAGTGCCTTGAGTCCTTGTTTAGAAGTAGCATCTGGAAAGGGCGCTGTGCTGCATTGTGCTGGAGGTGTTTCAATGCATCCACAGTCGAGGATGGCCACGAACACGACGTACATGCAAGCTGCTGCTTCATGCAACTTGCTATTCCGGTCGTGTGCAGATATGCTAGGGCGGCCAGGGCTGCTAGGGCTGCGAGGGCAGCGAGGGCTGCTAGGGCTGCTAGGGGCGCAGAGGCGCGCGAGCTGTGCAAACTGCGGGGCTTGACGAGGAGATAGTCGCGCGCCTTCGCGCTGAGACCTGCGCTTTTGCGGCTGAGACGCTGCAGAAGATGCTCCGGCCGGGGCCTTGCAGAATGGTTTGGATGACAGCAGTGCAGTTTGCAATTCAGCAAAACATGCTTTGAAGACAGGGTGGCTTAATGCGACTTGAGCCCCAAAGTCCTGTAGGGCCATTGTAAAGCTGAGATTGGACCGCCTGAACAGAGATGAACGGAGGGCCCCCAAAACCACAACAGCTGGCAAAGAGCTGTGCAGATCAAGATTAGGCAGGTCGAAGTTTGGGCCCCCCAGCGCAAAGTAGGATTCCAGACGGACCCAAAGCAAAAGCCTAGCTTGCAGTTCTTAGCTCCCCTTTAGAAGCCGATTGCAGGCAGTTCTGGACTGGGGAAACATTAGCTGCAAAGCAACCTACAAATATGTGTCTGCTGCAGAGTGAACTGAGGTCCTGCTCTCCGACTTCATGCAAGGTAACGCTGCAGGACGTGCAGATTGATGTCTGCTTGTGAAATCTCTTTCAAGCTTTATGTGATGTCAGTTGGCGCTCCGTGAGGCAATGCAGGACACACTGCGTACGCGCAGAAGCATCGGCGAGGTGCTGCAGAGACTCGGACATTCGTTAACCGTTAGCTTCTCCCATCCTGCTGTAATTGATGCATGCCGAGGGCATGGCAAGCTACCTCGTGGCATTTAAGAGTTTCCGCCTCCGCTCCCAAGGACGGAGTACCGCCTGTCGCAGAGGTTCACCACACGCCCGCAGCCGCTCTCGGACTTCTTCGTGGCTTGCCGTGTACAGGCGTAACTAACTCACACGGGAGCCCAGCCACTCGCTTGATTTGTTTGCCTGATGTAAGCCTGTCCTGTTTCTTGATCGGTGGTGTTTCGACTAAGGAGGGCATCCGTGCTGTGTTGGTAGACAAGGACCGCAAGCAGCTTCTTGGCAGCGCAATGATGCGTTCTTGCGAAAGGCAGTCGTTGTGAAGGGAACAGCAAGACCCTGAAAACCGTCGAAACCGTTGACTTGTCAAGGAAGTGGAACCCCTCGTGGGACTCTCTCCACGAGGTGACGGAGGCCAAGGCGGGATGGTTGACACAGCCGGGGGGGGGGGTGTTTGCACTGGGTTTTGGCTGAAGCTGAGGAGCTGTAAGGCGTGCGGAGACGTGCAGGTCGCGGAATTCTTCTCCCCACTGGACCCTGGCCATTCCCGGGGCGAGCTGCGCTTGGAGGAACCCGTAAACAGTTGAGAGGGAAGCTTCCGTCATGTAACGCCCAGCTGAGCTTCAGTCATTTCATGACTTATTCCAGCCCTGGCTAAGTCCAGGACATGTTTGCCTTCAGCCACCTTGCTGCAACGAATAGGAAAATCTAGTTTGTCATCCAACTCCCTTTCTTTTTGGTGTGGGTTCTCAGGTGAATCGAGACGATCGGCATTTCCTGAGGTGCACTTAAAGTCCAAGTTGTAAAGCACCTCCAACCAGCAAATGCTGGGAATCGCGGTGCCAAGAAAAGCCGACCTAACACAACTCACAGCAGCAGTTGGCGCGGCTGGAAGTACCCATGATGAGCTCCTCACCGTCTCAGCAGATGCCTGACTGCTTCGAGGTCAAATGGTGAAACATGAAGGGATCGTGAAATCCCTGCAGGATACGCCACGCGACCAAAGAAGTCACGGCGGAAGACATGCTGCAGGCCGTACAGTAGTGACTGGATTCTGGATGTGCCTTCGAGTTTGCTTTAGCTTGCTTCGCGAACAGAGGTTTGAGAGAAGCATTCACGGCAGCCCAGATTATCAACCTCCGCAGCTGTATGTTGTAAACTCCCAGCAGAGCAAGGTGCGAGACATTGACGTGCCACGCGCTCGATTCCTAGCAGAGGCTGGCTACTGGAGCTGCTTCGCTGCTTTGGGACTAGCGGGTTGCAAGGATCTGCACATCGGAGAACTGCAGCCTACCACACTTGAGCACTTTTGCCGCCGCAGCTATTTAGTACCCACTGGCACCGCGGTGTATCATGAGTCATGCTTGTCATGGACACACAGCGAAGTGGAAGCAACAGCCGACTCGTCTTTAGCCCAAAGCAGCAGAGCACCGGTCTTTGGCTTTCAGCTTTCGAAGCTGCGTTCTTTTGAGTCTGTACAGACGCCTTGCGGAAGCTTCGGTCAACTCCGTACTTGTTACTCTGCAGGTGCCCCAGTCAAAGCGTGTGAGAGGGAGTACGAGAGACTCTGTGTGTGTGTGTGTTGAAGGAGTATCCACTGCACTCATTGATTGGGGCAAACTTTCAAGTGAAGGACATAAACTTTCAGAAGAAATGGACGACAGGAGCCACAAGGGGGACACCGACATGGGTTTTCGAATCAAGCGCTCACTGGTTGGAGAGCCGACCGTTTACATAGTGGGCTTAACATGAAAGCATGCTCGCTAATCATTGTGAGTTTGAGAATTTGAGAATTTGAGAAAGTAGCAAGAGACCTCCCAAGATCTTGTGGGTTGAAGGCCTGACGATGCCTCCCGTGCCTCCGCTGGCCTTGACGTCGCCGCATGGCCTTGGGGCGACGACGCCGCAGCCCAGCCTGCATGGAGTTTGGGGGTGCAGGTGCTGCAAGTTAAGGGCAACAGTCAGAGAAGTGGTGACCCATCTTTTGATATCTTTTTGCATCGAAGTTCTGCTGTGAGCTGTCCCAAGTCCCTGCCGAGGCGGAGCTTCAGCAGCCGTCCATCCACAGCACCCAGCGCCAACTCCTGAGAAGTTTGGCCGCCTCCTGCCCACTTGAGAATCAACAGTATGACCCAGTATAACCATGTAGCATGGCCCCGAATCGTGCATCCCGCGGACATTTGTGGGCAAACGCGCTCCAGGCTGGCAGCTACCAGCCTAATGTTGGATCGTTCTCTCGCAGCGCGCGGCATATTGTCACCCCACAGGCCTGCCTGGACCCGCGAAATCGTTGAGACGTTTAGAGCATCAGGGTTGGCATTCATCTGACTTTGTCCGGTTTGTTTCTCGGTGCCTATCCAGGCAGTTTGGAGCCAGCGCAAGAGACCCGAACTAATTGGCGGCAAAGCCGCGTCGAAGAGAAGCATTCCAAATCACCCGAGCTTGCCCTCAACTCTAAAGTCACACCAGCCACTGAAGTCAAACAGCACAATCGATCCAATGCCCCCCCCAGAATTTTCGGCCAGGTGGGGCTCTCTGCCATGGTCCAGGCCCTGGGTGATCTCAAAGCTCCCTGGGCCGTGTCCTCATTCTCCTAGATAGAATTCTGCTCTCGCTAATTCGGACCCTAGAAAATGCCTACCGGCTAAAAGACTGGCCTACTGGATCAGCCATTCAAATGCTACACCCTTCCTGTAGATTCGAGAGATTGGCCGAGGAGGTGACCTCAGGGCAGAAGTTTACGCCGAGACACGAGACGCCCTTCGATGCGCTGGCTTCTGTCAGGCCTGTCAACGAGAAGGCTTGTTACCGTGATGAACCGGGCTTTTTGAGGGTGCTCTATATTCTGGAGGACGCTACATTGCTAGGGCGTTTAGGGACTGCCTATGCTCCGAATGGTCCCCCGAGTAGTTTAAAGCACTCTGCCCTGTCTGGTAGGCCATTCTCGGTCGGCCGTGCGAGGGCGCAGAGGCAGCTACAGAGTGCTCTGGCGACTCAGGAGCCCGAAATGTGGGGAACTCCTGGAAAGGTGAGAGTGTGCATCAAATCAAATGGAACAGGACGAGTGGGCGAAGGTCCGACGACTCGACCAGGTGGAAGATTGACAGTCTAAGCTTGCGTAACGGCATTGCGCAGAACTTGGCTGCCTTGCAAGACTCGGAAACTTGATGTTCAAATTCAGATGCCAGGCGCTTCAGAGCCCTTGCGTACACTACGAGAGAGCAGCGACACCACGCCTGTCGCAGGCCAGCCGGCCGTGCTCATCAGCAGAAACCTTCAATCTTGTCATAAGAGTCAGTGTAGAGCATCTCCGGAAAAGCTTTTGCTTGCACAGCTGCAACTTGTGCTTGTTCTCGAGCTGGAAAGAGGCTGTTCAATGTTGCCGCCAAAACGGAGGTCACCCGAGAGGCTGAGGCGGCCAGGAGGGAGCTCTTCAAGAAGGACGGGCGTCTTTGATGTAGCGAAAGGTGCATCCATGATCTCAGCACTGGATCACTCCGATACAGTGGGCAATGACAGGCACAAAAAGACACTCTTTCTATTGTCTGCAGTCAGGGTCTGCAGCCGAGACCCACGGAGGCTGCAAAATCAACCAAGCTGCCTGCATGCTATGGAGGGTCTCGGGTCTTAAGACGACTTAGCGTTTAGCTTTTCGGGTTCAGGGTTCATAGTTCAGGGCTTTGATTCAGACGGTTCCGGGCTTGAAGCGCTGCGAAAGAATTTCAGATCTTACGGATGTTGGTTGCTCCGGTTCGGTGGCGGTTTACTGAGTTGTGTGTGCTGGAGGGCAAGCTGCGCGCTAGTCGCGCTGTGCAAGCTTGCAGATCTCAGTCAACCTCATCTTTTGTGGCACTGCCACGCTTGGCGCGGATCGCATGCCTATTTTTTGGATCTGCAGTGTTTGCACTTCTTCTAGTTGGCCGCTCCTTCTCCCATAGACAACAGAGTGGGTTGAAGATCCAAGAAGCGTGCAAAGATCGTGCCTGAGCTTCCCCGAGGCCACCGCCGCCACCGCCGCCACCACCGCTGAGCGCCGAGGACTTCTTGGTGTTGCTGTAAGGTTGGTGGTGTTAGTGGCCTGGGAGATGGTTCGGAAACCAAGACTCAGAAGCTTTAAATTCTCTCCGGAACTGCCCATGTCGGGTCAAAAGCTACGAAGCCTCGTCTAGCAGCATGCAACCTTTGAGCAACTAGCACGCCCCGCTTTCCTGCCCCAAATCTGGACCCTCCCAGACTTGCGTTCCGCGCCTCCGAAGCATGTAATTTGATCGTTTCCCAAGCAGATCTCGATACTCGTAGCTTCCCAGTCAGCGTATGTATTTCGTTTCGGATCAGGGTGTGGCCTTCTCACCGAAGCAAGCCGTGGAAGACCAGCTCGCCCCGAAACCGCATACACCGAAAACTTCAAACTCTCAGATCCCGAAACCCTCAACCATCCTCAAATCCCTAAAGCCCTTCAGGAAGTGCAGCAGAAAGAGGAGGAGGCGGCGGCCCTTCGAATCCAAAGCCTTTATCGAGGCGGCAAAGAGCGCGAGGCCACTGTCCGCGTGTTGTGGAGTTTGGAGGGTTTAGTTTAGGGTTCAAAGGGTTAAGGTTGGAGGGTTTAGGGCTGACGCTTTGGGGTTTAGGGTGCTTAGTCGATGGCTATAATGAGAAGCTGCGGGCCTGGTTGTCCCACTTTGACCTGGTTCCCGGGGGTGTGCGACGCATCCTAGTTACTAGTGTCTGTTCGAACACGGACGGCCATGTTTGATGTGAACGGAGCCGCTCCACGTACACTGTACCCTCGGCTCCAGCTCACTCAAGTCGGACCGCGGCGGGTCTGCAATCTCCAAAAGCTCACAGCTGAGAGTCTTCTTTTGTCGGTTTCGTTGCCTCCGATACCGCGAAGGGCTCACTCTGAAGCCTGCGTGCAATAGCTTCTTGTACGCCTTGTGCAGCTTCCCGTGTATCTTATCTACTGCCTGTGGAGTGTGTGTGTGTGTGTGTGTGACACATCAGGGTAGCTCCGCGTTGATGCAGAAATGAATGGCAGGCTGTGAAGAAAATGGCGGAAGAAGAAGCCAAAGCAGCGAAGTGCTCAGCTGCTTCTCCTCCCCCTCCATCTGAAAAAATTGAAAGCTGTTTTGAAGCTTCGGCTCGCGAAGCTGTGAGGCGATCAGAATCCAGAGTGTTTTTCGTGGACAGGTGCGGGACTTGGTCTAAGCCCCCACCTTGGGGCGGGGTCTGCATCAGTCTTCGGGCACAGCCCTGGCCATTGAAATCGAATCAGAGTTGTTCATAATATGAAAGTCTACATTCATATACATTTGTTATTGTTATTATTATTGGATCGATGATCGGAATTCTTAGGACAACATCAGCAAAGGTATCCGCAACCAAATCCTTGCCTACAAGCTGAAGCCCCGTGCCAGGCCGCTCGTCGAGAGCTGGAGTCGTAGACTCCCAGCCCTTGCATGTCGGCATCCCTGCCGGGCTTAGGGAAGAGGGAAGGTTGAAGAAGGGATTCGGATGGTCGGTTCCGCGTGACTTGCGGGTAGACTTCCGTGTCTCGTGGCCAGGCGAATCGTGGCAACGTGTGCAGAATATTGCGGCGTTCAGGCCCCTAGGGCGTGTTGCTCATGGAACACCAGAGGAAGACCATGCGAGAGAGCTGCGCAACCACGCGCAGCCATGTGCAACCACGTGCAACCACGCGTGATCGAATCGGTGGGGGAGCATCGGTCCGGGGAATGCATCTTGCGAGGCCAAGAGCCCTGCCATCAGCGCTCTCTCTTGGAGAGGGAGCGGGCCCCAGCTGGATCGTCCGAGCCATGTCTTCTCTTTGCAAGCTTGACCAACAGAAGCTTGCCATGTGTCCTGTTAGGGTTTCCTGCTTGTTTGTACGGGATGCGCCGGGCTGAGCGGGCCCTGAGGTTTTCTCACCTGCTTGTCCCCATGAAGGCGGGTGATGAGTGGCGCGTGGGACGGCGTGTGACCAGGGTATGAGACACCCCTTACCTGGCCAGGCCATAGGCCAGTGGGAGGAGCAGATCAAGCCTTCAGAGCAGTGATGCTCAAGGATGGCTCCTTTAGCTTCTTTTTTGTAAATTGTTCTTAGGTTTAGCCGCCGCACAGCTGGCTTGGCAGTGACAGCTACCCAGTCCATCGCCCACATGCTTGGCGTCTCAGGCTTGGCTGCTACGGCTAACACCAATCATCCTGCGCCCCTAGCTTCCCTAAGTGGCCCTAGGCTAAGTGCCCCCCCCCCCCCCCGCCGCAGAAGTTGCTGACGCAACGAGACTGGCTTCAAGGTGAGAAACGGTGAGAGCCTCCTGAGCAGGTGCCAAAAGCGATTTCTGAGAACGTGTCAGCAGATGTGTGGAGATCAACTCCACAGAACGGATGCCCTTGATTTATGGCACTTGTTTGCAGGAGCTCTCAGTAGTGACAGTAGTGGCCAAACGGCCACTCTTGCTGCCAATCGGCGAGCAAAGCTCGAGCGCATCCTGGGAAGCCAGTCGCACAAAGAGAACCCAAGTGCTGTCAAGTGTGCGACTCCTTGACGAACTGATAAAAGTAGCACCCACGGTCCGGTTGGGCTCCTTGGTCTTAGGTTTTATGTGGTGCAGGATCTCTTGTATCGACGCTTGGGAGAGCAAAAGTTCTCCAAGCTCTTGGATGAAGCAGAGGCCAACATGGCTTGGGGGCAAGCCGGGATTCCCAGGTTGTTGAGCTCAGTCGATGGGCTGTGTCTGTGGGAGGTGCTGACCAAGAAGTTTCAGACTCGCATCCAGAAAGCAAGGCACCCAAATCATTGACCACGCGTGATGGACAGGCAGAGGCGTTTGCGAGGGGTTACTACGACGACCGAATGCATGTGGTAGTCTGCTGCTAGAGCCTGGATGTCTCAGCGCTTTGTAAGCGCCATTGAACGCCCGTCACTTCTAGAGGACACCACGAACCCGAGGCCCGTGGGTTTTTTGAGACACCCAATGGCATCATCTGGCCGGCAACCAAGGTTTCTTCACTCGACACGGCCTTGAATACATCGCTTCATTCAAGTGCTCTCGATTAGACTATTACCATCGTATTACAGCGACTATTGCGGCTTCAACTGCTTCATTCCTGCCTCCCAAGGCACGTAACTCCAGACGGTGAGGTAAAGGGACTCCACGCAGACGGTTCACGAATCCGTGATCGTGTCCGGGTGCGCCGGCACTTTCTCTTTAACTGCTTGGAACCGCCGGAACCAGGATGACCACACTGCAAGTCACGCTCAGAATCTGCATGTTGGGAGGTTGCTCCAGACGATACGCTTCAGATTGGGCCTGGCGCCCTTGGACATGTCGCTGCATGGAGTTACGTAGGAAATGGCCCAGAAAACTCCCGAAAGCTTGTTGCTGTGGGCCACACTGCCATGAACGACTTTAGCAGTACCACTGCTGTTGCATAATCATGCAGATTGAGGCCTTTTCGGCTGGATGAAACGCGGAGTTGCAGCTGCATCCACTGGCTTCGGAAGGAGTATGGGGATTCGATGGTGGCCTACTGACATCGCTACCCATTAGAACGGCACTGGTTTTTCCTGGGGGAGCCCAAGACTGGCCGATTAGGGATATCCGGGCAAGTGTCAGAGGCGTCTGCCTGAGCAAGTTGGGGAAGGGGGAAGGGTTTGGCGAATCCAAACCGAGGAAATGTTTGGGTTGGAGCCAATCGTCTTCGGAGACGGAAGACAAAACTCTCCACGAGCCAACGCTTGTAGATGGTGCCGTCTGCCGCTAACGCCATATTCCACACAAGTGGGTATTTCCCAAAATAGGGGTTCCGTCGACCCTGCACAGTTTATTACGCTGGGGCGCTTCAGCTTGCGGAGAAGGCGCCTCAACCCCAGCAAGATTATGCAGTCTACTCAGAAGACAGATCCCAAGATCAGTCCTGTCAAGACCACTCAGCGTATCGGTGGTAGCAAAGCAAGCGTGCTTGGAAGAAATACCTCCCTGAACGCAAGAACGAAAGCCAACTCTAACCAAAACGCCGAACACGCCATGAAACCAACGCTTTGTCTGTGGAGGGCGGAGGCGCTCCTCTTCGCGTAGCAGCGTCGAGAGAGCCCTTCATTTTTAAGGGCTTCCGGGAGACTTGAAAGAGAAGGCATGTGGCGTGCGATGAGAGGCTTGTTGTCCAGGCTTGTGACACAAACATCACAGGAGTTCGGGCCCAGGCAAATTCTTGTAGGCTTTCACAAATCGAGTTGCGCTGTCGCAGCAGGCTTGCATGCAAGCCACGAACTATGCATCGCTGTACATGCCAAAGCCCTTGGGCCAAGCGGCTAAACGGTTGACGATCCTTCCATCCCCATCCATCCCCCACACTCAAAGGCGGAGATGAGGTTGTGGACCTCCACGGCAAGCAGCAATCATAGTTCCATACCCGACCGCGGTACAACAGAGGCTGCACAAACAGAAATGCGCAGATGCAGCTTATGGAACATTATCGTCCTCATCATCGGCCTCCGTTATGAGGGGTAAGGGACGGAAGGCGTCTGTATTACAACTTCCAGTCAGTAATTTTGAGTCAGAACTGCAACACTGTCCGATGTGTTCCCGTATCGTACGAAGAGATGCACTGACGTCCCATATTGAATCCTGTCGATATGAAAAGACGATACTACATAATCTACTGAATCGGGTTGCGACGTACTCTACCAATTCCGGTATACCATTGATATAAATTTGTTCTTCCTGTTTCGAGGAATTATACGCACTTTTATCTATCAACAGTAGTATCAATAGCGAAGATCCAGATGCTACAATCGTTAACAGTCCAATATCCATCGGTTATTCACTTTCAATCACTGGAATTATCCTATTGTTCCTAGAACGGAAAGGTGTTGCAGGAGTATCAGGTAAATGACGAGGCTCAATCCTCTTAGGGGCCGTAGGGCCCCCTCCCCTCCGAAGTTTTTTTGAGACCTCCCATCCCTGAAGTCGGCCGACCAAATTTTCCACGTTGTCATTGTGTTACCGTCTCTGGTACGTCGCAAGGTACTAGAACGAAACATGCGATACCACCTGAGAAGCTGCAAGGACGACCCTGAGAAGTCTTGGAATTGGTCCAGGCAGGTCAGTTGCTTCAGCAGCTTCAGCGCTTCACGCCGTCCCCTGCCAGGGATAATACCCTGCGAACGCGAGTGCGGCTGGCCACGGGTGAGAGGGCCTAGCTCGCAAGCTGCTTCTGTGTTCTTGAGGCGCGGGCCAGCTTCTGTATTGTGGTCAGCATGTCAAGTAGCTGCCGACATGGGAGAAGCACGTTGTGCAACTGCGCGTCGTGGGACGCTGGCAGTGCTTCGCTCTGCATGGGCCAACTTTGTTAACGAACTCGAAGCCATGTTGTGAGACTTCGTCCAGCCTTCCTGCATGGGGAATCCGGGTCTGGAAGCATTTCTTGTTTCTTTTTTGCAGCTTAGATGTGAAGACAGTGTGAAGACAGTGTGAAGACAAAGTCCCCAATCTTGTATCCGCCTTGACCATCAAGCCTCGGCTGAGTGGCTGGGTAAACGGCACGTTGACGGAATTTTCCGGAAGCCGGAACTCCCCTGAGCTCCCCCGGACTCCCCCAAAGGAGTCGCCAGGCTTCGCAGCAGCGTCGTGAAGATTCATGGAAGGGATGGAGTCGATGGAATGCCTTCAAAGGAATCAGGATGTCATAGCCCTCGTAGCCACCATAGCGGTGGCGAAACGTTTTAGGCTGCTGCTGCGAGTCTGCGGCTCCTGTCCTAGGGCTGCTTCTTGCAGCAGCTTGTCACCATCACCGCAGCTCTCCAGTGCATTGCTAGGGGCCGCAAAAAGTAGTTGTTGGGAGCTTGCTTCGCAAGATACAAAGACTTGAGATGGGATACCCATGGATGTGCTGGGTGAACGGAACTACGCTGGCTCAGCTAGATCTTTCACGGCACTGCAGCAAGGGGGTTAAGCCCTGCTAGCATGCCGCTTGTGGGAAACATGTCATGACTACAACGTCACTTCTAAGCAACACACATCTTCTTGTAAGGGAAACGGCATCCAGACTGCTTGTGAAGAAAAGCCGAGAAGCCTGAAAGCCTTCTGCCATGGCGGAGCTTGAAAGACCCCGGGCACCGGCCTGGTGCTGAGGGCGCAAGTGAGTGACGTTTGTGACTTCGGGTAGTAACGCATTGCCAAACCGCAACCAACTGTGGACTCATTCTTCAAGGGCGCCTTGTTAAGCTGACAGCTGCCACATGCCCAAGTACTTGCTACTTCTCTTTGGTGGTGAGATGCTTGCTGTGGAATACTCGCCTTCAACATTCGAAAAGCTCGAAGCACCTGAGTCTTTCAAACAAATGAAGCGATCTGGCGGTCCCAGAGCATCCAGTGTCTCCGGGCGCTGAGGATCATACCCTCCCCCAAACCAAATGCGGAACAGACTCCTTGAAGTCGACAAAGTTGTTGCTCATCCAGTTCATCCGATGGCTCAAGCTATTTCGAGGATCGCTCCAATTTTCCAACTTCTCGCGCAATCCCCACTGTGTTATGTACACAAGCGATAGCGGTGGACACGAAAGGGAAGAACGAAGATCCGTCAGTTCTTCGTGCAAGCCTTTACAGCTTTTTCGAGTGCCAGAACCCCAGATCGACTCGAACCCATCAGCGCTTTGAAAGCTTCTGTGACTCAGTACCTTCTCCCCGTTCCACTCAGACTTAAGCTTTGCTGCTCTCTTGCTGCAATTGTGCTGCTGCAATTGTGCAAGCGCTTTGAGGCCGCAAACTTGCCCTTTCCCTCGACCTGGTACCATACTAAGTGCCCTTTCACCTCGCCATAAAAGATCGAGAGGCTGCCCCGCCTGCCCCCATGGGCTATGCGCCGTCGACAGAGGCATACCGGTATCGATAGCAAGCGGCGCCAAAGCGCGGGACGACATAATGTTCACTATGAGCGGGGAGCAGCAGACATACTGCGAGGTGTGGCATACTAGGCTACTAGGGCGCACTGGCAGCGAACTTTCTCGAGGGGGCCATGCCTGTTCCAACCTTAGACCGGTTTGGTGCAAGGATAATTGCCAGGCTTGCCCAGGCTTATTGAGTAAATTACAGTTGGTGCCCTACTGGGAAGGGGGGGTGAGCTGCAGAGATGCGCTGCTGCTCAACTAAGGCAGTTCCAACCTTAAAGAGCCATAAGTCGTTCTTCTCGTTGTCTTTGCCTTTTCCAGGATGCCTCTGCGCCTCCACCAGAGGAGCCTCAACAGGTTATCGCTGCGTCCCGCGTTACGAGAGGGGGCGCGAGGGGGCGGCCAACCAGCCGAAAGCTCTCTGTAGAAATCGGGGTCCGCGTACCTTATGTTTCCCAATATGACTTATGTTTACCTTTGAGGGATGATATAGGGTACCTTATATGCCTCTAAATCCCCTTTCAAGAGGCTGCGCACAACACGACGAACTCCAGCTGCCACTTGAGTTTCGTACACAATCCCCAAGAGCTTGCCTCATCAAGCCAGCATGAAAGTCGAATCTTGTAGGGTCTTCGTTATATGTTGAATTAGCTAGAATGATGTAGTGTGAGTGGATGAGGGGAACATGTCATCACGAGAGTCCAGATCCAAGTCAGCTACGTTTTGAGGAGGTCGCCTCAGCGCCACCCTCCGCTCCCTCCGCTCCGCCGGTGGTGCTGTTCTCAGAGTCTTAGAGATCTGTGCGTATTGAGAGTACTGGCATGAGTACAGGCACTCGGTTTGCGGTGTGCAGCGTTGCGAGATGCAGGATTGAATGCAAGGTTCACGGTATCTCGGCTTCTCGTTCAACCAGTGACCCGAGACACTGTAACTTGCCTTGGAATGTTTCGCCCTTATATTAATCTTTCGCCCCTCCCCGCCCCCACCCCTGCTCAAAAGCTCAGCGTGTCACCTCGAGATACCAATCAATGTCTCAGAGTGCGCGGATTCCTCAACGACCGAAATCCCAGGAGGCAACGGCGCCGGTGGTGCCGAGCTGAAAACTCCCGCTTCAGGATGACTAGGATGACAATAGGGCTGCAACGAGCGTCAGATGTGTGAGGATGCACAGTATTTGCCGGATTGAGTGTTGAACGTGACAGAGACCTTGTAGCAGAGGAAAGTGTCATGGCATGATTTTCCGGCCACCTGTGTAACTCTTTGCACTTGTTCCAAGACTGCGACTCTCTTGATTGATTAAGGCGCCCAAGCGGGTCACTGCGTTATCGAGAGAGGCACGGGGTGCCTGTCGAGCCTGTGGGTCGGGGTGGGGGTTTGGCCTGGAATCCATGGCCGAGGAGAGACGTGAAGCCGCCATGTTCGCAGAGCTCTACTCCATCATGGCCCGAGTCCGGTTTACGCTTGGCAACGATAGCCCCGATAAACAGAAGCTGTAGACTTTGGACAAGGTGGCCACCGAGCACCTGGAAGCAGCCTTTGTGCGTGGTGCCGTCTCCAACCAGGACATCTCTAGTTGCGAAAGTTAAGTGCATGGACAGCGGGTTTTGCCACGCGTTGAGGACTATGAAAGGACCTGCACGCAGCTCCTGACGCAGTTCAAGACTCTGAAGCAGCTTGGTACCGATTTGGGTATTGACCAGATTTGCATCAAGAAAGGAAGTACGGGAAGATAAATGTGTGGACAAGAGAGGACTACACCCGGACCATATCATGCCACACCCAGATCTCAGGAACGGGCTGAAAGACAAGCCCAGAGCTCAGACAGAGGGCGATGACTACTCAAATCCTTCCGTTTCCAAGTTCGCAAAAGGCCGTAGGCCTTTATCTCTGGACGCTTTGTCATCTTGTTTCCTTGTCCAAGGTGCCCAGACATTCGTGCCTTCGCCAAGGAAAATGGGCGGCGTTCCCGGTATTCCCAAACATCACTCAAACCCACGCCATGCGGGCCCTGAACATTTGAACATCCCTTATCCGTTAGCAGCATTGCCTTTTGGGCCTATTGCCTGCGCGTTGCTGGGTTGCACAGCGGCCTCTAGTCGAGCCTTTGCCGAGGATGAACTGCCCACTGGCGGAAGAACGGCTGCTGGGAACGGGTGTGGCTGCCACAGCCGGGAGCTCAGGAGATTAGACGGCTGCTGGCGCTTCAAGTGTGGGTGGCGTTGACGGCTGCTAGCGCCAATTAATTACTGAGGCTCTCTTCGGGGGCACTGCAGCGACGGGCAAAGAAAGCTTGGCCTGCTTCAAGGCTCGGGGTGTGCGGGCCTGGCTTAGACCCCCAAAAAGGGGGCATGGACACCTGGATATCTGCAGCTCTGCAATGCTGTGCGTGCGGGCAGGCGTCTGAGGGCTTCATCACCCTCGTGGATGCAGTGAAGTTGAACATGAATGCCTCTCACCCACCAAAATCGGCCTCCAAAAATCCGGAAACGACCTGAACAGCAAGGCAGTCGACGAGCTGCTCCCCCTTGTGCGAGATCTGCAGGCTGATGTGTCATGTTGCCTCAGTCGCATTGCTAACCCGGGGGCAAGAAAGGCTCTGATGAACGCATGACATAAGTAATCGGAGTTGAATGTTTACGAGGGACGAGAGAGCTCTTGTGGGCAGGCGAGCATTGCCTGGTGCCGAGAGTGATGCAGGATGCTGGGGGCAGCTAATGTGCTCACGGCACATTGGGAATGTTTGGCAATCACGGCAAAAAGTCAAAGTGCAGAGTTGACATTTTCCTTGCGCCGAGGTAGGTATTCCCAACCTGCCGCCGCTGGCCGGCATCGAGCGTATCGCCGGGTGGGCAAACTTTGTGTCCTTGCCTGCCTCTGTGATAAGCATTATCAGCTACCTTCCAGCGTTGCCGGGCTTCAAGATGAAGCTTTCCAGTACGCTTTCGGGAGGTGGCTGGTCACCCTCAATGGCATGCGGGCCGGAACCTTGGGGCGTGTATGACTTCGCCTCGCCTGACTCGGGTTGACTCGGGTTGACTCGGGTTGACTCGGGTTGACTCGGGTTGGCTCCTTGAATTGAATTCAACAAGGCCTCGGACCGGTTGACAGAAGAGCAGACCCGCCAGCTCGCAATGGACGTGGAGCAGGCGTCATGGATCATCCTGGCATGCTGCTGGTTATGCTTGAAGCTTTCTTTGGGATTGCAGAGGGGTCAAGTGGCAGGCATATACATCTCTGAAGAATTGGCTGCATGAGAAGACCTGAGCGCCACCTTTGAGACAGCAACAGTTGCTGTTCAGACTTTTGTCTTGCGCGAGCTTCCCATGCAGAGGAGTGAAGTCGGATGCCCTCTCGAATGGCAAAGCATCGTCAGTATTGTCACATTGTCTAGGAATTGCGACACACAGGATTCCCCTGCCTTCCAGCGCTTTGAGGGCGCTGGATGGCCTCAAAGGCTTGTCATGGGCGTGTCTTCTCACTGTTTTTGCGAGAAGCAACTCTCCAACATGGGCAATGCGCAGCCGGTGTGATGCACGTGAGATATCTGTGATCTTATCTTAGATCAGGCTACCCTAGCAGTGCCATGAGCCACAGACTGATTCTGTCTCCGTTGCTCCCAGTTGGCCCAGTTCCAGAGGCTGCAACTCGCAGATTTAGGAAGTCTCTCCCTGAGATCATGTGTTGAACCGCATGGACGCAGACATTCTGCGGATTCTGCGTCACCAGTGTACATTCTCGTAGCACTCTACACTTCAGGTCCAGTACAGGGGCTGGAGTCGGCTAGCTTAAAAAACCAACCGTGGTGACTCGCATCTCACTGTTGAACAAGTTAGGGTGGATGTCTGGTGCGTGTGGCCGCTATGCCCGCTGCTCCATCGGGCTCAAACTGATACACAGTTTCACATCACTCGATATAACTTGATAAGCGAAGCATAGCGAGGCCTCTTTTCGGGTGCCAGACTCACAAAGGTCTCAGGAAAGTTCTACAACAGACAGGCCACCTCTCGAAGTCGAGTGGGGCCCCTTTGACAGAGACGTCCATGTTCTGACGCAGCAAAGCTGCTGGTCTCCTCCGAATCTCCGCGCCTGGCGCCCAGCCCGACGTATCGAAGCTGAGTGGCTGGTTTTAGAGCACTGAGTGACTTAGTGGCTTAGTGAGAGACGGTGAATGGAGGGGGCATGGCTTCTTGATGTGGCATGATCAAGGTGGCACCTCGAAGAGGACGTGTTGCCAATGCCGGGAAGGAGCCAAGCGCTACGTCACCCCATGTTGCGATCACCTGCCATTACCTGCCATCACCGTGTTTCCAACCGCAACTCTACAGGGAGCTGTGGATGTTGCGGGAACTGCGTCAGATAGACTTGGTTTTGATGTCACAACGAGCAGAAATCGCCAGGAGAACGTCTAGGCAAGGAGGGTTCCACATCCCTGGTGCTAGAGCGAGTAATCTTGTGTGCCGAGAGCAGTGAGCCATATGTCAGTAGATGACAAGAAGACTAAAACGATCGGCTGCGCATAGATGTTTCATGGAGCATGTGGGTCTGACAGTGTCGCGGTTTCCTATGCTGGACAAACTTGTCTGCCAGCAAGTCTTCAACACTTGAAAGCCCCTACGCCTTGCAACAGGCAAGGCTCTTCCCTGTCAATGGGAGCAGCCGAGACGGACAAAACCGACAAAACTGTTGACGAGGCAGAAGAGTGGGAGGCTCGGGGCCATGAGATGCATTGAGCTGAGACTAGCCATGAGATGCACTGAGAAGCAGAGACCTCAGCAGCTCAGTAGTGGGTTTCATCCTTGGCATCGAGCCCTCGCACGTTGATGCGGTGCGCAGACGATGAGCCAGCTCAATTCCCGCCTTTCGGAGCAGAAGGTCGAGCTGAAGGAGCGACAGCGCAAGGACTGAACATGTCCAACACTAAAACGTACTGGGACAGCAGCTTTCTTGCAACGTGCTTGGCTTGCCAGATGGCAGGAAGATGCCGCAAAACTGCTGCTGGCGAAAAACAAGCTGGCAGCGAGTCAAGTTCAAGGCCCCTCATCCTGCCCTTTGATGCCTTTGATGCCTTTGATGCCTCTGATGCCTTTCATGCCTTTGATGCCTCTGATGCGATGCCTTTGATGATGCCTCCGATGCCTTTGATGCCTCTGCCTAGTGGTGCTGACCTTTGCCGCGCCCCCCCCCCCCTGTGTGGGCTCTCCATCTTTTCGACGGTGCCTTCCGGAAGCCTTTGGCTCCCGAACCCCGGCTCTGCTGTAGCCGGGACCGCATGGCGAGGTTCTTAGACCGAAGCGGTCCCTGTTCGGAGGTCACAGGGGGCCGACGTTTAGCGGGTATGGGCGCAAACACCTTGATGACCTGCCGAGTGAGTGCATGAGATGTCGAGACACGCGCAGAGGGGCTCAGACTGCCAGGCGGTGTTGGTCACGCCAATGACACCGTGGTTCTAATGAGATGCTAGCCATTCCAGTCCCATTTCAGCTGGGGAATTCGGCGGATACCTCTGATACCTCTGAATCGTGGGAGCTTGGATAGACCGCGATCATCCCTTATATTGCCAGATTTTGCATGATTCAGACGGCGGCTCAGGACTTTGGATGCATTGCACACCTGCACAGCCATGGAGCAACGGCGAAGCTGTTTGGACTGCGTCGATGCATTCCATGCTCCCGTGCTTCCCGGGATTTAGTTCCTGCATGGGGTACAAGAAATTGCAGCTCAGGTACAGCGATGATCAGTCAGGTAGTTGGACATAGTTGTGTTGCATGCGTGTCTGTATGTTTCTGCGAGAACTAGTGGACCAGTATCAGAATCGATGCGAACTGCATGTCTGAACATTACATGATGTAGTAGAGATTTGCCATAATAATCCATAATATCATATACAACGTGGATCACCGGCCGTGTGCCGTGCAACCTGAGTCTTCAGCAGCGAAGCAGCTCGCATACTGCATATGCTGTGAAGGATGCCTGGCAAAATTCTGCGAGTCACCTGCGCAGGTCGCAAGGAGCCCCCGAAAGTGTTCCGTCGGCCGTGCGCCGCACCGCAGGAGGCCGCGGTAAGACGAAGGATTGGTCGAAGGAATCGGAGTTAGCAGGGAAACATCTGGCCGCTGTCAGTTGGGAGAGTTCCGCCGTCTTCCGGTGCAGCTGGTCTCTCAGCCAGGGAATTCGAGTGCCGACGTGCTGCAACTGATTCAGTAGTAGGAACCGCAACATACGGCAACTAGCTCACAGCAGGCGCAGTTTAACAGTTTGAGCTGTGTTACAAATACCACTTTGTCGTTGCAAGGTATTTGGAGGCCAAGGAGGTTGCCATGATGGATCGACCTGATCGTTGCAAGTGGTGAGACCTCCCTCAGAATGAACTTGAGCTTGGTTTCGGATCGTCGCTAAGGAACAAAACAGATTAAAATCACACAGCCTACGGCTCAGATCAGGGGATCAAATCAGCGGAGCGTCGGCTACGATCAGCGTCTTCAGGAGTAAGGGATGTTTAGGTCTTTTGTGGCTCTCGGGCTTTGGACGATGCTGTTTGCACCTAGCCACGCCACGCCAGTCACCTCGCCTAGCAGACTTCAGCCAAGAACCCAGACGTGCTGTTCCACTAGAATACGAGAATGAACTTGGCTTCCCCTGATGTCCCCTGCATGGCATGCTTGTTAGGCCATGAGCTTGGTGCACCTGCACAGGTACAGCTCAGAGGAGCATCCCGCCTTCATGATTGGTGGCAAAGTGCCCTCTGACTCTGGGAAGATCTGGGACGTGTTCTTGAGCAACACAATACTTGCCACGTTTTAGCTCTTTTGACACTCAAAAGATCTGAAGGGCACTTACCCTCTTTTCGCGTTGATCGGATCTCTTGCACACACAGCACGAAGCCCTGAAGCCACTGCCCAGAACCGTCACGCATCACAAAGGGGCCTGACATTGACAGTCCTGGAACCTGCGAAGTCTGAGCATCGCAGTTTGCCCCAGGGTACGACCATACCACCCTCTGCCCAAGTGGCAAGTCATGGGCCACTTGAGCCATGGCCGCTGCTGCGAAGCCCTTCGTGGACCACTACGTGGCTCCGCACGAATGTGTTGCGTCAATTTTGGAGCTGTGGCATTGCACCATATTGCACCTCTGAGAAAGTTCCCCAAAAGGCTGTGTTGGGCTGTTCTCCCGACAGCTCCCTAGACCAGCTGAAGAAGGCCCCCTGGCTTTTCTCAGCTGTTTTGGCTTCACGCCCCTTTTCCCATGTTTTCCCATGTTTTCACATGTTTTCACATGTTTTCACATGTTTCACTCGCTAGGCATATCACGAGAAGCTTCGAGAGCCAGCTCCTCAAGTGTTTCGGAAGAGTGTGAATTGCACAGCAGTGCACCAAATCATTCACAGAGGTTCCACCCAGACAAGCGTCCCTGGAGTTCTGGTGGCTACGGCCAGAACGTCCTGCTGCCATGACTTAGGGCTGGCTTTGGGTTTGTCCCGTCGGGGCTTCTGCTGTTGCATGAACTTACCTTCATCTTTTCGCCTCAACATTCAGCGAAGGACAGAACAGGAAGAGCTAGATGAGGGCTAGCCTAGGTGGAGCATGTGGTCGCCGTAGCAGGTGACGCAGTCTCTGAATGAGGCAGGCTCCAGAACAAGTGTGGGTTTTGCAATGTTTTGCTGCTGCTTTGCCCGACTGCAACGAACCGACCACGAGCCTCTGAGTGGTCGCATTTGGTCAGGCCTGGGAGGCCTTGCGTTTCCCAGCTCTCCGGGAGGCGAAGAGCACCTGATGACGTGATGATCCTCTCGTCTATGAAGCAATATGCTCGTCTGGGTAGCGTTGGGAGTGTCAGCGGCTTTGGACGGCGCTACTTTGCAGGCATACGACGTCATTTGGCGCCGAGAGAAGAATCTTCGCTGCCTTTCAAGCTGAAGCTCGATCTTTTAATCTTTTCATCCAGGGCGGCTGCTCAACCTGCAGCCTGTGGAACCAAGGGCACCACCTGAACCCCCTCCACGAAGGGACCGCAGCAGCAGCAGGCACACGAGCTCTCATGACCTTCTTCATGCCTTCCACGCTTCGTCCCAGAACTGTCCTGGCCCTGCGCAAGCATCGGCTTGGGTCAGGAGAAGACCGGATCCCGAGAGGGAGGAGAGGGAGAGGCCTGTGAAACAGGATGGACAGGAGAAGGATGAGGAGGAGCCTCGGACAGCACAAATCGAAGCACAAATCGAAGCAAATATTTGGGCCCTTCTTACTGTCCTCGCAGCAGGAATCCAGGGCCCGCGCCGAAGCCAAGCTACAGGCAGAAGCCCTTCGAAGTGAGGGCAACGAGCTCTACCGCGAGGCCGACATCCGAGTTTGAGTGTCGCCCGGTAGGACCACTGGCCGCTGTCGAGGCACAGGCCATGCTCCGCGAAGCGGGTGATGATGCCGGGCTCTCGTGGATGTGGCTGCCGAAGCCGACGTCCCTCTTGCTTTGCTAGATTGTCCAAGACCACCATCGGCCATTATACTCATAGTCATACACACTCGTACTGTAGCATCATGCATCAAAAATCATCATACATCATCCCAGGCTGATAGCCTGCCCGACCGCATGGCTGCCATGCAGAAGTCTTGGCCTTATGGCCTGGGATAGGCAACAGCGCACAGAAGACTCAGAAGACTCACGAGGGAAGCGAAAGGCAGCGTCTGAGGTTTCGCATCGCCATCAAGAAGTACAGCGACGCCATCAAGCAATCCACCTAGCCGCATTTGCAGGATGTTGCAAGCACCGGAAGTTTCTCGGTCCCATCTCTCCGCTCAGTGCAGGTTGACACCGAGCAACTACCGCCTCTGGAGCAATCGAGCCTTGTGCCCGGCTCAGAGGCTCAGAGCCGAGCAGGGCGTGATGCGCTACACAAAGTGGGGAAACTTCGTAGAGCAAAAAAAGCCCCCTCTTTTGGGTTGGAGCCTCAGTTGGGACTTCTTCAATGCGACTCCTTGTCAACAACACACTCACGGCCCACCCCATGCAACTTGAGGTGCCACTCAGCACTCAAGGATTGGGACCTCTGCCGGGAGGAGAGCTGGACAGTAGAGTAGTAGTTGAAGCAGTAGGCTGCCTTGTCATTTTTTGCTAGAGTTGCGATTGTGAGTCGTCTCTTCCAGAGCCACCAAGCTCAATGCTCTCCTTTACCTCTCCCACGGCTTCCATGTGAGCGAAAGCCTGCAACTTGCCGGCATCTGAGTGGCAAACCGTACATCGCTGGCAACCTAAGCCTTTGAAGCGTCTCAGCGGCGCAATGAGCGCGACGAAGCGCACCACCTAGGCCCTTTCTAGCCATATGGACCAGTTCCAGGAGTCGAAAGCTGTCGCTTTGTAGCTTTGTCTAGTTTCGACATAGCTTAACTTAAGTTTAACTTGTCTTGAGGGTTCCCTGTTTGTGTGTATCTACTCCTTGGGGCAGGAACGGCTCGCGGCGCTTCGCCGTCTGGCACTCCCATCACGGCTGCCCGAGGAGGTGCGCCGCCGCGGCCTCCACAGCGCCAAGGCACAGGGCGCAGAGTAGGGAAAGGTAGGCAAAGACTCTTCCTCTTCCTCGGCTAAGGCGGCCACGTGCCGCAAGAGCTATGCCTGCCTTTTTGTTCTGTTGGCATCCGCACTGGTGAGGTGCGTGAAGTGCTCAGTGCCCTGGCCGCATGGGATGTATGGATAGACATTGACAACAGTAAATTCCCCAACCATCTCCATCCCCACACCGAAATGGCGGAATGGCCACGATGCGAGCCCCCTGCATATCTGGGTCGGTCAACAGCTAGGTGGACTGGAACGGAAAAAGTTGGGGGGGGGGGGGGGGTGGTAAGTCCTGCGAAGCCCAGGTGCACTGCCAGGCCTGCGCGCTGAGGTCGCCAAGTTCTCTGTTCGCAGTGGCCCGCGGAGAGGCGCACGTCATTCAAGTGCGGCTTAGGGCCTTGTAGGGCTAGGAAGTTTGGGGTGTATACAGTCGGACAGACCACTCAGATCGCCCAGCATCCGATGGGGTGGACAGAAGCCCGCCTGACACGAAGCGGCGCCGCGGGTTTTCGCTGGCGTGTGACCCGCTGTAAAGGCAGCGACGGAAGGTCACACGGTGTGTCGCCAGGCACTTCACACGACCAAAAGAACCGCCCAAGAGAAGCATGCCCACGCCGGATCTGAACTCGATGGACCTGACGCGAGCAAGACCACAAACTTGTGGCGAGATTGAAAAGACTTCAAGTTGGCATTTGGGAAGAGCAGGCTGCAGGAGGATCATATGACAACGGATGCGGGGGAGTGGGGGGGTGGCTCGGCAGATTGGTTCACTGCCACTGGGCAGACAAGGGTTTTGCAAGTGATGCGCATGCCCACTCGATGGAGCGTGCAATGTGGATGTTCAGAACATGGTGTGACACAAGACATCCATGCCCTGACTGACCTTTGGACCAGCCAGCTGTTCAACCATGTTCAACCTTCACCGTGCCTCTGGCACATGTGGCCAGTAGAAGTCGTGGACAATTGCTGCTTGCCGACTTGGTGTTTAGGCAGGTACGACTTTGGCACGTGTTGGCACTCGCTAGAGTTCCAGATCTGCACAGATTCTGCTTCAACATGGACCGGGGGGAGGGACCAGCAAATGACTTTCAAGGCGCGTTGCGCGAAGTCGCGAGATACTTTTAATCGCCCGCAAGCTTCACTGTATAAGGGACCGGCCCCCCCCCCAACAAGAAAAAAAACAAAAGAGGGGCTGACATTTCACCTTTTACCTACGGCTCGTGTAGCACGTGCCCCAAGTAGAAGCTCCGCGCGAAGGTTTTGTGGGCCGCCTTCTGGATCCAAAGCTTCCTACACCACGGCGCCTGGCATGGAAAGGGCTTTTGTACGTCTGCCTTGGCTTTCTTCGATGGGTTGAAGTCTTCTTGAAGTCTTCTTGAAGTCTTCTTGAAGTCTTCTTGAAGTCTTGAAGTGCTGTATGGAAGTGCATGGATTGGTGCAAATATGTGCGGCAGGTGCGTAGTGGTCTACTGCCCCAGCGAGCAGGAGGGTGGTGCTGGGGCAGAGGAGTGCTTGGATCTTTGCTCCTTGCCTTGAAATCACGTAGACGGTCCAGCCTGCAGAGATGTCGGACATAGTCGAGTGTTGCCGAACACGGCTCACTCCAGTGTTCTTGCGCACGAGTCAGAGAGCTGTGCCTTAAGGTGCGGAGTTGCTTCCCCTGGGCATCGCCATCTTTGCCATCGATGTTAGCCCAAGTGGGACGAGTCACTGCCTGGCGAAGGACGTGGCAGCTGCAGTCGAGATGCTCCGGCACGGCCACAACGCCATCCCACCCTATCCCTACATCGCTCTCTGGGGTCGGTCTGCCGGTGCCGCAGCTGCCTTGGAGGCGGCGGCCAAAAACCCGACGCTGGCCGCGCTTGTTTGCGACAGCGCCTATTCGGATGCGGCGTCCCTGCTGGAAGTGCCGGGAGTGCTGTCAGGTCCCCTGTCAGGCCTCTGCCAGCTCGCCTCGGAGAGCGGGCTGCTGGGTCCTAGAGTTGACTCGAGTGCCACTACTTCCACTGCCCCTGTGGACCACGCCAAAGCCTGTTTTGTGCCTGGGCTTTTTTTGCATCCAGCGGAGGATGAGCTTCTGTCTACCGAGCATGCCAGGAACCTGCGACAGGCTTATGGTGGGGAGGCTCAGCTCCTCACCATGAGTGGCACTAGCCATGACTCTGCCCGACCGAATGAAACGATCTCACGAGCGGCTCTCTTCTTATCCCGGGCCTTCGGGCTGGAAAACGATTCCGTCTCTCGTTTGGCTCTGTATTTGTCGAAGCTCCACCCCGATGCTGCAAAGGATCAAATCGACCAGGAAGCTGCTAAGCTCCTGGTGGCTCAAGAGGTGCAGAAGCGCCGTTGGGGCCTCCTGATGAAGGCTGTGAACCACTGCCCCGCTTACCACGGTGCCGCATTCAAGCGAGTGATCGCCCGTGGCCTCAGGCCTGAGACACGTGGCCCTGAATACGTGAAGTTTGCCATTCTGGTGACGCTGCCCAACCCCGGCAGCGAAGTTTGCATCGCTTGGGCAGCCGAGATGTCCGAGGAGAGTGGTGAGCAGCGAAGACTTGGCACCGTCCACTTTGCCAACATCTCCTGCTCCTGCCTGAGTTTGACACGGGCTATTGTCCAAGAGGACGACACAGGGCACACGGTCCAGTTGGAAGACTTGGCTGTCCAGGCAGGCTGCAGAATGCTTCGCAACATGTCCCACGATTTGACTTTAGAGGGCCCTGTGGACTTCTGCAGCTTCGCGAGGAATCGAGTCTACTCCCACGGGAGAAGCCGTACACCATGCTGCTGGCATTGGCTGCCCCCTGGCAGTGACGTTCTGTAAGTTAGACATTCAGTCTCTTTCTGCTTTTGTTGTTCTCCTCAAACTTAAGACGTAAAAATCATGTCCATGGGTGTCAGTGTCGTCCCAAAGGACACTGGCCGCGTGGAGATGAAACTCGGCCCGTGCAGCGTGCAGTGGGGCCGCCAAAGCCAGGAGCCACAGAGCTACTCGGGCTCTGGGAGGGTTATTGACTTGAATTATATAGGCAATCCAGAGTCCCCCTGAATTACACAAGGGCCCCCCAAAATTACCCACAGTCTCTCAATCCCCCGTCAGGACACAGGCTTCATCCGCAGCTTGGCTCTGTGGTCTGCCAGCTTCAGCCATTCCGGGCTGGTGGAGTTCAAGGCCGCTGCGGGGCAAAGTGCGGGGCAGAGGCCATAGCAGAGGTACTGGCAGCCTTGCTAGCCTTACTCTTCTCCTTGCTCTGATTATAAAGTCTTGAAGTGGCTCTCGAGGACGAGCTGCTACTGCAGCAGCCTGCTGCCGCAGAGAGCCGAAGTACCTAAGTCGCAGCTGGCCAGATTTTCGCTGACTCAATCGAAGATTCACCTCTTCCCACACCGCACGGGGAAGCAATTTCTTCCAAGGTTGCAAGGAGAGGGGACTGGAGAGGCGACCGCCTGTGCACCACTTCATTGGCACCGTCGCGCAAGCAGAGGGGGAAGGCGAAAAGGTGTCCAAGGCCTGTTGTCGTGTGCTCTTTTTCTCGCACTTTTGCACTCGTGACCTTTGTTCCTGCCGGTACGTAAAGGCCAGTCACCTCGCCGGGGATCAGCGGCACTCAGAGCCGCAGATATTCCAAGCCGTAACCCTAAGGCCTATGGCCCTGGAACGAACCTCATTCAAATTGAGTCTAGCTGAGTGGGGGGCGAGAGCGAGTCCTGAACCCGAAGCCCTCCAATCTACGAAGTTATTCTCCCAATTCCGGATTTCCACATTCGGGTGGTGGGGTGGGCGAGGGAGGTTATGCTAGGGCGAAGGGATTCATATGGCAGTTTCATGAGCAAAAGAGAGAGGCATCGCTGTTGGACGGCCTGGACAGCCTGCCCGCCTCAGCAGCAGAGCTTGCTTGGCAGCTTTGCTGCATTTATCTGCATTTTGCCAATGTAGGAATCAGGACGCAGCCAGGAGCAGTGAACTGTTGCAGGAGAGCACGGTGCTTAGTGATTGATGGTCCACATACATGATCACACGCATATGTTGGAGAGAAACACATTTGAATCGATTCCTTGACGAACCCGCACGTGCTGTCATGTGAAGCTTGGTTTGCCTCCTTTGCCACTTAAGCGAAACGAACCAGGCATTTGCACAACAAGCAGGAAAAGTCCCCGCAGAAGGCCCCGACTGCACTTGCATTTTGTCGGCTTTCGGATTTCGGGTGACAATAATGGTCCAGGACTGCTGGTATGAGCAGCATTGTTGATGATACTCAACTGCAGTAGCTCGTGTGCCAGACAAAAGGGGTACAATTCCCTCCTGGCTACTATGCGGATTGATGACGAGGCAGGCGCAAGGCCTCCCGAGTTGGAGCTTCCTGGCACACTTCCGGACGAGGCACCGGGAAACGTTTAAAAGGTTCGGGGGAGCATGGAAGAGTGTGGTGAGGCTTTCAGCTTATTCCAAGCCATCCAGGACTAACACTGACACGTGAAGAGGCGTGATCCATGTCCACCGAAATGCGAGTGAATGCATCTCCATGTGTGGAGTGTGTGTCGATGGCCAGGGCTCCTCCCTTAATTCAAGAACTCAGAGTACACCGTCATGGGAGGAGCGCACGGCTGTGCAATCATTGGGGAGACAGTGCCGCCGGCGCAAGTCCAGCAGCGTGGCAGCAGCTGGAAGCCCTTCATTTCTTCTAGCAAAGGGTAGGCAAGAGAGGCCACAAGGGAAACAGGGGCGCCCTGTTGAATGTCAGAGTTCCAGGTGAGATGTCGGTGCAGAGCGAGCTGTCTGCAGGCGAGGTAAGCGGGTCTGGAGTCTTAGGGCTGTTCTTCGTGGAGTGATGGTTCACTTAGCTTCAACTCTACGGCCCTACGGTTCGTGGCGTGTCCTGTTTCCCTGCATCTGAGATAGATGGCGAGGCACTTTCCTCTCCAAAGCCGCAGACAGCTTGGCACTGTCCCTTTCGACAGTCCACAGCGGAGAAGGTGATGGTAGCCTCGAGGTGACCTTGTGTTGAACTGCAGGACCTGACACGGACTTAAGACCCGATCTGTTGGAAGGAGCATGGTGATGCCGATGTGCTTCCTTCTTCGGCATCCTTCCATCCCCCTGCCCGCGGTGCTGAGGAGGCTGGAAGTTTCACAGCGGAGCCCGTGTGCGGCGGGGGTGGGGGGGAGCCTTTCTTCTTGCGCAGGAAGCAAGTGACAGCGAAGGCTCCGGCTTGGGCTTAGCACGGAGCCAGACCTGGCCTGATCTCCAGGCCCGGGTAGGGACGTGGGGCTGTTTAGGCTCCAGCACAACGGGACATGGGCTGCGGCTTGTTCACCAGGAGCTACCCACTTGTCAAGATAGAGGCTGTGACTGCACGCCCGTTTTCGAACTTTTCGCATACTGCGGCAGACGCTCGCACCCTTGCCTAGACATGCCTTGACCTTCCCTGTCTTGCAGCACCTAAGCAATGACTGACTGATGCCCTCGAAAACCAGAGCTTCCGGCTAAGTGATTCAAGATGCCGCAGTAAGGCAGAGAGCATTGCAGAGTACTGTATGTGGCTTGATGCGACAGGCGCCATCCCTGTATGAATCTGCACAAGGCCCGCTGGCGCATGGAGCGGGCATGAAGAAAGTGTTGGGCACGTGCTGGGAATCGCTTGTAACACACAATCTGTTTCGTGCAGGGCGCCGCCATACCTGGAGCGCCTGCATCGCAGAGCTGCCACTCGCATGGCAGTATCACTAGGATAGGTGGCCCAGAGTGGCTTCAATTGCAACGAATTAAGTTTCACGTAAGGCCGAGCCTTCAACAACTAACTCAATTGCACAAGGTTTCCCGAGCTCCCGAGCGGAAGTCTCTCAAACTTTCAGCGGCGGGCAAGTACCCAAGCCGGACGACGCTTAGGAAACCGGTCAGATAAATCTACCTCGAAGCCACCAGCATGGTTCCGAGCATTCATGGAGTGCACGCAGCAGGGAATGCGCAGCTGTATACACGAAAGCCAGCTGGAGGCATTGCATGCGTTTTCCCTATGCTACCACCATCCAATGAGACGTGTCTCAACTTGCACGGGGGTCAGCCGACCCGAAGGTGTTTGGATGGTTTCTCCGGAAGCTAGAGGACTCAGAGGACCTGACTCAGTGTAGGAAAGAGCACGCCAAGCGTCCTCTTAGACTCAACCCATACCGGGCAGGGAGAGGAACAAAAAAGGAGCTTGAGGGACTCTCCAGACCCTTGTGCAGATGGCACCATGATGACTGCTTCCAGGATGGCCTGCGTGCCACGCAGCTAAAGTCTGACTTTGCGAAAGGCTGGGTCCTGGTGGCCAAGGCAGAGACGCCGAGATGTTTGGAATGTGTCAGATACTCCAGGATTGCAAGCCGAGTGTGGGAGGCCATGTGGAAGGAGGGCTCCCGTGCCGCGGCACTGAAGCAGATCGAGGCGCCCTTGCATGCCCTCGCTCTTTCTCCAAACGGGGCCCGGATCCACATTGTTGGCGAAAAGGTTGCCTTGCGATTGGTCAGCCAGCCTGACGATCTCCTCATGCTCCGGGCGCGGTGCCCACTCCGAACTTGACGCGGTTGACACGCTCTGAAATCTCTGAAGACCCGCGGCGTAAGGAAACCATCCTCACAGAAGTGGAGAGCACTTCCAGGTCCAGTTCCAAAGCATCAGGCTGGCGACGATCGTTGCGATGTACTGCAGCATGCTGCGATACTGAGTGAATCTCGGTCACGTGTCCGGTGCCCGGCTCGCTTCCATAAAGGCTCAGCGGTGTGAACTGCGTTTGGACGGTTCTGTTCCGGGCTCTTGAACCATCGTGGCATAGTTGGAAACAGATCCACAAGTCGCATTGAACCTGGCCCTTAAATGCGGATCGGGCCAGAAGGCAAGCCAGAGCAGGTATCTGCTTGGTGTATATATATATATACAAATATATATATATATATATATGTATACATTCCAGGCTCCGCAGGCCAGAAAGAATTTCCAGCATCCCGAACCGCAAGCAAGCCACAGAAAAGTATTTATGTGAAGCCAATATTGGGCTCTCCAGGCCAAAAGCAAGCCACGAATGCCAAAGAGTTCATAGAAGTACATATTTCCAGCGGCCTCATGCAACGCTGGATAAAGGAAGGTACCTGTTGTGTTTCAAAGCAATCCAAAGAAGGTGACCTACCTGAGAGTATTGAGTTGCCCGATCTGAAGTAAAGCTTTTTCCACAAGCTTCGAGAATGCAGGCTTCGCTTTACCTCGAGTCTCCCGCAGCGTGTCACCTTGCGCGACACCGATGCCGGGAAGCCGTGTGGCTACGCCACCTCCGATTCGGAGCGATTGGTTTGTGGATGTTTGTGGCGTAGGCTTTGAGGTCTTTCTCTACAAGCATCATCAAAGGCGCACTGACAGGACTTGGTTCTTGCAAGCTTCCCACTGGTGAGGACACCATCGCGGTCCCCAGGTCCCCAGGGACGCGAGCCACGCGGGCGCTCTCAGAACCGATCAAGGACCAGCCGAATCATGTGGCACATTGCCTGGCAGAGAGAGCTTCTTGACAGCGATTCATCCTTACAAGCGGATCGACTTGCATGGGCGGAGCTGAGAGGAAGAATTCATCAAGCCGTCCGGCAACACCGACGAAGCTGCCGGCAATGCCCGCGCATGTGGCAGGGGGCCTTGGCAAAACACAAGAGTTGGCATCAGCTGCACTGATCACAGCACTGCTATTGAGCTCGAAGAAAGCACTCTGCAGCCTTCGCATGCTTATGCATAACACTTGGGCTTCTTCGACCCAAGCCTCTTACTGCATTGTCCGCAGGCTCGTGCCTTCGCGGCCTTGGGTGGAGAGGAGGCGCGCAGATGTTTAATGTAAAGCTAGATTGACACATCGCATGTGGCTTCTTTGGAACCTTGAGCTTGCAGGGCTGTGAAAGAAGCAGCTGGTGCAGCGTTCTTCAGTGCCCGGAAGGACTAGCAGAAGACTCGTGGACAAGAAATGCTGGCGGCGAAGGTGCCGTCGACGTATTTGTCTCAATTTATTTTGAGTCGGCGACGCTGCCCTGGGCGAAGGTCCTCATCATGCGGGCAAGCGGCACGGGAAGGTCCAGATGAACCACAAGCGGTCCGGCGAGGGCACGAACGGCTTGAAAAAGGAGATGCATGCTCTTGGGAATCAAAAGCCGCAGAAGCATGTAGAATACAGTGTAGCAGCCACATGTTAGCAACCACCAGGTACCGCGGACGTTTGACGATCCCTTGATGGTTAAGTGGGCCAAGCAGAGGGCCCGCCTTGCCTGGCTATTGGATTCAACCGAAATGGCGAACTGCCCGAATGCCAGGATCCGAGCACGAACGTCAACGTGAGACAGCTTCTTGATGGCAAGAGTTTTTGTTGTGATGCGTTTGCTTGATGGCGGCACCCATTGAACCTACTAAGCCGCAAGAGCAGAGCGCAGAGACGGTTCCATGTTCCACGGCCCCGCAGGTTTTTGGGGCTGAAGCATCCGCCCAAAGAGCCGTCGAAGACAGTCGCCAAGCTCAGAACATCTCGTTCTTTTCCACGATGTATGCATGAAGACCACACCATCTGGGTCTTGCCCGAACCCTCTGCAGAGTAAACGCAAGGCGCATCTCGTCCGTACCAGCAAGTGAGCCTGTGTGCAGATAGTCATTTACATGCAAGAGCGTCTGCACTCCAGCATGTCCTTTTCAGCAGCATACAGTTTTTTGAACTACGGCTTGCGCCCACTGACCTGCAAAGCATCCGTGAGGAAGCGCATGTAAGCTTGCATTTGCCGGGCTTGGCGTGTGAATTGAGCACTATGCTTCCATGGCTTCGAGCAGCTTTCAGCAGCTGTTTCTACGACCGAGGCACCGAAATGCTGAAACGACCCCATGGTTCTAATGGTCTTCCGGATTCAGAAAAATCTGTTGATAGGGTGCTTAACTCTCACTTCAGGACGAGATGCACCTTGAAGCTGGGAGTCAACTGCTCGGGAGTCAATGCTACCTGCACGTTCCCGGCATGGGGCGTTCAACCCCAATTGTCCTAAGCGGTCACGCGGTGCGTCTTCCAGGTTAGCGGGACAATACAGGCAGCGCTTTTGCTTAGAAAATAGCTTTTCCAGACGTACGTGTTGTTGCAAACGCTGCGCGCCCCAACGCCATGAGAAAGTCATTTTAACAAAAAAACAACACGGCTTTTCGATGCAAGTGGTTTTTCTCGAAGAGTGGCTTTTCGGGAAAAATTGCTTTTCAGGAAAAGTAGCTTCTCGAGAACATGCAACACATCTGCACTAAGTGACACGGCGCCAACCACTACAGCAACCAACAGAACATCTCATTTGAGGGATCTTAGTGGGTTTAGGGTTGATGGCTCAGGACCTAGGGGTTCAATAGTTTATCTTGCAACTCTACCTTCAAGGGTTCTTAGAGTTGAGATGTCAGAAGGTTCCAGATCTAACCTCCCACATGGTAGGTGAGCACGTGAAAGAAGTACGAAGGGTGAACCTGGCGTGCAGAAGCCCCAAACCCTCTAAACTTTAAACCCAAACACTGAACCCTAAACCAAACCCTAAACCCAAATGCCAGAGAGCCCCACAAGGAAGTGCTGCGCATGGCTATCGTGCAGCGATTTCTTGGCTACGCAAACCAAATCCACAAGCAACGCAAAGAGACGCAACACTTCTAGCAGACACTGCCTTTTCCAGCTTTCAATAAGACTACCTTCTCAAGCAACTTACACAAACCAGTAAGAAGAATATATTCGCAAAACAAGTCATGGCTTTTCACGAAGAAGGTATCACAGAAGGTAGCTTTTCAAAAAGCCCTGTTTTCTTTGCAGATCATAGCGGCGTGACAAAGATCAACTTTCGCGAAACCCGTCTTTTCGGGAAACAAAAGCAATGTCAGCACGAGTGGCTTTCAGAGGTTTTGGCAAAAAAGGAGAAGGCGGCTTTACTACAAAGGTGACTTTTCAAGAAAAGTGGCTTCTCGAAAACAATGCGCACACAGTGCCACGAGAAAAGTCACTTTTCGAAAAAAGTTCCTTTCGAGAAAAGTGGCTTTTCGAGAAAAGTGATTTTTCCGGGACGCCGAGCGGGCCACGCCTCGAGAAAAGTCACTTTTCGAGAAAGTGTTTTTTCGAGAAAATTGTTTTTTGAGAGAAGTGGCTTTTCTGGAGCATCTCCCCGTAACGTCAAAGACACCCCACGCGCCAGCACAGTGATTGTCAGGGCCACGCGCGCTGCATCTTCAGTGCGCCTGGACTGGAAGAGGGCGAACGATGGAGGTCGATGTTAATTTGTATATGTCGTATATGTTCATCCTACTGGGAGAATATGTTTTTTATACGATATTCTGTTGTGCTCTACTATATTCGTCATGAATCACTTTTGCATGTCGAAACATGCAAGGCGAGGCCATTTGAGACTCGTGCACTCTTCGCTGCTGCTGCGGGGCGGCGCACGGACGCCTCTTCTGCCGTTGGAGCTGGGGACCTTGTGCAAGATCCGAAGATTTTGTGCACGTATATAACTAGATCTGTATATATATATATACATATACACATGTATTGCATATATGTAATTATATATGAAAAGAGAAGTTGCGAGACATGTTCGGTTACTGGTATACTCTGTTCAACATCATATTCTATCGTATGAAATAAGAGAATTGTGTAGTTTGGGCCTCCGCCCAGAACGCATGGGCCGGCGCACTGCAGCCTGTAGAGACAAGAAAGATAGGAAAAAGACGGAAAAAGCAATGTAAAACAGCAATGGACAGCGCCAAATTTGCCAGCAAGCCAAGGCCGGAGAGCTTCTGGCGCTCGACTCTGCCCTCTCAGTCGCTGCTGCGCCGATTGACGCGGGGAGAGGTGCAGCAGGAAGGCTCCCGCCCCAGTTTGTAAGCAGCCCTCACACACATCACAGCGTCTTTGATCACGTCAGGACCACGCCGACTGCGACGAGAGTCCGAGGAGGCTGCTTCTGCGTGCAGTGCGGTGGCATGCTGGTCGATTTGGGCGCAGCAGGCGGCTGTAGCATACAAACACATGCAGGCACTTAAGCGTTGACCCTGAGGATGTCTGGGGCCAGCTGACTACCAGAGGAGCAGATGAGGCTTGGGAGGGGAAAGGCTTCTCAGAGGGTTTGCACCTTCCACATTGCTTCCACCAGTATCAGTAACCAGGAAGGACGGAAGGCATACCATCGTCAGTGTTCGATATGGTTCGATGCTCTCAGAAGACACGAACTGCCGTCTAGAGGTGACCCAACCCATCCGTAGTTCAACTCTAGAATGACACGTGTCCTGTCGCCAGCTTGTCTAGGCCTTCTCTGTGGGGAGGCGACTGGAGTCTTGGCTTGCCGAGCAGCCTGGATGTATGTTCGGAGCCGACCAGAAAGCCACCTGAGATTTTGTGCAGGTCCTACAGAAGCAGGTGAAAGATTTATCGTTGAAAACAACTCTGTGCCCTCAGGGCAACCCAAGGCAGAACGCTGCAGATGACGCTGACACAGAAGATGACGCTGGGGAGGTCAAACAGGCTGGGGACTGAAACAGAATTCGGCGTGGTAGCATCCGGTAGGCTGTGCAGCTTGACCATCAGGAAGCAGCTATGCTGTACAAGACTGTACAATCACAGGAGCACAGCTGGCTAGCTTCTCCGAATGAAGCCCCTGAGGAGCTGCAGACCACTGTGATCACATCTCCAACGCAGCGTGCCATGCTGACGGCTCGGGCAGTCCCTTGCATTGCACTACATACTTACTTTGCGGTCCTATTCAGCTCTTCGATACGCAGCCGCCTCCATTTCTTGTGAGGTGGTCAGCGCGCTGCTGCCCCGCAGTCAACGAGCAGACGCTGCAAATGTTCGACTACGCCTGGCTACCAGAGCTTTGCGGGTTGTCCTTCGACCAGATCTAGAAACATGTGTCATGGGTTCTGCCACGGGGACCTCGAGTGTTCCACGAGTCTGGCATCCCGAGTCTACAGCTCATCATGGTGCACAGATATTCGAGCTGAGGATGCAGAAGATGCAGAGGCGCTAACAGCGGATCCAGACGACGAGCATGCAAAGCAGGATGCCGGATTCATGGAGGGCGATGGCCACCGGTATCACAAATTACAATAATCATGAGCCAAAAGATACTGACTATTTGTGTGCAAAATTCTAGTACAAACAGTGCCTATTCGTCTATGCATTTGTTTTATTCGCCCGGTAAACTCGCCTGTAGAGTAGATTACAAGAAAGCCCCTATTGTCTTAAGAGTGAAAGGAAAGCCTCATTAAAGGACACCTCCAAGCAATATCTTTTCTAGCGGCTATAAGTGAATCAAATTGCCAATGAAAATCTCACAGGAATTGTATGAAGAGCGTGAATGAGTAAGAAAGCGAGGTGAATATATGAGCACGCGAACGCAATGAGCAACCGAACGAAGTGAAAACTCGTCTTTTCATGAGTCTTAGTGCTGGAGCTGGAACTAGATGCATGAGTCTTCTGTCTTCATCTCCAAGTCTAGGGTGAAAAGGTGGGATAGGAATAAGAGAATACGAATAAGAAAACGAGCGTAGTGAAGTGCACGCAGTGAGTGAGTGAGAGCAGTGAGAGCAAGAATGGGATGATCGCGGTCTAGCTCCTGGAAAAGCCGCATGAATAAATTATAGTATACTGTCATGGGGTTTTCTCTCCACCGCCAGTAAACATTAGAAGTAGGTGCTATTTTGGGGCAAAAATTTTTGCCCCAAGAGAAGACCAAGCGATGGCGTCCGATGGCCTTGAAGGGAAAAGGTGGAGAGTGCGCGTGAGACTAAGCGGCCCAACCCTCTCGAGGATGCCGCGCTGGATCTTGCTGAGCTCTTGGGGCAAGATCCTCAGGCCTTTGAAGGAGCGCGGGGCAATCCGTGAGCACAGGGGCATCAACCATCCATGGTAGGGTTCCTAGCTGCTGACTCTGACTTCAGGGCAAAGTCGGAATTTCTGGTTCTTTCCAGGCATCCGGCGCTTTGTTCGGGCTCAAGGCTCTTGATCAGAGAGCATGGCACATGGAGGCACATCAGGGCAATGTCCGCCTCCCAAGACACCCCAGAAATGGCAAACACATGAACCGACTTGCCCAAAACTGCTGATACCTGACCTAGGCCAATTCGGCATTTCCCCCCCCCCCCCCCCTCACGGGTATCCTGAACCCCACGCTTCTCTGGGCTAATGCCCCAACATGCGGGGTCCGCGGATGGCATCGGCTCTGCCTTTGCCGACTACTTCTCCCTCTGGCCATGGACTCAGCTTCGTGAAGCTGCAGTATGAACAGGGCGCAGAAGCACGAGCCAAGCAAAACAACAAGGAAGCCCAACCAAGCCAGAGGGACAAGGAGAGGGCAGGTTCCCTCTCTGAACCAAGGACGGCGGTCTTGGCAGCCGTGGCACTGTCCAATCCCTGGCTCTTCACGCCCTTTGGCCCCGAAAGTCCGTGAGAGGACAGACAGTGATTAGCATTCTCTCTCTGTCACGTCTCTCTTATTTTGAGATCGCGGGCTTTGTGTTGGTTGGAGTTTGAGAGGCTGGCTTAAGATCATGTCTTCAGAAGCGAGGATGCAACCGTCAGATGCAGGTAGGGAAGATTCGCATAGACTAATTTGATGGGTGCCTCTCAGCAACTGCCCGCAACTACCCCTTAGGCCAACCCCGGACTGGGACTTAGACTGATCCCGCCGTTGAATCTCCACCTTCAGCTTAACTTCATCTGTTCAAAGGTGGGTGAGCCCACCAATCGGGCGAGCACTGTTCCTCGTCCTACGATGTGCAGTTGAATGACATGGAGCTGCTGAGCTTCCTCTTCTAAACTTCTAAACAGCACAATCTGGGGCAGCTGACTCCGCATCTTTCAGGATGGTGAGCCTAGTCTTCCTTATGGGCACCACGGCCCATCCAGAGGACCACAGCTTTAGGCCACTGGGGATAGGACCGCTGAATGCTTGCAACTGCGGTGCCAGGACTTTAAAGCCGGCTTCCTCAAGGTTCGGCCGCTCTCTGTGAACTTCTTTGCCGCCTGGCATTAGATCCACGCACTGCAAACTCGCTCTTCACAGCGTTTGAGAAAAGGACACATTGAGCCAAGGTTTGCTTTGCAGCAGCTTGGCTGCAAGGGATTCGACCTGCCACCAGAGGTGACAGGACGATGCTTCAGGCTGTCGCGCTAACTTCCGCATGACTTCATTGACTTCATGGTTTGAAAAGTATGTTTGCCTTTTGCATGGGGAGGTATTGCATGCTATTGCGTCCTTACTTGCCCAGGTCTTGCCGGCGGTGGCGTTACTCATCAGCCATGCCTGGCACCTCAGAGAACTGCTCCGGGCGGGAAGCAGTTCAGATTTCAGCCAACTCTTTCTGATGAAGTGATTACGCGACGACAGCACGAACAAGCAAGCACGTCCCCAGACAAACTTCCAATTCTAGGTCACATAATAGCAGGGAAGCGCAGCATCAAGCAGTGTCATACAGGAGAAGCAGCAGCAGCAGCAGGAGGAGCAGGAGGAGGAGGAGGAGGAGGAGGAGGAGGAGAAGGAGCAGCAGGAGGAGGAGGAGGAGGAGCAGGAGGAGGAGCAGGAGCAGGAGCAGGAGCAGGAGCAGGAGCAGCAGCAGCAGCAGCAGCAGCAGCAGCAGCAGCAGCAGCAGCAGCAGCAGCAGCAGGAGCAGGAGCAGGAGCAGGAGCAGGAGCAGGAGCAGGAGCACGAGCACGAGCACGAGCAGGAGCAGGAGCAGGAGCAGCAGCAGGTGAGAGTTGGGCACCGCTGGGGTAGAGAGTTCGGATGACGAGGCACTCTCCTGATCTCACATTCCCTCGAATCAAACTCCCATCAGGTCCTGGACCTGGACCAGGCCTGTGTCCCAACCCGGATTTCAAAGTTCCCGTGCAGATCTGTGCAGATCTGTGCAGATCTGTGCAGCTCTGTGCAGATCTGTGCAGATCTGGCTTTGGCGCCTTCAATCACCGCCACAGGACTTCACAGTTGGTATGGTCCTCATGGGTGGCGTGAATGGAGGAGAGCAGTTCTCGGCATGTCAGAGAGTTGGTTTGCGCGAGGCAGCATTGTGCCAGGCTCGGCCTCTAACCTCTTCGCGCTGCTCGCCGGTGGCGATGTGGCGCTGTCTGTGCTGATGACCATCACTACAACACTTGGGGCAGCCGCTTGTTCAACACAGGTGGCAACTGTACTGGCGCGTGCTAAGTAGGTAGCGCGTGAGAACGTGTGCTTCTGGGTCCCGAAGCCATGTCTCCCCCCCACCGCAATGCCGAGCTTCTTCTCACAATTGACAGATATTTAGTCAACGACTTGCAGAGTCTAACGTCTTGAAAGCACTCCTTTGACAAAGGTTCCTGTGACACTCCACGACTCAGACTTTCTCTGAGGTCATCTGCACACCTCTCGTTGCAGAAGTCTACCTGGGGGCCATCGTGCCTGTGGACACGCTCGGCATGTTGCGGCGCCGGTCTGAGATGTGTTGATGTTCGCGGCTGCCGGTATGCTGGCTTACTTCAAGAACTGTGTCAGCAAATAAATAAAGACGACGGCCTGGGCGCCCGCCTGAAGCTCGTCGTGTGTGCACGTGTGTCGATGTGGAAGGTCTGCTGTGGAAATTGTCCTGATTCCCATCATCTGTGGAGTTCTGGTGAGAGCTGCGTTGCCGATGACGGTGTCAAAGCTGGACCCATGGAGGGGCTCGGGTCTTCCATTGCATGGCATGCAGCAGGCAGAAGCGGCAGAGCTTGCCGCGTTGCATGTTCCTTGCGAGAGGCAAGTGCTCAGATTGAGTGCTTGGTAACCGTATGTCTCGGTACGAGCAGAACATGCAAAAACTGCCGTGCATTGGATACGCGTCTCTGCCCAGACATTGAAGGAGCCTCTGGTACCCACTCTGGGCCTTGGATTCGCCCTTGTCCTGATTGGTGGGGTTCTGGCAGGCACTGCCCTGCTCGTGCCGCTTGCTAGTCTGAGTGTCAGGGGTCCTCTGATTCTTCTACCTATTTCTTTTGCCGCCTTTGCGCAGGCAATGCCGAGTCCATCCTGAGCGCGGGCATTTGGCTCCACCTTGCCGCGGTGACATTTCACGCGATTGCCGGTCTTTTAGGCGGCTCATGATGAAAGTGGCCAGGGAAAACTGTGCAGTCAAACATGCTTTGTAGGTTAGCTTGTTTGGTACATGCAGGTGCACTCATGAATGAAAGCCTGCAAAAATAAGACCTTGAAGCATCTTGTGCAGCGCGCAGCTTAAGGTAGGTAGGGGATAAATACCATGCATACCCCATACGTTAGGGCAGGTCAGAACCCCAAAAATCGCAGGGAGCTACTCTGTCCTCTGTGCTTCTTTTGCTGTATTCAACTAGAGTATAGTTGTAGTCGTTGTAGTCCTCGTCGTCGTGGTTGCGAGGCTATTTCCTGGCGGCGCTGTCAGGATCGGATGAGCGCGAACGTCGAACAGTGGCAATTGAAATTGCCTGATGCTTAGGCTATAAGCCAGCGAGCTTGTCATAAGACTTGGCCCCTTGAAGCTGTGAACTGCTTAGGCCATGAAGAACCACCTGTTTGCTTGCATGCTTGCGGTGGCCCACTTCGAGTCAGCAGCCGTACAGAGCCGGAGCTGCACTGAAGTTAGAGACCCAAAGTTGGGCATTGAGAATATCTGGGAATGACACTGTGCTGCCACTGGAAAGCCTCAGTCTGAATGGAAACGTGGAGCATAGGGCACCGTCCTGACTTGCAAGACTAAGGGAGACCATGCGTAAGTTCACAGCGCAAGGGCTGCAAGGGGCAATGGCATGTTGTCACTGTTTTGCCTTGGTATACCTTGTGGAAGCCCGATGATTCGCATAATGCAATTGTTGCGGCGACGCTTTGTGATGTTCGCATGGCCGGTGGCAGCATGAGAAGAGGTCAGACTCATAGACTCATAGACTCATAGACTCATAGACTCATAGACTGCCTGCTCCCCAGGATCCCCCCGGCCACGGCCTGTATCTGGTGCCCCATGATCGCTGCCGGAATGGCCGCATACTGGAAGGCACAGCTGCCGGGCGCCGTGTCTGCAAGATGCACCTTGGAAATTTAAAGCCTTACGGGGTTCCGTAGCTGCTGATCTCCGGTGTCCGTCAAGCATACGAGAAAAGCATGTGGAGTGTAGAAACGGCACCCATCAAAGCATGAGAAGGAGTCCATGAGCACCTTTTGGTACGTGTTCTGGTATGTTTTGGTGCGCTGAGGTAAACCTGCTGGAAGCACTGAGCCTTTTGAAGCATCACCACCGTGAGATTCTGCTTGAACAGCAAGCGGCGACTCCAACGGTGCAACTCGTTTAAGGGCTTTCTGGGAACGGCGTGAACCCATTGCAGGCCTTGATTGGCAGACCATAAGCACGGAGTGACTTGTCAGAAGGTCATCATGGGTCGAGTTCCTGGAGTACTGTTTAGAAAAGGCGGGTTCGAACCTCCCAAAAGCGCACCTGGAATCCCTGGATCCCTGACACAGCCTGGCAGCTGCTGCGCCACGTGCCCGCTTCTGGGCGAAGTTTTTCTTAGCAGACTTTTCGGATTGGCTAGAGAAGGAGCCTGTCAGCAGGCCGATGCCGCTCAGACTTCACGGATGTGTGCTGCGCTATCAGGGCAGATGCCACTGAGTCAGAGATGCATTCCCATCCACCACAACAACAGCCCACACTTCCCAGATCACTGTCTTACGTGGGAGTCGGTTGTCCGGACCTATGGTTCCACAACACATACATGCAATGCATGCCTACGTACACACACACACACACGTATCAGTATGCACGCATGTGCGCCCTTGGTGGATATAGGTAACTCATGGTAACTCCATATTCATTGATACCTTCTTTCGATTTCCTTTAAGCCAGGAGCTAGCTGGGCGCGTCTCCTGGACGTGGCGGAGTGTGCGGAGACTTTCGGCCTCCTACCAAGAGGTCAGTTGACGGAGGCCAGTTTGAGGGTTTGGAGGTGAACCCTTCGAGAGACTCGAAGCCGTACAGTTAGCTCCCAATATCCGAAACAGTGAGATGCTCACAATCATTGAAGCCCTCTCCGGCGACGTTCTGAAACCCATAAACCATAAACCCTAGACCCTAAATTTCCGGGGAGTCCCGGGCGACCAAGCTTCCAAAATGGAGGCCACCTGGCGGTCCGTCCTGGCACCCCCGAGAGAGGCAGCAAGAAGACTGGCAGATGCCAAGGCGCAAGAAGCTCGAAAGGCTGCTCAAGAGGGTGTAAGGTCTTGCGGTCGGGCACCAGGGTTCCTGGGTTACCGGGGTTTCATGTTTGGATTCAGGGTTCTGGGAGGGAGGGCCGAGACGATGCTTTGCCTCTTGGCATTGCCGTTCTTACTTCGGTTTGGGATGGGCTTCTTAGCCGCCTTCAGACATCCTGATCAGTTCTTGCGAAGCGGACCAGTCATCTCTTGCCTGAGTGCGATAAAACGAGCCAGGCGAACGCAGAACCGGCAAAACCTCTGAATCAGTACATTCATTACATGGCTCTTGATGGCTTTGGCTGTCCGCAAGAAGTCATTGGACGGTGGGAGCACGTCACAGGCATTGGATCGGCTGGCCCCCTTGCAGCAGCCCCATAGTGACGTAGTGCTCTCATTGCTCTTGCACACACTCGTGCACAGTTTGCGCCAGCTTCGGCAAGCAAAATGTGCAACGCATCTGCTTGTTCCCACGTGGCCAAGAGCACTCCGCCTTGGGGGATGCGTGCCCAGGCTACGCCTTAGCCTAGAGCCATGCCTGCGGTGGAGGAGGCGCCGGCAGTAGAAGTGAGGCCCGCTTAAGGTTTCAGCAGCAAGACATTCTTTGTTCCTGACAGGCTCGCCAAGACCAAAGCAGCGCATGCAGAAGGCACGTCGTCACTAATGTAGTCAGTTCCTGGCTTTCTTTCCGGGCATTCCCTCACTCTTGTGCATGGAGCATCATGGCAGGGCATGAGCGATTGCGCCTGCTCGTGCTACCGGGCTTCTCTTTGCTTTGTTGGGCGGCTGCGTCGGGCCCGACAGTATACTGGAGAGCTTGCTCACATGCCTCGCCACAGAAGGGGAAAAGCAATGCTTGCAAAAAAAGGTTGGACCTTCCTCGCTTTGCCCAAACCTGGCCTTCGCCAGCATCGAACTTCCTCGCGGAGTTCTCATGACTGTTGGCAGTGAAGCACTTGTGGCACCATATGGTACCCGTATGAATTGTCAGTGTACAGTAACGGAGTTCAGCTCCAAGGTCGAGACATTGATGGACGAGGTGGGCCTTTCTGCCTGGACCTGAGGGCCTTGGGCGCATCGCACACCTGGACAGTCGACAGGCAGACGGTGTTTTCCTACGGATTTGGCGGATGCGCGACTACCTCGAGCTGAAGCCAAAGTGGCATCAGGATTCGATGCGCAGTTGGACTCGGAATGACGCGCAATATCTCGGAGGGTGTAGGGATGGCGATGAAGCGCAATCTGGGCCCGAACATCCCGGACCACTCTCAACCTTGCAACTCATTTGCCAGGAGGGGCCAGTCCCTTTGGATCGCTTCATCGAGGCATGTCTGATGTTCCAGTCCAATTACTCTGCCTGTTCTGGGTTCTGGGATGGTCACGTTCAGGGTTCACAGAGGTTTGACAACGCATACGCAATAATGATCTGTCAAGATGTGCTTGCTGAGGCATGTGACCTCAGTCTTTGCCCACTTTCGTTGTACATGATTCGCAGGAACTGGAACTGCAGCTGCCATCGAGTCGCACACTGCTAGACATAGCTCAGGAAAGGTGAGCACCGGAGAAAAATGCTGTATTTCTCACAAGTTGTGCGACTTAAAGCATGTTTGCACTTAGCGCCGCGGATCCCCTTCGTGCTTCTCCACACGTGCTCTCGAGATCTCTCGAGTTTACCGCGACTTGCAGAGCAGATGTGATCCGAGGTTGGACCGTGTTGGAAAGCCGCAAGCGCAACGCCTCGAGAAATTGACCGCTTCAGGCTGGAACAGCGAGCTTGTGTATTACCATGAATATATTAATGCATATTTACTATTGTTGTACAGCATTCACAGTTCAAATAACATAATACGTACAAATACATAAATACATACATGCATGTGCATATACAAGCATTCTTGTTTATTTGCTGATATGTGTTTTTCAGTTATCTGCGGTAAAAGCGGCGCACTGTGCATCCACATACAAGCGTGTGCTGGGAGGGGGCGTCAAAGCTTGGTAGCCTTAGTACTCCCACCTTCAGCTTCACATTGAGGTCATTACTTGAGAGAGCCGGCGACGCTGCAATGAGAGCGGCCGCTAAAGGCGCTCCGCAAACAGCTCGGTGAGAGGAGATGGCCAGCGGTGGACAAAGCACAGATGCAAGCGATCTCCCAAACGCCTCCTGAGCACGCCAAAGACATCAAACACTACCCCGCTTGACGGCGCGAGTTTCGCGCACTTGTTCCCTCGTGGTGTCGGTGTCCCTGCACGAAGCGCCTGCAAGAAGCAAGGCTGGGTGTCCCAATGCCAATCCCTCGCACGAAGTTGAGCTAGGCTCTAGCTAAGGGCCAGCTCCTCCTGTATACAAGTACGAACCACCAGAGAGTGTAGTGCTTCAGCAAGCTTTCGAGGTCTTAGGCTCCTCAGCTTCCCATTTTCGTTTTTCCCTGCCCTCGAGAGCCCCAATCTCCTAACCCCGAAAGATGCCAAATGGGATTCGGCTCAAGTTTCTTGGATCTTGCTCGAGCTCAGACTTCCAAGATGAGTCCTGGGTTGCGTGACGATATGGAAGTTGGCTCCTCATCAGATGGCGAAATCCGCCAGGCTTCCAGTCCGCTCGGAGGAAAGTTTCTTGTGATGGCCTCAACCGTCCTATTCCTGGCGGCCTTCATGTTGGGTGCATGTGCTGCTCTGCTCTTCCAATCTTCGCTTCATTCCTCGCCTCATACTCGCTTGCGTGCCCTTGGCACCACAGCGCAGCTGGGAGAAGCACCAGAAGCACCTGCAGCACCTGTGTTGCCAGGACTCGGCGTGACGGGCCTTCCTGGAAACCCCAAACTCTATGGCAAGATCCCTGAGAAGACAATCTGGTTTTACTATGACAAGGGCTTCGACCCAATGCCAAGCCGAATTGTCGACCTGTGCATCCAGTCCTTCTGTGCCAACAACCCTGATTGGAACTTCGAGTTTGTCTCAGACAGCAACTTGCTCGACTATGTGAGCGCGGACATGCTACCATCCGCATTCTGGACATGGCACCAGCCTGCCAACAAGAAGGACATGGTCATGGCCAACCTTCTAGCCCTCTACGGAGGAGTTGCTGTTGACTCGACGATCATCAACTTCAAGTCCCTGAATGGTTTGTGGCAAAAGATGCTGCAGGACGGAGCAGACGCTGTGATTTACTGGTACAGATTGGTTGAGCCTTGGGGGGCACCGGATAGTGCCGCGGTGTGGTCCTTCATGGCTCGTCGAGACACGGGCATCTTCCGACGATATGCGCAGGACATCAAGGCGAACTTTGGAGACGTGCTTGACGTCTCCCAGGCAGGGGGAAATCCCTACCTCGCCTTCGGCAGCGGAAGCCTTGAGCCGATCATGGTCGAGGTCAATGCTTCTCTTCCCCTTTGCATGAATGACCCGACGCTGACAGAGTATAACAAGCAACGATGCGCAACCAGTGCTGCCAAGTACCATGCCGCCAGAAATGGCAATCTAAACAATACGAAGGTTATCCTGCTGGACCCAAACGACCGCCACAGTGGACCACAGCTAAACATTTGGAAGCCGCTGTGCATCAACATGGCTGGAGATTGCCCAACTCCGACCCGGCAAAATTCAGCTGGTCTCTGGCAGGAGTATGAAGATCGTAAGAGTAACCCTTACTTTACCATGATCAAGCTCTTCGCAAGAGGGGGTACATTCGCGCAGACTCACCCAGAGCTCTTGTTGCAGAAGAACATGGAAGAGAACATCTTCAGCGAGTGGTTCAAAGCTGCCGGGCTTGAGCCGGATCAACCCAGCCGTTGCAAGGCAAAGATGGAAAGGCAGGAAACAAATTAATGCACAGTTGAGGTGCCGGCCCGCTGTTGCCTTTGCAAAGCAAATCTTCTGGCAACGATTGGCATTGACGGCACCCATCAATTTGATTTTCCACATTACATATCATTACATGGCCGTTGGTTCTTCTTGCCAGACGCAAACCCCAAGGGGCGTCTTGGCAGTATGATGTGCGGCTCGCAGCGAAAGCAGTCGCGTGCCCGAGATTTCGAGAGTCGAAGCCCAAGACAGCGGCGCCGTCAAGAAAGCTGAGCATCTGCCGCGGCCAGTTTCTTACGACAGCTCGCATTTACCACTTTAGTATACTAGGGCATAGATACCAAACAAAATTGAGCATCGAGAAAAAGTTGATACCATCAGAAGTTAATTTTCTAAGCATCCAAAAGCAATTGGCTGGATGAGCTTACCGGATCTCACATGATTTTCTTTACGAATCGGTGTTTTTGGCGTGCACATATCTCTAGACGATATTTAATTCTTATTTAGACGAGCGATGGGGATTCATTACGTGAATATCTTGGATGATTGAATTTCGATTTATAATGAG